TTTTCTGGGAATTCCTCAAATTCCTGACATTCAGATTAATTGGGATGTGGTTCATTGTCTCGATACAAAAACAAATAGACGATTGAGCTAATATTGTGGACTAGATTGAAGCAAAGAGAAGGCATTTGTAATTTTATCCAGGTTTAAAGCCGAACAAGGTAACATTACAGACAGAATTAGACTAAAATAAAAGTATGTTACTTTCTTTATATTATGAACAAGGCACTATTGTTTGTTCCGCAGTTTTGTTTAGATGTTTAAACTCTCCACAGAATTTCATTTAATTAAGCTTGTTTTTTTAAATTCAATGATTAGAGTCAAAAGATTACAGTAAAAAAACAATATACGAGTCAGTTTCTTAACTATATTCATTACATCTGTGATTTATTTCGGGGTCAACAAAAAGGGTCAATATTTTACTTTTCCAGACGAGATTCAAACTACTCCCAGAATCAAATATGGTTTACTATTGATGAGTAGGCAAAAACCCATGCAATAATATCCAATGCAATATTCGTAGTTTTCAGGCTATTCCGATTGAACCCTAAACAAATATCACAAACTACCCTTGGTATACTTTTGGTCAGAAGCTGTTCTCTATCTGCATTTGTACTCGAGGCTAGAGTGAGCTGACAAAATCTATAATAATTGAACATTAAACAACTCGATTCAGTCCAAATGATCTACATACTTTCTATTGTTTCCACTGCCTTAAAGGGTCTTGCTTTGTTTAAAGTGTGTGTCAGTGGAAATGGTGTCCAGATGTGTTTGAGTTCATAGCTTCTCCTGGTTTATAACAAAGCTGCTCGAGATGAAGCCGCAGTGACTGGACTTCTGTGCTCTGTTCTGTGAGTCATGGCCAATGCAAACAATCGGCCATTATCTCATCAATCGCACCAATCATAACAATCTCATGGTTGCTATGGTCACTGGAAATTGCGCTGCCTTCATGTGGTGTTCGGAAGATCGTTTCCAAGACCGATGATGGAGAGACGGAAAATGTATGTCATCGGGTAGGAGATTAATTAACTTGATTTGATCTCCAGAGTCGCGGCAGCCACAAATATGCAGTTTTTTAACCTCCTGATATGGGTTCTGCTAATAAAGAAGGTGCGGAATCTCCATTTCAAAACATTCAAGGCATCATCTTTGCATACTGAGCTCTCTGAGTCACTATGAGACGCTTTGGGCTGAGGGCAGATCGTCTGAGTGACCATGGACCTCTCTATTTCCCCATTTGATTTTCCTGTCTGAAAAAGCTGATCTAAAGATGTGACAGAGGCCAGAAATATACATTTGAAAACTGGTGACAGAACCAAACGTATTTCACAAGCTAACACTATTTGACAGAACAAGAAATCATTACATATAAATGTTTTTACATCCGCTTTTTCATCCAATTTATTATACCCGTACGTAAATCAAAGATGGCGTCTATTTTCGGTTGTGCCACTGTTTGTCTGCTACATTGTTGTTCTTAAATGTGTTATGTGATCCTGGTCTATAAAAGGCGCATTTTCTTACTGGTTAACTAGCTGTAATCTCCTCTTTTGGACTGTCTAAGCATGGCAGCAACAGATTTGTGCTAGTACAAAAATTTTTGTTGAAATACATGTCTCCTGACTGAACAGACTCGCCTCTTCACAGATCTGATTAATGACCTGGCCTTGTGACACTTGTCAAAAGGAGATTGTTTACAAATCTTCTGTGGAACATCCAGAAAGTTCAAACGCAATAGCAAGCAGTCATCACAAGAGTTACAGAAATTTTGAATAATGTTTAAGTCATTTAAAAAGTAAACATACATTAAACTTGGCTGCATGTGCCTGGAATACTTTTGAGCGTCCAAAAGTATTCAAAAGTGTATGAATTTGCACTACGAGAGCAGTATTAACCAGCGTATCATCAATATTGAGCAGCAAGAGCCAAGGATCAGCCGTATTGAGCAGGAGGTAGCTCTATTTACAGTTGTACTCGATGACGATTTGGCCACAGGGGGATGAAGGAAATCCAAAACAAGCTGCGAGACACTTGGCCCTGATACATTATCACCTTATAACGCTGTTTTGACTTCCAAGGGAAACTCAAGCTTGTTTACACTCTCCATCAGTCCCATTTACAACCAGGCCTTTGCTATGTCACCACACAACATCTTAAAAGGTGGTGTTTGAAAGGATTAAGATCAACGGATAAGATTTGTCTGTCCAACATCTCCATTCGCCTTGGCAGACAGGCTTCTATCTGCCAGATGTTGGGGCACTATTCACAGCTGCTGGTCTTAATCCAATGGCCACAGATTAGGGTTTGGTGCACAGACAAGGAAAGCTGCTTGTTTGTGGTTTTTGCCACATTATTGAAAAGGTATGCAGAATGTATGGTCTTTCATTGTAGTCATATATTCAGGTATCTAGAGAGTTCTAGAGTTATAATAAGAAATTACCTACAAAGAAATGGAGGTCAGGTATGCTGTTGCTATTAGAATAATGATACCACAACACAACACATTGCTATAATTACCTATTCAATTTTGATGTTTAGGAAAAATCCTATACAATCTTGAGATCACTCATTACACAGAGGCAAGACTAGACATCTTTACAGTCAATGTACTGGTGTGTAGGGACTAGTGAGAAGTACAAGTAACCCTATATTAGCTTTATTCAAGTTGTGAGATCTGCTTTTCTTGTCACATCATTTGTCTTGGGAGATATCTGCATGACTTTATTTAAATTGAGAAACATTAAAATAAGGAAACTGAAATTACATAAATGTGATACAAAATAATACTGACAAGACCCAATAATTGAACAAACATTGTACAAATAGTGAGAGCCTGCATGGATTTAGTGTTCTTTATACAACTCAAGAGTTCTAAGATAACGCAGCTTTGAGTGTCCAGGATGTATGTTATTAGTATTTTTAGCGCTTTTATAATTGTTAAATTCTAAACAAAATCTAGTAAAATTGTTGTTTACTTTTCAGGTATAAGACTTTAATCTAAAGGGAAGGAAATTTAGTGCTGCATGCATTTCCATAATGCAACTCGGCTCTGCAGGCTATAAATACCCTTAACTAAACTCTGGGGCTAATGGTAAGCATTCCTCTAAACATTCCTCCAGGGACGCCAGAGCAATTCTCCAAATTTATCCCACAACAAATGAGCCACACAGGGACCGGCCACACTCACCAGCCCCAGTTTGATCCTTCATGCAAATTAGATTATGCAATAAAATCATTTATGATCAGTTAACAACGTTGTGTTAGTCATAAAAGTTCTTTAATAGAACAGACCAAGAACAAACCAGGTCCAAACCAATAATAGGGAGTTAAAAACAGACCATAACCAGGTGGTCCATAAAGAAATACACATATGGGCTGAAAATGTTCTCACATCAGACACTCACATTACATTTATTTCCAATTCATGGTTCAGCTACCTCAGCCCAACTTGCTGAGTGTGTGTCTGTGTATTTCATGCAAAGTTATAAGGTATCCACTATCCCTCCTCAAGTCGCCTTTGGTCGAGTCATTTGTGCAGTTACCTTAAAACGGCTTCAACAACACATTCAATTCATGGTTAGTTCAGTTCATATTGTTTTAGCTGTATTAGCTCAGATGAATACAGTTCATTTAACAAACAATACATCAACGTTTAAATGCTATATAGAGCTCAAAAGTACTATACTAACATTCGCAAAGAAGATTTTTTGTATGTTTTAAGTAATAAATACATAGATTTCAGAAGTACCAGAGTCAGAGTAATACATAGTTAATCAACATTACAACATAACAGTTTTGCATGAGGATAGCCATTTTCAAGTGCAAACCTGTTTACAGTGATGCCTCTTCAATATCATATTTCTTAAGGACACTTATCTTACAATATTTTAAAGTTGGGAAACGATTATAAAAATAAACTCACTCAAAATGGTAATTAATGGGACAAAGCCTCCCTGTGTTATTGTGGGCACTGGCCATGGAGGAGGGAGTAGAAACATTTTGGCATTGTTTAAAAACGGAGGAATGGCATTTTGGGAAAAGTTAAAGTCAAGTTCAAAGTGTGTTACTATCCATTTGCCTTACTAATACTAATATGTACTTTGATATCATTTAGAATCAACACACACCTTTAAAGCCTCATTACTTATACTAAAAGACATATGTAAAAATAATAAAATACATCTAATACAATAATACAATTTGATACCTTAATTTTTTCTGAATATTCCGATATTGAAATCATGTTTCCCAATGGTTTACTAAATGCACATTGGTAAATCAGTCCCACACGTGACTTAGTGAATTGGTAAAAAATGAAAAGAAAAATATAAACAATAGAAATATTCATTTTTAAAAGTAAAACTATACACAGTTTTAGTTTTAAAAGTAAATAAATGCTACTTGTCTGCACAACTTCTTCATTGTACCATTACATCACATGTCTATCTGTTGGAAAATGAACGAATCACCACACCACAAAACTATAATGGACCAGACACGGCATTGAGACGGGCAGGATGTTTGAAAATACTTATAAGGATTGAGTCTTACTGTCATTTGGAGGAAATGGGGGTGACTAACATCTATGACTTTGCGGTAAAACCATTTGCGGTTAAACCACATTGAATTGCATTTGCAAAAGTCCCAGGTGTGCATAAGGGTTAGGGTTCACCACGCAACTTTCTCCAAAGGTTGTCAAATAAGTTCAATGAGAGTCACATTTTTAATAAAAAGTTGGTGTTTGAGTGGACTGCTAGCTACCTGGTACAGGACATGGCAGTGGCAGCAGAACACGTAGGCAGGGCATACTTTGAAGCTGAGAAGGACGTCACTTTTTGCCCTTTGCCCCACGACAAACTACTTTTACAAACTCTAAATAAAGCCAGCATGTGTCCAGTAGACAAGCTGGACTTTTGGAGTAGAAAATGGGTCACGCTGGATTGTTTGAGGGCGAAAAACGTGACAGGTAAACTAGTACCAAAGAGTGCCAAGTGACTTACCCGGACCAGGTTGCTCACGGCGGCTTGGACAGCGGCGACAGGAGCAGTCAAATCCGGGATAGCTTTGCCATCCACTTCGCCCTCTTCGTGCATGATAACCAGATGGGAGATCTGCTGGGCTACGGGCTCCAGGATACTTTCTATCGTCTTGGTGTGGAAAACCGGCATGATTGCGACTTGCGTTGACCCCACGGAGAGAAAATGGATTAACTTTTATGCTAGTTTTAGTCCCGAAAAGTCCCGTGAAAGGGCTTGAATTGACTTTGTGTTCCAGTTTCAGGGCAGCCTCCCCCGTTGGATGACTACAACTACTGACCATCAAACTCCCAGGGCAGAGGAGCGGGAGAGACCTCAGCGACGTAGTTTTCCCACAACTACAGAAACGCTAGAGAGAGGGAGGGGCTTGTTACCGTTTACATTGTGGCGGCCATCTTGCGTTTCCAATAAAGCAGAATCCTCACTGAAAATAATGTAAAAACATGGTCATAGCGTTCAAAAAGTGTGTAAATGAATATAAAAGGGCAAATTTGTGGTTCTAGAAATCCAGAGAATATCGTGTGTGTGTGTGTCCTTGAAATGAATTAATTAATATAATATAATATTAATCAATTAATTTAGGATCAAGTCATTCAAAGTCATTTTAACTGTGACTGGGGATTTTCAGGGGCTCTTACTATTGTGTTACCCTGAAATTCATTTCTGAATATGTTGTACAATCTGTTTACTTAAGGTTTGAGTATCATTTCAGATCCGAAAAAAATTGCTATCAGAAGTTGCATCACTTGTCACAAAAAATATTATTCTTTATCCTTATTATGTTACCAACAATCACTTTAATAGGAAATAGTTTTATATGACATTGTTGATGAAGTACAAAGACGAATAAATAAATTAAGTTTTTGTGAGTTGCCATAGGCTACCATGGCGATGATCTCTCTAGCCCTTTACCGAGTTTCAACACCGCCTACTTCCGCATAAGCAACATTTTCACATAATATTGTTGTAATTATTATTATTCACAATTAAATAATAATATTAATAATAATAAGTACACGTAAAACTACTCTTTATCGTCTTTCTTTTTTTGTTTTCTTTTTTTTTTAACACATCCACGAGCACTCCCTAGCTGGCAGAATGTAATTACGTAATAGATTCCCATGTCCTAAAAAGGGAAACGTGTCTACTGTGAGTAAAGCAGTGGATTCCAGGAGCTGTCGGTTAACCGGTCAGACCGTAGACATGTGGGGTTTTGGCAGGAACTCCGCGGTGTGGCTGACATAGAAGATAACAGGCCATAGAAACAATCTGTTCAGGACACGATATTATTTCAAAGAGGGGAAAGACAGTATACCCATAAAAAGAAGTTTGAGAGTAGGTTTAGCCAGAGTGTATTATAGATGACGATATGAATGGAATGTAAGTTACAATCTGACTATTTTCAGCTAAAACGTTGTTATAAAATGTATTTGAAGCTATGCATTTTTACAGATATTGGCAAATGTGAGCTCATGAATCTGACAATAAGCAGAAATTGTGTGTTTAAAATAGATTTAGATATGTATGTACTTATTGGTGGTTTGATTTCAAGCTTTTTGCAATGTAAAATAAATACATACATAGTTTTATCTCTGTATGACTATTTGCTCTGTGGGACGGGCACATTTCTTCACCTCTTGCCAAACAAAAAAACTATAATAAAAATGGTTCCAGTTTATAGAGGCTGAAAACCAACTGTGAAACCAGGCAGCTCAGGAATTCCCGCAGATCCCAGAGGGGCCAGAGCCCATTGCCTAAAAAGGAAGAGGCCAAAAAGAAAAGAAGTGAGGAAGTTCATGTGTTTGACGGCTTGAGTAAACATCTGGAGCTACATTATGGACTTCCTGTTTGTTTGGTTGATATCTTCTAAGAGTGGCAGAATAGTTGGCTGAGCAAACAGAACTTAGGAAATATAAGAAATACCAGACAATGAGTCATACATCTGCAATTGTTAATGACATTCACACTCAAAATAGATTTATCAAGGCTGCAATGACTAATTTTACATGAGGTATGAAGATATGAACACATTTCTAACATAAAATACAAAAATGTATTAGACGTATTTAGAAATGTTTTATTATAGATTTTGATGTATACAATTGATAAGGCATTTGTGGACTATACCGTTGTGTTTCAGCAGTTTTCTCCCTTGATGCTGTCTGGGTCTAGGTCTGTCTGGGTGTCTCTGCTTGGACTGCTTGCGACTCAGCAATGTATAAAGCGGAAGGACATTAATGGATAATTCCTAATAGAAATAATCCAGTTCAATGTTTCATTTAAATTTAAATTTATTTTTGTATAGCCCTAAATCACAACAGCACTCGTCTCAGAGGACTTTACAAAGTTGTCCGTTTGCCAACACAGATCAGAGAATCCAACTATTAAAACACAAGAAATGCAATGGTAAAAAAAAAAAAAACACATAGAGCCATTCTCCATAAGGAGCAGATGACCAACGTCCATAAATGATGCATATGTAAACATGAACACATTTACGTTATTGATAAGATACGATAGACCTTTATTCGTCCCAAAGAAGAGAAATTTCAACCTTCATCGTATATTATTGTATACAATCAACAATATGGACCATGTGATAAAAAAACATAGACCATTTATTTGTCTCATACAATGTTAGGTCAAAAAAATGTAGTGAAACCATAACTAGTAACCAATACATCTGCCTTTAGTTTAAGCAGTCTAAAGAAGTACATAACAATAACTAAGGATCCAGTGTGTTCATGAGGCGTATGGCCAGAGGGAACATAGTGCTATTATTACTATTGTTCTATCACCAAAATGCTCCATACTTTGTACTTCTGTAAACTGCTGACAGGGGACTCTAACCTTTAGCCTGGATCCCCTCACCTCCTCACAGATTGTGGCTGGTCCTGTCCGTCCTGGGCTGGATATAGACATCACAGTGGCGGCCGGCGCTCTCTGGTTACTGCAGGGCCGTGTGTGGATGGGAACGTGACGCTGACCTCTCTGTGGGTGGCCTGCACCCTGTCTCACTGTATTCAACGCTTTTCGGACGATAAAGACTCAAGCTGTTTCTTAGGATGCTGCTTACTACAGGGGAATAGGGGAGAGTGTACAGACAGTGTGCATGAGTATTACATACTGTATATAATAGTGTTTAACAATACTCCTCTCATTAGGCAAAGAGAGTCATTCTAAACATGATGCAAGAGCGGAAATATATGATGCATTTAATTATAGTATTATTAAATGACCTAATCATTATTGTGTTTTGGCAAGGCAAGTTTATTTGTATAGCACAGTTCAAGCACAAGGAAATTCAAAGTTCTTAGCAAAAAAAGAAAAAAAACGTTAAAATCACACAAGGTTACATTTTTCCAGACAACCTTTCTCAAGACCAAGCATCTCCTCTTAATGACTGGAAGAAAAATGATAAGAATTAGTTGGTTAAAACCTGAGCCACCTACATTCACCCAATGGATACAAAAACAAGACATTTAAAGTAGCAATGAGCCCAGTTTTTGAGAAAAGATGGGGACCAGTTATTGACTTTCTAAAGTAAGACACATGCTTACAGCTTAATGTATTGTTTCTGAATGTAAGGCGTAAAATGATAAATAATCACAGTGCATTAAAAAGAATGAAGTTACAATCCTTCAGATGCAGCACAGCTAAACAGAACTGTTTTTTATCTGGATTTGAACATTGTTAGAGTATAAGCCTGTCTCACATTTTCATAAAGAGTCCAAGTTGGCGCATATAACTAACATGTCACGGATGTACTTTGGTGCTTCTTGATTCACTGCTCTTGTAATGTACGGTGCAACACTGTCACTCAGATACCCATAAACGCTCCCAACAAAGACTCCACATTCTCCGTCTCTGTCTCTCTAAATCTGCTTCTCAAACTCTACACTTCAATCATCCAACCCATTCTCCTCCACTGTTCCCCCTGTTACTTCATGCTCTCCATCACCAACAGAAATAAACTCACCAAAGTCACACACACAACATCCAAAATCATCAGTCCGGACCTCTCACACCTCAACCTCACAGCAGTAACACACATGGCTCAGTTACAGTTTTTCTCTATTGCTTAAACACATTTCACGATACTGCCCTCCCTTTTCTCAAAACTCTAAACACAAACCACTTTTCTAAAGCTACGTACACACAACAACACAGTCTCTTTTCAAAACCGACTCATCACACCAAAACAGTTGCTCATATTCTCAAAACCAACCCATCACATCAAAATACCTCTCATGGTCTGCAAAAATGTGAACACTATGAGCATCATTAACCACCACTCAAATATGTTTTGGGCCTTTACAATAGATTTGCGCGTATCATGGGAATAGTTACATAACGCAGAAAATGCAGTTATATCCAAACTCAATGCAAACATGGGTACTGTAGATTCTATAGAGGATCCATTAGACACAATAGATATTGCAGTACAGTAACAATTGGAAACACAATTTTCAGAATGTGAGACTGTTCTTTTTACAGTTTCACAACTGCCAGGATGCATTTGAGCAACACTTTTTTAACACTCTCCCTCCTCTGACACAAACTCCTCTTCTTGTGCCTTGATCATCCATTTTCGTTTTGAACCTGCACTGACTTATAAAGTTGTGGTCACATCATTTGCAACAGGAGTGTTCAGTTCTGAGTGGTTGTGTTTTCTGAATGACACCAGGTATGTTCATTTTGTTCAGATACATGCAAAAAGTGTTTTAGCAAAGGACAAATGTGTTTTAGCAAAGGAAAAATGTGTTTAGAGTTTTGAGAAAAAGGGCATGTGTTTTGTGAACAGTGTCTACAGGAGAATTGTGTTTAGGGTTGTGAGAAGTGGGGGGAAGTTTTAATAAATGTGTTTAGGCAATTGGTCATTTGGTTTAGAGTACTGGCTTTTGTGTTGTAGCAATAGAGACAAACTGTAATACAGACTCAGACGATCAGATCTCTGTGACTGCCCTCATTTATCATTATTTTGAAATCTGTGGATATGTAAAAAATGCATTTTAAATTGACTTGTTCAAATAAAATTGACAGGAATGTTAATTTTGTTTAGAAAGTTTGAGTTTTATTAGCAGAGATGGCAAAATACTGGAGCTCCAACCAAGCAATGCATGCCCTCTTGTGGTCATTGACAACAGGTGCATTTATGCGGAACACCTGATGCTTCACAATGTTTATTTTTTATTTTTTATACACAAAGATACACATACACTGATGTTATTGTAATGCAATAATCTCATTCGCCTATACAAATATTTTGAAATCATATATTGTAAACTGCATTTGCTGATAATAACGTTTATTGTAGTAAACACAGGATAAATGGTATAGTGATAAAGGCACATATAATAGATGATTACTGCTATGATGTTGGTTCTTTGAAAAGCACAGAAAAAAATGTATTCAAACTCACTGATGATGTCATTTTGTAACATGTGTCACACCCATACAGTGTAAATATCAAATTATGATGACATTGAAATGTCCCCACTGTAGGACGAATAAATCTTCTCTTGTCAAATAGGTACATTTGTTTACATATGCATCATTTATGGACATTGGTCATCTGCCCCTTATGGACGAATGGATCTATGTGTCTTCTTTACCATTGCATTTCTTGTGTTTTAACTGTTTGATTCTCTGATCTGTGATTGACTGTTCACTGACTGTTTGAACTCCTCCGAGACAACTGCTGTAGTGATTTAGGGCTATACAAAAATATAATGAAATGTGGTACCCACAGAATATAAATCTCCAGCGTGCGGTCTTAGCTTTCATTCTCTTGAAAATGTTCTTTGGATTAAGTACGAAATGTCGAGAAAACCTGCTGAGAAGTACAGATGATGGGTGAGACCACTTCCTTTGCTTTGACTAATCCCTGTACGACTGAGAGCTTACACAAATTTATCCCTGATCTATTAGGAATCATCCATCCATTTTCTTCCGCTTTATCCATTGGTGGGTTGCAAGCAGTCCGAGCAGAGACACCCAGACAGACCTAGACCCAGGCAGCATCAAGGGAGAAAACTGCTTGAAAACAACAGTATATCCACAAATGCCTTATCAATTTCATCAATCAAAATCTATGATAAAACATGTTTTGTCCAATACATGTTTGTATTTTGGTAGAAGTAGTTCTTAACATCTGCCTTCCTTTGTCTGAAGGTAACACAGCAATCCTCGATTTTCTAAAATGGCTAATTTTGTTCCCACGCATGAACGGCCCATCACCGCGAAGGCTTAGGGTGTTCTTGTACATGTGTTCAGGTACATGGATTTTTGAGAGATGTCATCTCCGACCGGGGACCCCAGTCTTTGTGAAGACTGGGGTCAACTTTGTGAAGTACACCCCAGTGTACTTCACAAAGTTGTCAACTTGCCAACATTAAGAACATAGAAAATGCAATAATAATAAATAGGACTGGATTATATTGGATTATAGGGCAGCGAGACAATCCTTTTTTACTTCAACTGATCTAAAGACAGAGGACAAAAACACATGCAAGTGAAAACTAACCAAACTGTTTGAGAGTGAGAAAATAGAAAAACATATTTCTATTATGTTGAGTTTTTAAAGTTACTTCCCCCTGCTTTCCCTTTCTAAACTACAGCAACGCACATACAACACATACAACCATTTTCAAAATTGTCCAACTAGAATAGCCCATAACCTATGGACCATATACAATAACTCTGTTTGTACAAAGTCCTTTGCGTTTGAGCGAGAACATAAAAAAGAGCGGCCTGTGTGTCATTAATATCAGCTCAAACAAAGAGTGATGAATTGACAAATAGAGTAATGAGCCACTTCCTGAGGTCGGAGCCTTGAAATCTGTCGTTCAGTGGTGGACTTGAGCCACACCTGTTTGGATGGCTTTGAGAGCAGAGCTGAACTACAGCCTTTTACAGTCATCAGCAGTGGTTCCCAACGCATGGTGCCGGGGCAGGTAGAGGAACTGTCTACACTTCTAATGTTTTGATTTGATTCAATGTTAACTTGTCCATACAGCTTCTTGTCCAGAGTGTATAAATCACTAGTTGGTCTATTTCTTTATGCATATGATTTGGGGTTTTTGTTTTGTTTTGTTGCATCTGCAGCTTTTTGGAGCTAAATCCATTGAGTCCACATTTTGTCAATTAAACATTTGATTTTATAGTTCAGTCGTTGCTAGTTTTGTTTACATAATGATAGACATAAGCATTTTGTGTCTTCTTGGTTGAAATGACTTTAAAAATACATTTGCATATTCTACGACAGACCTGCTAAACATCTCTTACAATAGTGGTTTAGTAGTTTAGCTCAGTAGCTCAGTTCAATTGCCCAATCTTATATTAACAACAATCACAAATATTCAAAAGTAAAGTTGTGTATACTTGTGTATGTATGTGTAGTAGAACTGGCTTAGACCCGTCATGTCTCAACAAGTTTACAGAAGCTCTAGATAATTTAGTTGTACTTGTAATAAGCATTGAGTGTTGCAATGTAGAGTTCAAAAGTAGTTTATAGAGCCATGAAAATACCATTAAATAAACTCCAATCTATGGAGTAATGGTACTAACAGCATGATTACAGATTATACTACGTGCTTAATTATAGCTGATTATTGTGTCTGCTAATGGACTGAATAAATGGCAGCTAAAGTGTGTTGGCAGTTATCAGATGCAGTTTTGTATATTATATTATAAAGTAACAATACTTTTCCCTGTCACATTTTGACCCCATAAAGTCGGCCACTTTGGAAATAAAGTGTCAAAGAATTTTCACATTTTTTCACTTTTCAAAAACAGTATTTACAAAGTGGTGCACACTAATAAAACAGTCATAGCAAAGCAATGCAGGTAACAATAGATAAAGGAAAAAAGAGAAAAAAAACGCAGCAGATATAGGAGTAAAAAGGTACTTTCCTGCTCGCCCAGACCCGCTCCAGAGACCACATCACCCCCATCCTCAAACAACTCCACTGGCTCCCTGTCCCGTACCAATTCCTTTCATATCCTGGCCCTTAAACATCTGCTTTCATTGTTTAAAAACAGGTTTGAACCCAGCTCTACTCTCTGCTTTTGCCATGGATCCTGACTCCTCCATCGTCTCATACACACCGGACCAAACGTCAGACCACGAAGAGATGTCGGAATGGAACCCCGATGGACACGGCCTGGTCTCGGGTTTGTTGGGGCAGAATGTGGTCCTGCTAGGGGGCGCTCTTTTGATGGGAAGAGCCCTGAGTGAACAGGGCGTCCTGAGCTGGGAGCCAGAGGTGCTGTTGTTGCTGCTGATGTCACTCAGTGTGGTCTGGATGCTCTGGTTCATTCTGCGTGACTCCAAAAGACCCGGATCCAGGCCTCACCTGGACCACCATGCTGGAGGAGTCGCTGCCCTCTGTGAGTAGGACAAGTTACCTAATTTTCAGCAGATCATGAAAATACTATTCAGAGAGCAATAAACAAAAAATATTTTTCTCACAAATATAATTTGACCAACAAACTTTACGGTCCAACTTTTGCTTAAAAAGAAAATTGAGAATTTAACATTCCCTCTTGAACACTCTCGATGGACGCTTTGTTACTCTCCCTGGAGGAAATTAAAATCCTGTGGACTCAGGTGGCATCACTTGTAAAAGTATACTTTTAACAACCCTACAAACAAGTGAACAATACAATTCTAAGAATTGTCTTAGAATTAGGCCACTAGGTTTTCCATGTGGCGCAAACCGGACCCGAACCTGCACTTTGTGTTGAGGAGGTGTGGCTGGAACCTACACATGGTTGGGGAGAGTCAGGGCCTGCTATGTTCTGGCAGATGTTGGCTGAGGGCCTTTCCACCCTCCTGTCTATTGAATTTATAGCTGAATTTAATCTCTACAGATCTCTACACATTTTATTTTGTTTTCCTCTGCACATGCTCAGAGGGGCTGTGGGAAAGGAGCTTTGGATTTAATTAAAGGTGTTCGATATATTCCAAATAGTTCGATCACAAAGCAATAACAGTGTTCGAACTGAATTAAATCAAATGAAAATTAACAATTGTAACTACATTGACAAGTATGCATTTTATTTAACAACCCCTATGTTTCATTTCTTAGAGTGTAGTGTGTTCTTTGTATTCACTTTTAATACACATAGACTAATAGTTTACAATTTGTTCACTTTATGTTGCCATTTCCGTCTTAAATAGCTTCATAATACTGTAGAAATGGTTCATTGACTACCTTAAAACTGGTTGAATGGTTGTGTAACATGATACCTAACTCATTTAAATTCTAATGCCAAAGCATTTAGCCCTGGATTAATCACTTTGATAATAATAGAAATAATAGAATGCTCACAAAGCTTGTTGTCCAACTCAAATATGGTTGACAGCACCTGTCTCTAAGTACTCATAAAGCAGGTACTAATGAAGAGGAAAAACAAAAAACAACTCATATCCATTTCTCCAAACGGATGTTTCTGGTCCCTTCACTCTGGTCCAATACGACACACCTGAGCCTCTGCTAATTGTTTAACCCTTGTGCTACCCTAGGGTATTTTTAAATCACTGTGCGGCGAGTCACTTTTACCCAAGGATAACATAAAGACAGTGCCTTACTACACCAAATTATTAAATATAAAAAGCCAAAAAGCCAAATATTGAAAGTTGTGCGTTTGTTCTTGTGTTTGGACCCAGTGGTGCTGGTGCTGTTCGCGGGGCTCAGTGTTCTTCTGTGTGTGTTCAGACTGGGCCTCGACGTCACCATGAGACACTGTAAACCGCCGGAGCAGCTCGCCACCCCCGTCATAGAGATCATGTTCCTCTGTCTGCAGGTGCCGCCGCTTCAAAACACTTCATTTACATCTATATTTCCAAATTCCAGGTTTCTGGGATAGATTGCACCATCCGTCTCACACGCCTCATTTGATTTGATAATTGTGTGGCAAACAAACATTGAAAATTTCATTGACTCCATGTCCCTGAGGCTTTGGTAATCATAAAAGTAAAGTAATCATAAAAAGGCTATAGATGCTTGATATAGATGTACAAATGGGACAAACTCAAACAATTTCATGGTATACTGAAATTAAACAGTTTCTCTTTTGCAATAAGACAAAAACCACATTTAGCTAGACAAAATACCCTGGTGATAGATTTCTATGCCTTTATTGGCAATTATAAATGTATTCTTCATGTCATTTTGACTGTTTACGGTCCTCAGCAGTTAATACTTGAACCAGTAGGCTATTTTCATGTTTAAAAACAGATGACAAACAAGGACATGAATTAATAAACGGTGAACATGTAAAGAAATATCAAACAGTTCTTTTTACTTTGTCATTGCAGACATACTTACTATGGGTTCATTCCAAGGACTGCATTCACATCCACAAAGTCATCACAAGGTCATTACTGCATTTGACAATAAAAGTTTTCTGTGAAAAGTGTGGTTTAGATGTTCCTAGTTCAGTCCCTGTAGTTTTTTCATGTTTAAATTAATACATTTCACAAGCACAACACAATGAAATAGAAAGGTATATAATACTTTATCATTAAATTCAAGTGACTGGGTGATCCAGAAAGTAAATGCTGAACTACTTTCTGTAGAAATATAGTTATGTTTAGAATACTCAGACTAAATTGTGTCTCAGCATCAGTGTCCAGTTTGGCTACAACACATTGAGAGGTAAAATATGAACATTATTAATATGAATGTATCACTTTAAGAATAACATGTCTAGGGTTTCTGCATGAGTGTCATAGGCAAGTATTTTAACAACCTTTTTAAGAACACCAGAAATAGAAATCAAGATCAATTTGCCTATTTTAAACCCGTCAGAGAAAATAAAACGCCAAAGCTGAGATACAAAGATAGATTTGTATTTGGAGCCTGAACATAAAATAATAATTGTATAACATGTATATTTGTTTCTGTGGTGTGTACATAGGGCTGGTCTGATGCTGGTTCTATCCACTGACTTACTCCTGTGGTTCAATGCTGTGACAGACGACACCATTCACCTGGAGATAGAGCTGGACAAACAGGACGGACACAAATCAGAGACCATCAGCTCCAATTTTGACTCTGGTATTGTGGATTATACCGTAATATATGCAGCAATTCACACACAATTGGCTTTGAAAAACATGGCATTGGCTTGAGTTATTTACTAGCTATGTGCAAATTATCAACATTATAATAATATCTCACTTTTTGCATGTACTGATTTTATGATTCGATTTTTGAACAATATTCTCCTTGTCCCTTTTCCAGACCCTTCTTGCCGCTGCAGCTCGGACCCCACATGTGACATTTTCCAGAAGAGCTTTGAGGTTCTTTTCCCCTTCTCCGTGGAGTACTACCTCATGTCTGCATGCATGATCTACATCCTGTGGCAAAACGTGACTCGCATCGTCTCACCTCACCACCACGAGGAGAACAAAGTCAGCCTCAAAAGCATCTTGAAAGGAAGAATCATTTATGGACTTGTATTTGGAGGTTTTGTCCTGGCAGCTGGGGTTATAATTTTATTTTTGTACCAAGTTTGGGTGAGACAGTCCCATCTCAGACTCACGGCGTTTGTGTTATTCTATGGGTATCATTTAGTGGTGATGCCAGTGATGTCTCTTTGCTCGGTTGTGGGTTTGCTGGTCCATCGTTTGGAAAGGAGAGCAACCAAAGGAGGACATAACCCCACCAGGAGCTTGGATGTCCTGCTGTTATCCGTCACTGCTTTGGGGCAACTGGCTTTGTCTTATTTGTCGTTGGCGGCGGCGTTTGCGATCGGGGCCGAGGGCGTTTTGGGGCAGCTGGACTTGACCTATTCCCTGCTGAGTCTGGTGGAGCTGGTCCTACAGAATGTCTTTATGATCGAAGGGCTGCACAAACATCCCAATATCAAGAAGAAGCCAAAACGCTCCATGTTTAAGGTAACGTGAGAGGAATAGTTAATTTAGTCTCATATTGATACATTTTCAATTTAATCTCAAATTCAACTTTATTCAATGTTTCTCCATTGATAGCGAGACTAGAGTACCCAAAAAAGTGATCAAGTCATTACTTTCAGTGTCATCCAGGCAACTTCAGCTCCACCAATAGTCCTGGTCATGCTACACCTCGTCCATCCATCCATCCATTCTCTTCCCCTTAATCCATTTCTGGGTCGGGGGGTGGCAGTCAGAGCTACACCCAGTACACATAGCACCAGCCCCTCACTGATCCTCCTGCAGGTGGTGAGTCCACAGGGGCCTTGATCATCCAGCGGGGGCTTCAGGCAAAGTGGGGTTAAGTGTCTTGCCCAAGGACACAACGACAGCAGGCATTAGTGGGAGTATATACCTCTAAAGCTATACCTTGTCGTAAAGATTTATTTGTATATACTGACTTTTGTTTTTGATTGTGTCCCCATTTCACAGCCCAGAACAGCCTGACAAAACAGTTTTTCCGGCCCTAGAACAAGTCTGTTAAACCAAAATTACCCTCTTACTAAAACGTTTGGACACCCCTGATATATATATATATATATACCTTTATAACCCTTGTATCATCATACTATTTCAAAGTTAGACGGCATATTCATACACACATTACAACTACACGTCACAGCTTGAAGAAGGCAAGTAAAAATGTAAAATTGCAGTGATATAATAGTGTATTAGCAATATCACCAAGAGATCTCCAAGAAACAGAATGAGACAGACTTCCAAGTATCATTGTGTTTCTTGATCATATCTATAGCTATTTGTATTTGATGTTAAGAAAGAGGGCCAGGTATGTACGTAACACAATTTGGTCTCACGCAAAATATTCCCGACATTTGATCTGTATGGAACAAATAGAGTAACATTTCTTGGGGATGAATTAGGCTAACCAACATTGCTTTGCTGAATCAATACTGACCGTACAGTAGTCCAAGTCTAGAACCAGATTTAAAAAGATTAAACTTGGAAGAGAAAAAGGACCAAAGGATAAACCACATATATATAAATCATCATTTTGCATCAGGCTGCTTCATGGCTCATTCCTTCTTGTGACACGTCCGGCATAAACGGGAAAAAAAAATCTACTTTCTGATTATTTGCTTATGAAAATGGCACGAGTAAAATCTGTGAACCATTTCCCACGACATTTGAATGAGTCGTCCAGTGTTATAGAAGCTCTGAGTTTTCAATAGAAAGTGTTAAATGTGTTACGCGACAGTACTCGTTTGTCAGTCTTTGTTTTGCATCGCCAAAATATATAGGCTCTTTGGTTAGATTGTTTAGTGATTATTTTTCATAAAACGTTTCATCTAAGTCTAAAGAGGTCTGGGAAATGACTGATGACATCATGAGAAGTCCTTTGGGTCTAAATACTCATTATTTCTTTCTTTCTTTGAGGAGTTGGTTGGAATAATAAAAAAACTTCTTCATATGTTTTTTTTCAGCTGAAGAGGAAATCCACTGAATCAGAGGAGAGACAAACTGTGGTCAAACCTTTGAATGGAAAACCAGCGCCACCTGTTGACCCAAACCAAGGACAAAAAAAGACCTGGACCAAAAGACTAAAACAAGAAATCTGCATCTTCCTTGTCATTTGCAACGTTGTGGTGAGTTTACGCATTATAAAAGTACAAAAGTGAAATCAGAAAGTATGAAAATATAAATGGAGGAAAATATACTATATATATATATTTTTTTTTTGGTCAATATATCAGACAATATTCAGTAGTAAATGCAAGAGAACCAGAGGAATCATTGAAAATTGACTGAACAGGCCCATATGTTTTTTTGTGTGTGTGTGTGGACTGGACTCTTCTCAAAAAACCCATATGTAATTGGTCCGTTACCTTGTTTCAACAGAGCATATACATTTCAAATAAAATCAGGAATTTATTGTTCAACAAAAATGTGGCGGTGCCTGATAATCTCCCTGTGGAACTTATTATTTTGTAAAAAAGTAAAAACAAAGAAACAACCCATTTACTTGACAAAAGACAGAATGTAGATTTATTTATAATGATTTACTTTAAAAACGCTTCACTTATATCTATATTTTATTTCTGCTGTAACCGCTATAAATCCCTGCATGACTGATTTCTATTGAAAAAAACTAGAGCCATTCTCTGTGTAATTAGTATAATCTATGTGTAATCTATGTGTGATCTAAATGTAATCTATGTGTAATCTATGTGTGATCTAAATGTAATCTATGTGTAATCTATGTGTAATCCTTGGTCTTGCTGGTTCCAGTTGTGGATAATCCCGGCGTTTGGAGCGCACCCGCAGTTTGAGAGCGGTTTGGGGAAGCAGTTTTTTGGCTTCAGCGTTTGGTTTGTTGTGATGAACGTGGGACAGCCGCTCTCCGTCTTCTACCGCATGCATTCGGTGGCGGCGCTGATGGAGCTGTTCGTCACCGCGACATGAACCGCAAAAACATGGACTGGATTTGAACGATAGAAAGAAGGATTTTGAACACTACAAAAGGTTCTCTGTTTAAAAACTTATAGATTTTGTTTGTCCCGACAGAAAGAGTCTTGTGAAAGTAAAGTCTTCTGCTGTTATCTTGCTTACTTGGAAAAAAAGAGCCCCATGAGTCACTAATTGACAGTTCGGGCTGAGGGTGGTCCTCTCATTTTCACCTTTTTGTCTGAAAAAGCTGATCTAAACATGTGACAATAACCAAAAAATACATGGATATGAAAACTAGTGATAGAACCTGTTTTGAGAGCAAAGAACTAGATACTTATTACATACTTTAATTTATTGTGGTTTGAAAGTTATGTTCCCCAGTTTTAAGTGGTCATGTTTTAATATGTTGAGTTTTATTTAGAAGTTATAGAAACCAATAAAAATAAAGAAATATTGTCTCAGAGGGTTCTTTATTATTTTTCTTGATTATTTACAATATTGTTTCTGTTTATTCTGCAAAATGATGCTAATTTTGCCAAAGATAACACAAGTTCCCAGTGACGCAGAAAAAGTTGGAATAAATAAACAAGGTAATAGATATGCGATGTTTGGATTTCATTTGACTTTGAAATCTTTTAACATGTTGTATGTGCTTAGTTTGTGTACGTACAGTAAACATTATTGCATTTAAACTTCAGTCTTTGGTTTCTGCTCGTTTTCAGATCCGTTGAATTTCAAAGAGTCGGATGTCTGTGTCGTACCAAATGGGAGGATCCATGTTTCTATAGCAACAAAAGACTTGCATTAACCACTGAACTAAAGATTCCGTTTCTTATCGAAATAAGAAACTGTATATTTTAAAAGGAGTGGATTCAACTCAATGTAGACTGTCATAATAGGAAATGTAAAAAGATTGTTACTGGCACATTGCCCACACTGCAAAAAATGATGAAAAATAAGTAAAGAAATTGTTAAAATTTGGCGGCAAAATGTATCTGAATTTGAGCACATTTGGACTGCCTTAAACAAGATTAGCCAATGGGACAAGCTCAATTTACAAGACTTTTATTGTAAGTGCAAAAAGGAGTAGCTCCCTGCCTCCTCTGTTGTATAAAAGTAGCTCTCTCTTCACAAACAAAAATGACTTGTGCGTGACTTTGTGTTTTACCGCAGATACACGACTCCCCACATGTAGGTGTGGAACCAGGCCGTGGTGGCGGCGTTAGCCTGGTACTTCCGGATCAGGATGGGATGTGGCACCGGCAGCAGTCCCACCAGAGTCCCGTGCTGCAGGAACTGGAGGATCTCGGTCTCATCCGTCAAACTCCTGGACGACAAGAGACATAAGCGATACAAAAGACTGCCATTTATGTTATGAGTTGTTGCAGTCGCCTTCATTTTGTAATCCTGCTCTAAAATATGATGCACTAATATTGAAAGAGCGACTTTATACCAACGTGATGACATTTCTAGATTAGCGACGGCAAAAAAGAGAAAGTTAACAAGTGCTGAAAGTAAAGTGAATAGTTTTATCCACAAATACTGTTAGAAATTAAACACGGGACAGGACAATATGAGAAAAGAAATGGTCTCACTTGTCAATACAGATTTTTTCAACTTGTGGAACCAGGACTTGAAGTAGTCTCATTATGGTCTGCAGAGGGAGCTTGGACTTCCACGACAAAGCCTAAAAAATACGAAAAATGAAAACGACATTACACATACATACTTACACACACACAGTATAATTGAAAGCAAAGCAGATGTAACTTGCCCAGTCTGAGGAGGGAGTCCATGCAGTAGATGAAGAAACACTGGAGAGTCGACTTCTAGAGGCTTCTAGTTCAATCTGAAAAGTATGGAAGTAAAGTCTGATCTATACTCTTAAATTTAAATACTGACACAAACCTTATAATATTATTGATAGTGTAAACATAGTGATATGTCCAAACATCAGCATAATTACAAAGACGATACAATAAAAACAAAGAATTGAAACCTGACATATGCAGTAGACATATCTAAAAATACCATTGTTTTGATGTTTAAATGACTTAGGATTTGAATTAAAAGGTACCACATTAAGTAGTAAAGACAAATTGATAAGATTCTCTCGTTCCGACCTCCATGTCTCTCTCTGAGTTGGACTCTGTGTCACTGGCCGCGTTGGATCTCGCCTGGACAGAGATCAGGGTCCCGTCTGCGCCCACCTGAGACGTCTCTGTGATCTTATCTATACCTGCACCGGGGGAAACAACACATACAGTACAATACAATTACAGGTACTAGCGATGGGACGAGACAGAACAAGGACAATACACAAGACTGGGAGAGATTTCCACCAGATTTTGAAATGAGAAACTGTATTGTCTGTGTTAAAATCGTACTAATTCAAAGCTATAATAATATCATTCCATAAGTGCAAGTTGTCACAAAAGGAATTACTGTTGTGGAAGCCAATATTGAATCCATTAGAATCAAAATAGATTATTATCAATAATTTTTGATAAAATTATCAAAATAATATATTGCTGGTTTTAGAAAAATATGCGGGAAAAAATTACCTATGACTTTTTATGGTGTAAAAGAAACAACCACATTTCCTTTTAAAGAACTTCTCACACCCCCTCTTCGAGGCTTACGTCACTCACATTCTCTCTTCAAATCTCCCTCCTAGCCTGGAGGACTAAAGGGGACAGGCGGGGGGATGAATGTTGGGCGGGTCTAGGCTGTGATTGACACTTGACATCAGCATTGGCCGTGTCAAAGATGGAGGCAGACAGCGGCCCTCAGCCCTTTCAGAAGACAGCTAGCTAGCGGGCACCACCGGGGGAGCTGATGCTGCAGAGGCAGCGTTCAAATTCTCATTCATCACCGCCTCTTTTCAAATATCACATGTTTTGTTCATATATTTGTGAGCATGGCTGACCTGGCATGGCCTCCAGACTGGCTTTGTACGCGCCCTGCTCTGGTGGGACGTCCCGTTTGTGGACCTCAGAGCTTTGAGTCTCTATGGAGCTGGTCCGGCTGAGTCCCGACTGCTTCTTCTTCCTCTGCACAAAGTTCTGGATGGACTTGTCGTCACATGAGAGGTTGGCCAGCTGGTGGAAAACACTTCTTTTACGAATGATGGAGTAGACTAGTTTACTGTTCCCTGAAACAAAACAAAAATACAAAGAAGAGAGTTATGACGAGAAAGGTCATATATAGAGAAACAGAAAAAAAGGCTGCAAGTTACTTTTACCAATAACATTAAAAGCTGGGGTACCTACATTTTAAAACCACAAAAAGTATAACAAATACAAATCCATCTAAACTAGTTTCTTGCTCTCATAACAGTTTTTTATCTATAACTAGGCATGTTGTGGTCTGATTTGTTCACGACCTTTTAGACTCTCTCTGTTGGGCCAAACACAATGTATTCCCGGCATTTATGAACACAAATGTTAGGTACCCCAGCTTTAAAATCAATACACACAAAATGGGCATTCAGGCAGATTTCTTTTAGTGCTATTTAAATCACAGTTCTATCCATTTCATGAATGCAATTTTCATTCTCTTTGATCAAAAATTCAAATATGACATAGACAATGAATAAAGCATCTGTTTCACATCTACGTTTATATCTCTCACACACACAAATGTGGGTGAAGTGTCTTGCCTAAGGACAAAACACTGACACTTTCTAGAGGTCTTCCATCACAGTACCAATTAGGCTCTACCCTGCTTAGCTCCAGTGGTCTGACAGGATCTGGCTTTCACATGCAAGTGGGGCCACAAATACAAGAAAGATAAAAATATTGGCAACATGTATCAAATAATCGTACCGTCAAACTGGTATTGAATGATGTTGTTGCAGATCTCGAGCAAGAAGAAGACCAGGTGGTTGTTTTGGGAGGAGGAGAAGAGGAACCTTGGCGTGGAGAAGGCCTCCAGCAGATGCAGCAGTTTGGACGCAGCCACCATGGACAGACTCTTCAGATACGGGGATACTGGGGCGACAAACAGCAACCACCAGGGGGCGATGCTTCACTAAACGTCACATTTACGGTTGGTTTTCAAGCCCAACTGTATATGCCATGAGGTTAGAACTAGAATACATTGTCTGTTGTTGTCATCTTTAACCAAGTTTTTATTGGTTACACCTATTGGAGCCAGTATTAATGTTAACATGTATTTATGTTATTTAATGTTTATTGGTTACAATTGGTCAAAATGATGTTGTCATGCTCTCTTTCCTTGTTATCAACATAATTACACCTGTCACTTGTGCAAAATGGTATTAGTGTTCTATGGGATAGGACTGAAACTGTTTTTATACATCAACATAATCCAAAAGAAAGATGAAAGAAAAATAAACTCAACCACAGATATATATTTTGTTCTTTAAACATGTGCTTTTTTGTTATTTAAAGTACAAACCTCCTTAAAAAGCACAAGGAAACATCTATGTCTTAAATGTAACCAATCGGCTTCACATGTGGGTTATATTTTGTGTTCTTTGCATTTGAAAGTTACTCACTATTAACGATGATGGTGAGCAAACAGTCAAAGAGCGGCTGCAGACGCTGATGTCCACACGTCATGATCTTATGGAAAATCTATGAAAGAGAAGTTTTCAAAATGTTCATGGAGTTTTTAAATCAGCCAGATCTGTTCCTTCCTGCCAATCTTAGCAGCAGTGGCAGCAGTACTCAATGTTGTGCTCAGATTCATGCAGCTAAAATTTGGAACAGTCTTTCTGAAAAGGTGAGACAAGACTCTACTTTGACAATGTTCAAATGCAGGTTGAAAACAGGTCTGTGATTATCTATGATTTGTGTGATTTTAATGATTATTTTCATGTGTTATGCTTGAGTTGGTGTACAAACTATGCTATACACTTATACTACTACTCTACTATACTACTCAAAGCTGGGAGTAGCAAACATTCAAACCACAAAAATTAACAAACCATTTCCTCCGTTTCACAGCAGTTTGGTTCCTTCACTACGTTTCACATGTATGTATCTGTTCAGTCACTAACCACTATGAGCAGATCGGCGTGTGTCCCGGTGAACAGGGGGACGTCCATGGGGACTCGGAGTGTGTACGGTTTGTTCAGACGGACCCCAAAGTTCCTCTCTCCACTGAGCAGCAGCAGAATAAACACACCGATGTGGACCAGACCCACTTTAGCTAATCAGAACACACAAAGAGGAGAGAAGAACACAAGTAATTGATTTGATAATAGCCCGTTCATGTTCCATTTTGGTGTTTGGGTGTTTTAGGCAGGTAGCAAAACAAATCTAAGGACAGAAGCTAGCTTTGAAAGAAAAGTAGCAAAAGAAAAATGTCCAATTGTTTTTCCAGATCATTATTATCATTTCATTGGGACGAATAAAAGATTTTTAATCACAAAAAGAATAAACAAAATCTGTCTGATGGCCAACATCATGTGGTTTTAAAAACAAATATTGTCACCGCTTCTAGACACCTAAAATAAATTAAACCATGGCTCAGTTTGTAGAATCATTATTCTTCCATCTTAATAGCCGTGGGTTTGACTCCCATCTATTCCCACTGAGGTCTGCTGTTGTTGTGTCCCAGGGCAAGACCTCTCCCCACTCTGCCTAAAGCCCCCAATGAAAGACACAGGCTGTGTAATCGTTGACAGACATGCCATCCAATCCTCAACGCTCTGATTGCCAAGCCTGACTCTAGCCAGACCCTTGTAGTTCCGCCATAATGCACCAGAGGCGCTTCGCTAAACACAACTACAAGGGTCTGGCGAGAGTCAGGCTACTGATTGCCACCGACCGACGAAGAAATGGATCAATAAAGGGGATGAAAATGGATGAATGAATGGATGTCTCTTTGAAATGTTGCGAAATCTCATGAACACAAGCTACAGTATATATATCTGAGTGAGTCTTACAATGGTCTGCTCTGGATTCATTCAGATAGAAAAGTATTGGGACCAGCATCTCTAAAACGTCACTGCTTTTCAGGACAAAAAACAAGAATTTCTGCAAAATAAAGAATAACCCCATTAACGTAACTGTTTTTGGCAGTCGTATTTGGAGTTTTTTCACCTTGTTTATATCGCAGAGTCTCCAGAACAGAATGAGCAGCTCCTGATGAAACTGGATCTTTTTGGTTGAGTTTGGGAGATAGGTCTGGAGCAGAGGGTTGTTCAACAGACTGGCCAAGCCTTTGAGGATAAAACTGAAGTCCTACAACAAAACAAAGAACAGTGACCAGGCCTAAAATCAAATGCATACGCGATGAGCAAATGTATGTATAATAACCTCTTCTCTGTGGATCCTGGAGAGATAGTTCACAAAGAGGTTTTCTGGTCTTAAAGGCTGAAAAGAAGCACACGCAAAATGAAAGAAAGCACTAAAACAAGGAAGAACAATTAGACAAATTGTGATTTATTTTTCTATTTCATTGTGGTCCCTAGAAAAAAGTGAATTGTTTTATTATTTAACTACCACTTCTGCAGCATTTCTGTCCTCTTCTTTGGTTCCAGTGTTTAGCATTGACAACAAAACAGCAATTAGCAAAATGTTAGCTTAACCATAATCTATGTAACTAAGTAACAATTTCATTCTCATTAAACTCTTATTAATATATATATGTGTTTTCTTTGACCAAATTGGAGAAAGTCCAGCCAAAAGTTAGGAAGAAACAAATAATTAGCCAATAATTTGCATCAGTTTTTCCCCCAGAAGTGAGAAACGTCAGTAAAATGTAAACAAATCACAACAAAACACAAAAAAACAACTTTAGGTTGTTAGCTTATTGGCTGAGAGAGGGTGGTCTTTCTTTTTTTCACCTTTGTCCAAAAAAGCCAATGTAAAGATGTGACAAATGCAAATGTGAAAACCAGACTGTTATGAGACCAATAAACTACAGTAAATAGAAGGCTTTTCCATAGTACATGAAAGTTGGGTAACCCAGCTTTAACAGCCCCATTGTAGCACCCTCAAACCTGCACCTCTTGCTGCTCCGTTGCGTTGCTCGTATCCAGCGCCTGCAGAGCTGAACAGGCCGCAGTTCTGCCCTCGTGCTCCAGGGTCACGATCAGCACCTGAATGGCCTGCTCCACCAGCCGCTCCCTCACGTCAGAGAACAGGAGGTGGTTGTAAGGCAGCCCCAGTCCCACCGGGTCGTAGGCACACACCACGTTCAGAAGCGACGTGAAGAGCGGCAACGCGTGTCTGCAACACCAGTTCACACCTGGTTTAAGCTTCTCTGACTGTTTTCATTTCATATAAGTGATTTTATACATTGATCTGATATCACTAAGCCATTCAAAGTCCAGGATCAATGGCAGCGTCTTGTCTGAGTGTGAGGGATGCTAATACAATGGGTTATGTGCACCCTTCTCAAGAGTTCTAACCATAGTGAATCCTAGCCCAAAACCTAATAAAATTGGCTGGGCAATTCAACAAATGTCTTTGTTTTTGCACAGCCCTATAACAAAAAAAGAATGAGAAAATCAAGTAAAGAATATACTCATGAAAAGACAAAACTTACAGTCTATGCATTACTTTTTACAGGCATAGTATTTTAATCAAACCCTGAGTCAACTTTTGCAATTTTGGAATCACATTTTGTCTTTATCATCTGAACTTTGCTTTTGATGAAAATAAGTGCTGGTTTAGTCCTTGTTTAGACCAAATAGACCCACTATTATGTTCGTCTGATAACAGTCCAGTTACCTGTTTTCTGAGGAGGAGAAAAATGTCACCCATGGATTTGAGTTTTTCTTCTCTGACAAAGCAGAGATGTATATGGCCTCCGAGAAACATGTCAGCAGCAACTTCAGCAACTCAGTCCTGTACACAAGAGAGATTTAGAAATGTAGATTAAATAAATTGACACGATGTGTGCGTTATACCTGTTTTGGTCGTGGATGTAGTTCACTGCAGGAGACTGAGCGAACCCGACTCCTGCCTCCCAAATGAACTCACAGCTGTCGATTGACTGAATATCCTCGACCGAGTCCTGAGGTGGAAAACAAGAGATGCAGCGAAACAATTTGAAAAGGCTATTAGCTTGTGCAATAAGAACTGCATGTTAAAGAAATGGAACAACTTTATTTTAAATAAACAAAACAACCAAATGAAAGGGAGCAAATGAGATGAGAAATGCACTATTTTAGTTTCACCACAAAGTTGGCGTCTCAGAGAGATAGATTTTATCAATTACCAAATGCATTTTACATACAGAATCTAAAATGTAAAAATAACTATTGTTGCTATATATATCATCAGCCCTTGATAAACTACAGGAGTCTGCATGGGACACTGTTGACAGCTCCTCATGTGGGCCGCTTGAGAGTGTGAAAGTCTTTAAATAAAACTCACTGATAAAACATGAGAGCCCTGGGGCATAGAGAGTTCCGCTGCATTTTGAAAGGAATCGTTAGGGTAATACTCCCACATTAAGAAAGTTTAGATAACTTGTCAATCAACCAGGGTCACAAAGCGCGATTGATGGTGAAATCATATTGATGATTTCACTATCAATATGTTGTACCAGGTTTTCTGTGATATCAGATCATTTCTTTGTCAAAACCAAAACAGCACGGGGCTAATCAAAACATGCCACAAATTTGCATCACTGTCCCAAAAAAGGGAAATTAATATTCCTGTTTACATATATTGAAACTTCACCCCACTTATATACCATATAACAACATGTAGTTTTACGGTATACTATAGTGATAAATTGGGCATACAGCAGACAAAACTCTAATTTAAAACACAAGTTGTATTGAGAAGGTAATGGAGAATAGGGAACAACATACAGTATGGCAAACTACTATAGCTACAGAATGTTTTTAAATATTGACAAACAGAAATTACTTACAGATAGAACATTTTAAATATATGCAAAAAACTGTGGTGATTATTTGAGTAGAAATGTAGTAAGTTAAGATGCAATTATAATAGACCTCTTACATGTGAGCCATACATTTATTATTGAACTCCAAGTAAAATGCGATGACATGGCTAAAACACTGTGTACATTTGTTGTGGTTTTCCTAACGTGTCATTGGCTTATTGCCCGCTTCACGTCCCGAGGGGTTTTAACCAGTGAGACGTGCACAGAGCTGGGTCATAATGAGAAAACACAGCTCCACATGTCTCCTGTTTGTTCAATGTGACGGATAAGGCCCTGTCTCAACTGCCCATTTGCTAAACACTCCACTCCTCTGGTCACACATTAACCAATCAGCTTCTCACAACTCAAATACGTAACTTTCAAGACTTCAAGAAGAATCCTTGTAAAAAGGTTAGCTAAAACTTTATGAGCTTTTCCCTTATGGCTCTCACCATGGCCTCCCCTTCTGGGTTAAGGTTAGCGAGATTGTCAGATTGGGCTGTCTGTCTTTCTTCCTTAAGTCAATTAATCGGTTAAGGACCAAATTTTTTAATACCGGACTAATTATTATATTTCAATAAAATACATATATATATTTCAAAGAATCTTTAGGTGAAAATTGCTAAAATTAAAGTTAAGGCTAGGTTTGTATGTGTTTATTTTGATATTCAAGCTAGAAACAACTCTCATTTTACTTATTTAATCAATATTGTTGTATTAATTGCAAAAAATACCAATACGTTTGCGGATAAATAGTTGCTTTTTAAAAATATCTCATTTCTCTTATAATGATAATAATAACAATAAATAATGGACCTCTTTTGGCTGTTTTTTTGTGCACCTAAAGAATTGAGGATAAATGAGCATCTACATTTTTTGCTAGTTGGAGGAAGAAAACAAAAAATGGTCGGCCTCACCTCCACACACAGCTTGGGCTCTGGAACCCAACTCCTTGAGAGGGGTTGGACGCTCCACTTTTCTGGTGTTTCCCGCGGGGAGAGGCGGCGAGCTGGGGTGGCCATTCTAATTGCCCCCCATCTCAGCCGCCACGTGTTGGAGTTCTCCCCGGTGAATGAGAGGGTCGCGTCCCTCCGCCTCTGGGTGGGGGACAAGTCTCTCATTGTTGTGACGGCCTACGGGCCTAACAGCAGTGCAGAGTACCCGGCCTTCTTGGAGTCCTTGGGAGGGGTACTGGACGGTGGGACTCCGTTATTCTCCTGGGGGACTTCAACGCCCATGTGGGAAATGCCAGTGACACTTGGAGAGGGGTGATCGGGAAGAACGGCCCCCCTGATCTGAACCCGAGCGGTGTTCAGTTGTTGGACTTCTGTGCCAGTCACAGTTTGTCCATCACGAACACCATGTTCGAGCACAAGGGTGTCCACCAGTGCACGTTGCACCAGGACACCCTAGGCCGGAGGTCGATGATCGACTTTGTTGTCGTATCATCTGACCTTCGACCGCGTGTCTCGGACAAAGAGAGGGGCGGAGCTGTCAATTTATGCCAAGGATAGGCATAAATAAGCATTGCTTCAGCCTATTCCTTTTTTGGTTGAATATTTTTGTTTTGTTGTTAGTGTTTGTAAATTTAAATGCATCAACCAAAATAAACCATTCATTCATTCAACCGATCACCACCTGGTCGTGAGTTGGATCCGCTGGCAGGGGAAGAAGCCGGTCAGACCTGGCAGACCCAAGCGTATAGTGAGGGTCTGCTGGGAACGTCTCGCCAAGCCCCCTGTCAGACGGACTTTACACTCACACCTCCGGGAGAGCTTCTACCAGGTCCCGGCGGAGGAGGGGGACATGGAGTCCGAGTGGACCTTGTTCTCTGCCTCAATCACCGATGGGGCGGCTCGTAGCTGTGGTCGCAAGGTCTCTGGTGCTGGTCCCGGCGGCAACCCCCGAACCCGGTGGTGGACACCGGCAGTAAGGGATGCTGTCAAGCTGAAGAAGGAGTCCTATCGAGCCATGATGGTTCGGGGGACTCCTGAGCTGTCCAGTACCGGCAGGCCAAGCGTGCCGCGGCCCGGGCTGTTGCAGAGGCAAAAACCCGGGACTGGGAGGAGTTCGGAGAGTCCATGGAACATGACTATCGGTCGGCCTCGAAGAGATTCTGGCAAACCATCCGTCGCCTCAGGAGGGGGAAGCAGTTCTTTGCCAACACCATGTACGGTGCGGGTAGAGAGCTGCTGACCTCGACTGGGGATAATGTCGGGCGGTGGAAGGAATACTTCGAGGTTCTCCTCAATCCCCCCGTCACGTCCTCCGTTACAGAGGCAGAGGCTGAGGATGTTGGGGCGGATACATCCATCTCCCTGGCTGAGGTCACCAAGGTGGTTGGCAGCCTCCATGGTGGCAAGGCTCCGGGTGTGGGTGAGATCCGTCCTGACTATCTAAAGTCTCTGGGTGTTGTAGGACTGTCTTGGCTGACACGTCTCTGCAACATCGCGTGGCGATCGGGGGCGGTGCCAATGGAGTGGCAGACCGGGGTGGTGGTCCCCCTCTACAAGAAGGGGGACCGGAGGGTGTGTTCCAATTATCGTGGGATCACACTCCTCAGCCTCCCCGGTAAGGTCTACTCCAAGGTACTGGAGAGGTGGCTACGGCCGATGGTCGAATCTCGGATTCAGGAGGAGCAGTGTGGTTTTTGTCCCGGTCGTGGAACACTGGACCAGCTCTATACTCTCCATTGGATACTCGAGGGTTCATGGGAGTTCGCCCAACCTGTCCACATGTGCTTTGTGGATTTGGAGAAGGCGTTCGACTGTGTTCCCCGGGGTGTCCTTTGGGGGGTTCTCCGGGAGTACGGGGTCGGGGGTCTTCTGCTGAGGGCCATCCGATCCCTGTATGACCGGAGCCAGAGCTGTGTTCGCATTGCCGGCAGTAAGTCAGACCTGTTCCCGGTGAATGTTGGCCTCCGACAGGGCTGCCCTTTGTCACCGGTTCTGTTCACTGTGTTTATGGACAGAATTTCTAGGCGCAGCCAGGGGTCGGAGGGGGTCCGGTTTGGAGATTTCATCTCTGCTGTTTGCAGACGATGTTGTCCTGTTGGCTCCAACGAACCAGGACCTGCAGCATGCACTGGGGCGGTTTGCAGCCGCGTGTGAAGCGGCTGGGATGAGAATCAGCACCTCCAAATCCGAGGCCATGGTGCTTGACCGGAAAAAAGTGCCTTGCCCTCTACAGGTGGGTGGAGAGGTCCTTCCTCAAGTGGAGGAGTTCAAGTATCTCAGGGTCTTGTTCACGAGTGAGGGAAGAATGGAGCGTGAGATTGACAGGCGGATCGGTGCAGCGTGCGCAGTGATGCGGTCGCTGTATCGGACCGTTGTGGTAAAGAGGGAGCTGAGCCGAAAGGCAAAGCTCTCAATTTAACGGTCAATCTTCGTTCCCTCCCTCACCTATGGTAATGAGCTTTGGGTAATGACCGAAAGAACGAGATCGCGGATTCAAGCGGTCAAAATAAGCTTCCTCCGCAGAGTGGCTGGGCGCTCCCTTAGAGATAGGGTGAGGAGCTCAGTCACACGGGAGGAGCTCGGAGTAGAGCCGCTGCTTCTCCACGTCGAGAGGAACCAGTTGAGGTGGCTCGGGCATCTGTTCCGGATGCCTCCTGGACGCCTCCCTGGGGAGGTGTTCCGGGCACGTCCCACTGGGAGGAGGCCCCGGGGAAGACCTAGGACACGCTGGAGGGACTATGTCTCCCAGCTGGCCTTGGAACGCCTTGGGGTCCCCCCGGACGAGCTGGAGGAAGTGTGTGTGGATAGGGAAGTCTGGGCGTCTCTGCTTAGACTGCTGCCCCCGCGACCCGGCAACGGATAAAGCGGAAGAAAATGGATGGATGGATGGATGGTTTGATTGCAAAAATTCTGTAAATATTGCTTCTTAGTAAAAATGCATATGGAAGTAAATAAAATGTTGTATATTTTTGCAGAGGCCATTTGTGTCAAAATGAGAAGCATTTGGATCTGCATGTAAAGAAGAACTCACAGGTCCGCTCTTGTTGTGGCGGTGGACGGTGAAGTCTGGACAGAAGAGGAGATCTGCGATGGAGAGAAGCAGGGACTCAGCCAAAGGGCGACACTGGTCCTCGTCTTCTCCCTCTTCGTCCAAATTCTGCCAAAAAGAAGTTGTTATGGGTCTCTCCGGTTATTGAATAAATATATGTTAATGAGGATATCCCTAATATGGTAATCACATATGTATAGGTACCGTTTGAGTTTCTTAAAAATTGGAGATTTTTAAGCAATCTATATCGAGGAAGTTAATATTTACATAGTTGCATTTCTCGTAGTTTGAAAATTGGGTACTTAAACACCAAAAATCATTATCACCATCATCACCAGTTAAAATAAGAGTTCCAATCAAAAAATGTGGATCGATTTCATGTAACACGGACTATAACAAAAGCATCTCTATGGAAACCAGACGGTGGGCCCCAGAGGAGAAATTTAGAGACAATATTGTTGAATACAGAAGTAAAATGAACCCTATTTCTATCCCTTTTTACATTATAACATATACATATACAATCATTATGAATAAAAGTAAATTATTCCAACAGGTGGGGACCCAATCTCTGGTCCCTCAGCTGCTGAGAGTCAAGTTTCTAAATGATTTGTGACTTCAGTTTGAACAGAGCTCACATTGTCAAACCCTCCTCCCCCTAGTCCTCACCTGGACTCCAGACTAAACCAGGGCTGAACCAGGACTAGTCTGCGACAGATCAGATGTCTCCAAATTACAGTGAGAGACTCGGGTGCAGGTGTAAAAGCGTCTGACATTTAGAGAGAATTAAGGGCAAATGAAAAGTAATGTGAACTGCTGTCACTGAATACAGGCAGCTTAAGGAAATACACTAGAGGGCAAGAATGTCTGGAGGATTGTTTATTTGGTGCCCTACTTTATTTTAGTGAATGAATGAATGTTATAGTATGTATTTATTACTCTATTGTGCAGGGGTTCTGGGGAAAATGTGACTCTTAAATAAAAAAAAGAATGTGTTGAGACAACACTGTTAAAGATACAATCTGCAGCTTTTCTGCGGTTGGTACATCATTTGTTGTTTGAATAGGAAGTAGATTGAAGTGAAATAACGTGTAAAATGTAAGTAAGTAAGTAAGTAAGTAAGTAAGTAAGTTTTTATTTATATACCGCCTTTTCACTGCAGATCTGAGTCTCAAAGCGGTTTACAATTGTTAATTTTGGGCATTTGTCTCTCACTCCACACAGAGATGGGAGTGGGGTCGCCAGTACAGGAGGCGCATGCTAGAACTATTGGACATATTTTTAGTGGTAGGGGAAACCGGAGCACCCGGAGGAAACCTACGCAGACACGGGGAGAACATGCAAACTCCACTCAGAAAGGCCCTGGTCCAGCCGGGATTCGAACCCAGGACCTTCTTGCTGAGAGGCGAGAGTGCTATCCACTCAGCCACCGTGCCGCCCAAAATGTAACTATAATTGTCCATTTTCCTTTATCCATTCAAAGTTTCCTGTCCCTAGATACACACCAACTTCTCTATAACTAATTATATGTACAATTAAAGTAGGATTAAAAAGGGCCCTACAGCCATTTTGGCACAACAACAAAAACCACATTGCAATTAAAATCCACCAATCGCAAATGCAATTTCTCATTGTATATCAATAATGTGATTCTTAATGTGGAAAATAGTAAATAATAAAGATGTACTGGTATCACAATATGCAATTATAAAAGCAGACAGAGCATAATGTCCTTATCTCGGCTGAATTTTTTTTTTTTTTTAAATGCTTTTGTCTGTGGTTTCAATGGAAATGCCAAATAAGCTGAATCTTGAAGTTGAGTTTTGGTACTGCCACATAGTTCAGTGTATACATTAGCATTGCTCTCACCCGTCCTGCTCCTGGCACCGTGGACCAGAAAAACCCTCTCCAGTCGGGATCCTCAAAGATGTAGGGCAGGATCCGGGTCAGTAAACGAGTGCAGTTCAAAACCACCTGTCTCTCTCGCTCCGACGGGACTCCACATGAAGCCCCTAGCACCAGCTTCTCCACCGCCTGGGTCCAAAACAACAGCTTTTATCAAGTCACATGGATTGTATTGAGAGACATTAGCCACATAGATTGTAGAGAGAGTAATATAAGTTTGAAGCAGGTGATGTGTTAAATTCAAAAAGCAAATAGGGACAATAGACGGAAGAAACGGAAAGAATGTTGTTGCCAACTCTTTGTGACGTTGTGTTTGAAGAACAGTTAAAGAGTGGGAAAATCAAACGCTAAATTCCTTTTCTGTTTGTGTCTCCAGGAACAACACGGACCTCACAGACGGACACAGAGACAGAATAATCTACGCTTTGTTTGTCATGTTGTAATCTTCCTGCATTTAAATATATATATGGAAGGTGATTAAGAACTAATTCCATGAGACTATAAAACAGCTGTGTGATTGCCAACTGTTTTGCAATGGTTTGACCACATCACAGATATTTTGTCACAAATAAAAATATAATCTGCTTGTTACTATGCTGCTAACTAGGCACTTAGTTGTGAGGATATTCACTATAATGTTTGGTGGAGAAGGCCCAAATCAACATAATTTAGCAATTTTTCAGACTTTTTCGATGAAGACTTTTAAGTTATTTAAAAGTTTAAATAAAAATAGATAAAAATGAACTGGGCTTAGAAGTAAGTAGACTGTACTTGGCTTCACCATTAGCAATTAAAAAAGTCAAATGCACACAATTTCTAAGTCTGTTTCAGACTCTAAATGCGAGGAATGATGGCATGAGTTTTATGAAATTAAAGATATTTGACGTTTGTGATCATTGCAATGTAAACTGGGATTTTGATTACTGATCTATTGTGAGGAATCTTGCAGCCAAAGTAAGTGAACACTTAATAAGTTGGTTCATATCATTATATATGTCTTGTACCTTGTAGCAGAGGGTTGCCAAGTTGGACGGGGACTCTTCTCTCACGGCTCTGATCTCTGCAGCTGGGACCAGAGCAAACACGTCCTGAACCGTGGTGTTTGTCTCGCACCAAAACTGGTCCCAAAATGCATCATCGTTGGCCTCCACAGGCTGCACAGGATAATATAGTTATTATGTACTATGATAAACATATACCAAGCCAGAAAATTATTGCTGATCAAGTCAGTGTAAAAACATTTCTTGGTATTTTCATAATTCTCTTTTCAATACTGTATGACGCCCTGAACTGCATACACACCAGAGACTTTTGTTTGTCCAAAGCCTGTTCACAGTAGCTTACACATCCTTCAATCTAAAGTAAACAGTGGCCCATCTTGGCTCCACCTTAAATTCACCTGCTACTAAGCAGTCTGCTGATCCACTACAAGAAAAACCCTTAGAAACAGATCGTATTCTATTTAGAATTGAAAAGATGCAGGCATGGTTGTGATTTGTATGAAAAGAGGTGGAAAGATAATAGTAAAATGTGCAGATTTAACTTCTGCCAACTTCACAATTTCTAATTCGATCTTCCTAACGCAACAACTACATTCTGTTAAACTGATAGAGATACCAATTTATGTCCTTCTATTTTTCCTTTAGACAACCCAGTTCACTATTGCCCAAAGTTCCGACCGTAAACAGCATAATTAAGGTTGAATTCAATAGATTATTCTGAACCAGGCTGACTCAGACTATGCATTAAACTTGGTAAGGCAAATGTAATGTTTTTGAAGTCCAGTCCCATTTCATTTAACATCTGGCATTATTCTAGTCTTATCTGTGTCTTGTTCAAACCACGGCACAGCTTATACATTAAGGTTGATATACCAAACATTCAAAGACATTAACGATGAACTAAAAATCAATGCAAGTAGTTCCTCGCTCTCAAAACAGATTCTACCACTACTCTTAACGTGCATGTATTTTTATTGCACATATCTTTTGATCAGCTTTTACATGAAGAAAAGTGAAAAAAGAAAGAAAGGACCACCCTTACACACTCAATTATCTATCAACCCAAAGCTTTCTGACAAGTATGCAAAAGATAACACTTTCTAATAAGTTGAAGACAGCATGTAGAGGTTTGATCCATTCACGAAAAAAGTACACTTTGTATAATTTCCCTTGGCCCAAAAAACATGGTTTATTTAGAGGTATATGGGAGGATTTAGAAAGAAAAAAAAACTCTCTGGTCTTATTTGAAGAACACATATCACCAGAATGATTGACAATTGGGAGGACCAATAGTCTTGTTGATCCACCCGGAAGTAGAAAACCCTCATATATACCTTTAAGAATTAAATGGAGGTACACCAGCTTTAGAATAACTGTTAGACTAATTAAATAGTAAAATATTAATTCAATGTGGCCTTCTTTACAATGCACAATGTAGAAGACCAGCTTAAACAAACTTAGCAAAAATATTGAAAAGTATTCCAGTACTTTTTGGCTAACATCTGTTACACCTGACTCAAGACCGCTACTACTACAACTACTTTCCAAGCACGAAAACCTCGCTTTCATTAATTTCTGCCCGTCTCTTACCTGTGTTTTAGTTGTAAGTTGGATTACTGCTTTTCTGAAGAGCAGTTTGGAGTCTCCGCTTCCCATTTCAGCGCGTTTCCTCCGCGGATAAAACTACTGACAGCCGCGACACGCTCTGTCCTCAACATCCACAACGCTGCTGACCAGAGGCGTTCATGGGCAGACGGAAAATACAAAACTCTATCATATCGAAGTAGTTTTAACGTTGAAATTGAAGTAGTTGTTTTTTATTCTGTTAGTAGCAAAAAACTCTATGGCAAGTCAAAAGTGTACCAAGCCTGTTTAAACCGCTTTTAGATACCCTTGAACGCATCACATTAAAAGATCACACTATTTTTTTCATACCCATAGAATTGCCAACTAGTGCAACAGCTGCTTTAATAGCCAAGTTTAGTGCTCTATATTGCTTAGAATAGGTAAAATTACTTTATGAAGTAGCCAAAAATATAGCGTTTCTGCAAAATAATACATGTTTATTATGCCCAGGTAACTTTGAAGGCCTCATCAGGATCTGACAAGAGCAACTTCCGTGATGCCTCTAGAGGCTAAATGATCAGAGCTAGTTTAGTTTTATTTAATTAGAATAATCACGTTGTTGACTTTGCATGTAAATAGACGTGTAGATTATATATCATTGAAACACCATTGGATGTCTTCTCACTTTATTTTGTAAGTATTGCTGTATGTATCAGGCATGTTTTGAGTTTCAACCATTTGCAGCATCTGTTTCCAGGCAAGTAAATAAAGTAATCTGAATAAGTTCTGCTGTTTTGTAGAAGACAGGTCAATGATTGTCCTCAAGAGGGAGACATTTTCCAATAATATTTTAACAGAACAGACATGAGCAGGTCTAGAATGTTGTGTATTGATGAGGGGGGCATACTATTTAGTATTATTAGTGCCTTTTGGATCTCAACGTAAATTAATCTTTATTTTAGAACTATAATGAATAGTGGATTAATCACAACTAATCAAGTTGTTTTAATGTCGCTCTGACATGACAGGTCTACATGCATTTTCTATAGGATTGAGATCTGAACTTTGTGATGGTCAACACAAAACTTTGACTTGATGTACTTTTTCTCAGCTGGATTAACTATTTTAGTAATCGATTCATCGTTAACTGCTCTGTGTACAGACTCCAATTCATCAGTACGTGTTGTGAATTGAGGTTTTAAACTACTTTGTTTCAGCTTTATGAGATATAGCGTTACATACATCAAATGTAATGCTTTCTAAAAATAATAAAAAATAATAATAATAATCAAAAGAAAACCCGCTAATTAATTTATTTTTCAAATTTGTATTATTCTCTCACCAACATTGATCTTCGTATATGGACTTGATACAGGGCCGTTTCCATGGATACGAGCTGTTTCCCGTGACAAAACACTTGACGAGATTCCCAAATGTAATCCCTCCTATTACTACTACTGCACTCTAGCGTTTTGCATCATCACAGAATAACAGCTGGTTTTTCATTACTGCATACATGTGACTCATATCAGTAGATTTCATTTTCCATATTAACCATGCAAAGACCAATCTCTGAAATACAAAAAACAACGTATTATTATAAAATAAAACAAAACAATCATGCTTAATAGAGTTGAATCTACTCAATATTACATACTTATAAATGTCACTGCCACACATACTTTTCTTTACTTAAAGTAGCCCATTAATACATTTTCATACCTTGTTTTATTACTACTTGTCGTGCTTCTATGATTACACTTCTGTAATATTGAAATCAAGTACCTTCCATCTGTTTTCCTCGGTCATGTTGATTCAAGATATAAGCAAAATTTTGTTAAACATATTTTGCATGTCTACAGAGTTTTATTTAGAGAGATTTTATGAGGTGAGGCGGAGCACATACGCCCACTTCTAGTGCTGGGAGTTTTGGAATTTAGTGCATTACATTGTTATGCATCACATTTATAATATATTACTATACTGTAGTTACTGCATGAATGTTGAGTTTAATGGAATGGCACATTTTCTTGGTTTATCCACTGTCTACAAATAATTTTTGAAACAACACATTAACAGGGTAAAAGTGGTGTTACACAATTGCATTTTAGATACTTTATTATTGTATTGCAAATATATTACAATTTCATCCCTGTAATGAGAAGAGGATTACAACTTTATAGTAGGGCTGGGCAATAAATCGAATTTAGGCAATTAATCGTGTGAGAGTTCCAGCAGCACAAGAATTATATTTGTATTATCAGCACACTCTGTACAGGACTTTTATAACACGTATTGGGGGAATCAAATAAAAAATAGTTTTGAAACTTGAATATTGAGTGGAAAGATCAAAACATATAAGGGCAAAGTCTGTCTTCGGTGACTTTGATTAAAATCGATTAAAAATCAAAATTGTCCAAAGCTGGAAGTAAAATCGAGATTGTACTTTTTTGCCATATCGCCCAGCCCTACTTTATAGTATCTATCACTGTTGAAGTTACTGAAAAGTTGTATGTGATTAAAACATTTTTTTTTAGCTGGAATGGAGTGAATGAATAATAACAAGACTCTTTCTGTGTCCAAGCGATATATAAAACTAATGCATTATTATTGTTATGTTGAGCACGTTGTCTTGTGTATACGAATAAACTTGTCATTTTTTTGTCTCATGATCATGGGACCATGGTCTTTTACTACATTTACCACCCTCTTCCTACTGTGATTATTTACGGCAGCCAGGGTCATAACCTATAAAAGTATGAAGAAATATTCCCTCTGGTGTATTCTCTCTGGGAGCAGCTGCAGATGCCTCTTCCGCAGCTTAAAGTGGATGAAGTGTGACTCATGTGTGGGCTGCAGACAAAACAAAAACCTCACACTCCCCTGAACACCTCGCACAGCTGCAGCCGCTGTCAGGCCTCAAAACATCCTCTCCAACATGGACTTGTTTGTGGCCTTAGTGTGGAGCCTGGTCGCACTGACACAGGGCAGACCGGTAAGAATTCACTTTAAAAAGTTTTTAATTTGTTTCAGATTTAGTTTTATTTGCCATTTGCAGTAAAACCCCATTGGAATACATGTGCAGGAATACCCCAGGGGGCTCTAGACAAGTGTATATTATAAAACAAGCTAAAGTTTCATTTTGATGTTTTATTGAGGTCTGTACTTTTACTGTTATTTTCAGGAGCTGCTTTTCTCTGATTCGTCATCCTCGTCTTATTCCTCCTCATTTTCATTGTCTTTTGAAACTTCAGGTAAATTTGTGATTATTCTAGATGTATTTATTATCTAATTTAAAACTATAATCAAATGTCATAAATTCCAGCAAACATTTGAATTCAATACTTATAATTATTATCAGTAGAATTAGTAGTACTTTAATTGTCAAATGGCTCATTCATTGATTTCTTTCATTTTCAAATTGCATTGTAGTCTTATTTGCAGCAATAACCATAGTTCTTACAAACCAAAACTCTAGACACTTTGTATTTCAATGTATTTTTGTTTGTGATTATGCCATTTTATTGGCATTTGTGCTGAGATACATTCACAATTGGATCAATGCAATCAACCAGAAATAAAGCCAGAGATGTTTTCCAAATCAGTGTCCCCAATGTGTGTGAGTACAATATCCAACAGTAGCCAAATTCACATATAACAGATTCAAACATGGATTTTCAATTATTATTTTATTATAGGAGTTTTCTGAGCAAACCACAGAATCAAAACAAAGGGTAAAACAGCCATAAAGAGCCAGACAGTGGCTTAGGCAAAAAGGTGTGGTTTGGCGAACATGGCAAAAAAAGTGTTTGATGTAGGCCTACGTCAATTTCCAAATCCTAAATTTAGATCTTAACATTTTAGACATGATAAATCAACTTCCAGAACAAGAACAACTTTATTATGTCTTGTGAAATAGCCTTAATTGTTCCATTGGAAAATGTTTCAGCAATATACTGAAATAACAAGTTCTCAGTTCATTCAAAAAAAGTCAACATCACAAAAACTGTCATCCTTTCTTATAGATCTTGTTTATGTTCATATTTATATAATGATAGTGGAACTGTATATAATGCATTGTGTCCAGTGGGAGGAGGGTGTTTGAATGGAGGAACCTCTGTGCCCTCACTTTACCCCAGACAACGGCTCTTCTGTCTCTGTCCTGACGGATTCGCAGGGAAACGCTGTCAAATCGGTACGAACAATGTTATGAGGAAAATTGTTAAATGGGATTTTGTTTTAGTAAATGTCTGTTTGTTATGATGTGATTATACCTTACTTAAAAACTGTATTTCCCAAAAAGTTGCCATGCATTTCAGTAATCTCAATCTCATTTCTTCCCTCTGGCGGTATCATACAGACTTGAAGACGGAAAGCACTTTTTTATCCTTAATACTTTACTTCATTTCATACCATATCATTTCTACTGAAGCTATTATTTAACGTTTTGAATACATTAACAAGTAAAAAGTTTCATTATCATTTTAAAAGCCAAGAATAATGCATAATATCTATTTGTTCTTATGTAAGACACGTTTTTACTGGATGAAAACCCATAAAAAAATATACACTTGATATAATCTGAATAAGACTTCTGCTGTGATTAATTGCCTTGCATATTTTCTACTATCCACGTCCACTGCTTATTTTTGTAGCAGCATATACAATATTGTCACACAAATGAATGATCTTGCCCTTGTTTCCACAGTCACGAGTGCTCTGTGTTTCGAGGGCAGGGGGCTTTACTACAGAGGGACAGCGTCACAGTCGGAGAGTGGGCTGCAGTGTGAGGAGTGGGACCTCGACACCAGGGAGCGATATATGACTTCAGACGTCAACCAGGGGAGACACAATTACTGCAGGTACATTTAAAAGCCACAGTGATTAAAGTTTAGGCTGAAAAATTGCCCTAATACAATAAAATGTTTTATATGGCATTGAAAAAAGTGTACCTCAAGTTTTTTACGATAATTAAAGGGCCATGCAATTTGATCCATTGAAATGATTGTGCAAAGTAAATGGCAGTTCTGTCAAAAATGTGTCTGGATGTTAAAGCCATTATGACGTAATAAAAACACCACTAGACCTAGACATATCAGATCTATGGAGCTGCTTGGGCAATATTGTGGTCAAAGCTTGGATCATATTGGCTCACAAGCCCTCTAATAATATTAAAATGGGAATAAGTTAAAAGAAAACAATGTCCATGAGTATTGTAGCTCAAATATTTTCCCTCTTTGATACAGAAACTTCCTGTACAAGCGTCGTCCCTGGTGCTACGTTCGTAAAAATCAGGAGTTGGTTTGGGAGTACTGTGATATTCTCCGCTGCGGATCGGAAACACGTATGTCTTTGTCATTTTAACTTTAATCCAAACCCCAGCTGAGGTATTATTTGAACATTTTGTAATCCTAATTTTAGTCCTGGTCCTATTTTTCAGTCTGCATGTTGACCTACATAAGTGAAGGGACAAAACACTTTACAGAGACTTTGTTTAGACTTTTAGAGAATTGTGTTTATAGCTAGTGTAAGTTGCCAAAGTAGCACTTTGACAGTTCAAGTTACCAAACATTGAAAACGGTCTATATATTTGTCAAGTTTTCCTTTTAGGCTTCACATAATAGTTTCTGCACAAGATGTGAACAGATTATTTAGGCTTTTTTTTTTTATAAAGCACAGTTCATACACAAGGCAACTCAAAGTGCTTAACAAAATGAGATAGAAACAACACAAAGTGGCAAGCCTCAAAAACACAAGTTAATTTATTACAGTGTACAGCAGTTGAAGTTTATTCCTAATACTATATATCTTATACTCCTAATCATTCAATGCAATGAGATAAAAGCTTTTCCATATACATTTACTTCTGCATTTGCCCCCCCAATTTATTTCTTAATAAAAGTCTTAAATAGTTGTTGCTTAAGGTTGTTAAGCTGCTGTGTTGTGGTAGTCTCGTCTTGCTTCATTGAAAACATAAAAAAAACACATTCTTCTCTTTCAGATGCAGACAGCCCCGTGCCCACAGAGTCTGAACCAAATCCAGGTGAGTCCACAGTCTCATGCAGTTATTGCAAAGATTTAAGGCTTCAAATGGGAAATGTTACATCATCATACATAAGCTACATACATAAACAAAGTTTAATTGTTTCATCCATGCATGTTTGAGAAAATCTGGTATAATTGTCCTTCCAATGAGCCATATCCTCTTTACCCGCCTAAACTTGCCTTGTGTGGGCAGAGTTTTTACAATGGGCCAGTATGGAGTGCCTATGGAGGCCGACACAAGTCCAAACAACAAGCTAACCTTTCCCACCACATTCAAACACACCTCATGATTGAACTGCTTTGAACAGTCTCAACATCTGTCCAGTAACTCCAGTGGAAAAATAGCGTACCATTTATGCAGCATCCATGTTTTAAGGCAAAAATGACAGAAGAAGTCGTGTTTAAAGTAGCAATATGTAAGATTTTCACGTGAAGTCATCATTAAATGGCCCTAATCTGTCAAAAGGCATTAATTAACCATGCTTTTTTCAAATACTTCTTTAACTGATAGCCAAGATATTTGGATTTCAAAATTAGTTTTACAGCCCCTAAATCTTGTTATTGTTTTCATTTTGAAGTCCCGCCCTCCACCGTTTTACCAATCAAAAAGTCTGTGATCCGGGTTGCCAGAACTCACCGTGTCAAGCTAATCTAGTAAAGTAACATGTGGCCGCAGAACTAAAAAAAGGTCTTGGAGTGATTCTCAAATTAATAATGACAAAAGAAGGAATAAAACCAGGATTTCTGTCTTTGTGAAAATGGTGTAGGTTATAGATATGTTATTTGTTGTTGACAAATATCTTTATCCTGATATCATGGACCCAGCTGGATTCGTCTGCATATCTGGCAAACTGAGTCAGGGAGAGTGCAGTACCACTTCGGGCCAGATTTTTATACTGCTCCTTTAATTGATAGTAATATCTTTTGGTGGCATCAGCTTTCATAACTTCTCCAATAAAACTTGTGCCCTGGGTCTGCTCAGAGGAGGGCCGGTCGTGTGGAGTCCGGACGCGGGGGAAGCTCATGAAGATCGTGGGTGGTTCGGTTTCGACGGTGGAGGCTCAGCCCTGGATTGCTGCCCTCTACTGGAGGAGCAGGTCCAAGGAAAAGGTCTTCAGATGTGGAGGGAGTCTCATCTCAGCCTGCTGGGTCCTCACTGCGGCCCATTGCTTCCCAGACGGGTAAACAAAATCATATACTGCAAATACAACAATAAAAACGCTATGCAATGACAACATTTAACTTCACTAATGCCTGGATTAAAGCTGAAGTGCCTAAGTTTTATTTGTTTCATAAATACATGTTGTCTGCCTTGATGTTTTGTGTGAAATTAAGGCCAAATGTTGTATTAATCTTGTTAGTAAAGGGCCCCGGGAGTCACTATTTGACTTTAGGCTGAGAGCTAATTGACGTCAGAGTGCTCCTTCTCTTTTTTACTTTTCTGTCTGAAAAATGTGAAAATGATAAATGTAGATAATTATTACATTGTTCCATGTTTTTGTGGCTTGAAAGTTCAGTACCCGAGCTTTAAGTATGTTATTTCTCGATTTGTCTTGCTTTCTTTATAATGTTATGAGCATGACAATACATTTTCCACATATATGAACTTAGATTATTTTATCAATCCGTTTAATTGTCAAATAGTGTTTTTAAAGATGGGTTTGAATTGTATTTTACAGCTCTCAAACCAAAGCGCGGAAGTTCTTCGTGGTTTTGGGGAAGAACGCTCTGAACAGAACCAACATCAACGTTGAGCAAAACTTCAGAGTCGAAGAAATAATCCTCCACGAAGCTTTCGACAACAGCGAGGGAACCTACGACAATGACATCGGTGCATTTTATAATGACCATTTTTGTCATTTTAGTTCAACCACAGTAGACCAATTTGTTTCTTATTAGTAGAGAAATTGCTTATTCTTTGCCTAACACTCTTTCTCCATTTACTGTATCGTATCAAAACCATCAAAAATAGATTTGAATCAAAACTAATGACATACTTCAAGCACTTACAAACTCACTTTATCAATTGTAAAATGTTATTAAAGCTGGGGTTCTTACCTTTTTTATTCCGTGGATTTTCAGTGAATTGTAACGGTCAGATGTTGTTGCTTCTTTCCAGCTCTGGTGAAGCTGAAGCCCATAGACGGTCACTGTGCAGAGGAGAGCAGCTCCGTGAAGCCGGTGTGCCTCCCTCCAGACAACCACCGCCTCCAGGCCGGACTCAGCTGCGAGATCTCTGGATACGGGAAAGAAAAACACGGTGAGCTGTTGTCACGTTTGAAATGACAGTGTTTTTTTAGACTGTGGTGGGAAGAAAGTGATATTGTTGCTGGCTATAGAGCAGAAAGATTAGATTTAGTGTGTAGATTTCAGCTCTATAGTCTGAAAGATTAGACTTCAGCTTGAGTCTGTATAATTATTTCTATGAAACTATCTCGATCCTAGCATGGGCCGAGTGCTAGTTACCATAGCAACACACTGTTTACTTACAGCAGTTGGCATTTAGTTTTGCTGCATTTCAATTACAGTAACCAGTTTTAGCATGTATTACAGAGAATTTCAGATCATATTACAGATTGCTCAAGCGCTCTATATATAATTATTGATTGTCAAAAAACCGTGTTCATTACCTAATATTATTGAGTAGTGAAAATCTAAAATCTAAAGCAACTTGATGTGTTGAAGTGGTAAATCTCCACAGCCTTGACTCCTGTTTTCTCATTGTTGACAAGGTAAATTCTGCTCAAACTTCACATTTTATTTGACTTATTTTCTCTACCACATCTGCCCAGGGCAGATGTGGCTATTGTAAATTACCTCCACAGACTGCATGGAGTGAATGTATCAATGACAACATGAATAAAAAACGTCACTGTTTTTCTCTAATAAAATTATCAATGAGTAATGAATGTACAATCAGCGGTTGTCTGTGAACATTTTCTCCAGGTAAAGGCTCAAGTGTGTAATGGTGAGTGATTATTTTAGTAGTAATTAAGGCTTTCTGGGGCTTATTGCAGTGAATAAAGAGTAATAAAGTCCTTAAACCTGAGGATTAGGAGAGAATCATGTCTGGGCTCATTTTAGGCTTTGATTCAAACACTTCCAATCTCACAAAGACTGATGTCAAGGAACAGGCAAGGAAAGAGGAGAGGAAAATGTGCTATTTACCAATTTCCATATTATTGCTGTTAGTATTGACATTTTATCTGTTCATTCATACCTTTTTTCAAATGTCTTCCTGTATTTTTTCCCCCCTGCTAATTCATAGAGGACACAGTTTATGTATTTTCTCTATAGTCGAGATGTGTTTAAAAATACTCACAGTGTATTGAAAATTTCCCCCCTTGTATGCCTCAGGTTTGTGGTACCGTTCCCAGCTGCTCCGCGAGGCCCAGGTCCAAGTCTTGGCGGATGAGACCTGTCGCCGTGACGACCACTACGGCGCCATGATCACAGGCAACATGTTCTGCGCGGGACGTCCCGACTGGAGCCAGGATGCGTGTGAGGTACAAGGGACCAGGGACCAGGGAGCTGTTTTTATGACTGGAGTCAGATGTATTTTTGACAGAATTTTGCTGTAGTATTATTTAAGGCTTATAAAATAGAAATTATCAATATCATAATAATCATTATATATAAACTAGGTAAAATGGCATTATTATGATGGTTTCCGATACCATACATCTATATACCTGTGTAAACTAATGGTGCTCTTTGCGAGGTCTCCCTTGAAAAAATAAAATAAATGTTGACACTGTTGAGAACCACTGTTCAAGAGGTAAATTTTCACTTACAACAAGATAATCAGCCATTGTTGTTTAAGGTCCAGTTTATACACTTTTCAGTTCATTTGAGAAAACCGTAATTAAATGAAATTGTGCGCCTCAAAATGTCTAAAATGTGAGATGCGCAGTCGCTACTTTCTACTCTTGCCAGTGGAGGGCGCCAAACTTCTATTGTGTTGCAGTGCGTTGATGGTGTTGATTATTTATTTAACTATTTTTCACACCCGCCTCTTTCTTTGTCATGTAAGTAATCCTACTGTAATCCTATTTAAATCAGCCCAAATGAATCCTGTTTTGCCTTATCTCAGGGCGACTCGGGGGGTCCTCTGGTGTGTGAGGTCGGGGGTCGGTTGTCCCTTTTTGGGGTCATCAGTTGGGGCGACGGCTGCGCTCAGGAAAACCGACCCGGAGTTTACACCAAAGTCACAAACTACAACCACTGGATCCAGAACAAAACCGGACTTTCCTCAGACACTGCTGCCACCACCACACTTCCTCCCAAATGACAAGTGAACTTTTCCAATTTCAGATCAAAAGCCAAACATGAATCCTCTTTGTGGGTTTGTATAAATAGTACTGTATTTTTTTGGATATTTTGCCATTCCGACCAAATTACAGCTAGTCTTGAGATTGTTGTTTGCACTAAGCTAAATTATAAATGCTGTTTTAAATAAACGTATATGTTGTATAATGTGGGTGCATAGATACATTGTCGAAAATTTGCTGTAAGCCATATGAAAAGTGTTGTTTATATGTTTATTTGAAACATGTACAAATTAAAACAAAGAATTCTATCTCCCTAGTGGTGTTTTTTATTGCATATTTCAGTATTGCCATTGGGAGTAACAATTAGTCATAGACAAGGAAATCTTTGGCTCTCGGTTCAAATAAGGTAAAAATAAAAAATATATGCATAACATTTCTAAAATTACTACTATATACAAGTGCAATAGCTGCTATTTTCACAAGTCCCTTCAAAATCTCCTAAATATTGAAAAGTTGTTGGGATTTGAAGGACTTTTCTGGCTTTGATCGATTAATTGTACACAGAGGACCAAAACAACTGTTCAGCAAACTTCTTTGTCAAACCTGCTACATGGTCAGCAGTCCTAATTTGCTTTTGGACCTTGATCTGGTTCGGATCCAGGATTATGAACGCACGGGAGCACAACTGTGACGCGAATTAAATGAGAGATTACAAAACGTGGCGTCAATAGTACCACACCTGAGTGAGCGAGTTAGTTAAATCTCCATTATATTTGACACAATGACAAATACATTATCTCTCTATAGTTCATGGACATTTACAAGGCTATTGCTTTGGTATAATTGAGCCAAATGTCCAATTGTTATCACTAGTTTTAAAGAATGATCTCCTTAATCAATTCAACACATGACATTTTCCGTTTTCGGATTGATTTTAAAATGTTAATGCTTGTTTTTAAAGCTCTTCATGGTCTCGCTCCGTTATATTTAACTGAGTTGTTGACCGTACATCGCCCCAGCAGAGCTCTCCGGTCTGCCAATCAAATGGTTCTGGATGTGCCCAGGTCCCACTACAAACAGTGGGGCGAACGTTCCTTCAGGGTTGCAGCGCCTAAACTGTGGAACAGCTTGCCACTCAGTCTGCGTGTTCTCACGGACCTGTCCCTTTTTAAGTCCAGATTAAAGACTCATCTTTTTAAACTTGCTTTTAATACTTAGGGCACACTGAATTGTGTCTTGGTTGTTTTCATTTTGTGTTTTAAATTGTTTTAATCTCTCTGTGAAGCACTTTGGTCCTCCTGGTGTATACAAATAAACTTTGATTGATTGATTGATTTTAAGATTCTTTTGTTGTATAGATAAAAAGAGGCATGTGTAATGTGGTACTCAATGTGACCAGTATCACGATTTGGTTAAATGATAATAATAACATAAAAGTCAAGATTTTTTTTATCCCTGTAGGAGAAATTCACATGTCCAGCAGATGAAACACATCCATCCACACAAACGACATGTGAAGTTTGCGACAGACAGCTAAAGGCTGTCAAAAACTAGCATCAAAACAAGTTACTCATTTGAGCATCAAGTAGGTAAGGAATACGTTTTTTTTTATTATTCATGTAAAAAACAACAACAGTAAAAACACACACACAGACACGCACAATGGCTTATTTGGGAGGAGAGAAGAGAGCCATCTTTAATAACAAACAGACATCACACACTTATGAGGTGAAGGAGGAGTGAGATAATCTTCTTTTCTGATCCGCAGTTTATAAAGGGCCATGACCGAGGGGCCCCTGCAGCACCTCTACAGACTCCACACAGACGCCAGGTAAGACAGACTGAATGAATTTATTTGATTATTGGAATTTGGCAAGAATAATCTTTGTACGACCACGATGCCAATTCACATAAAAAATAATGAGCAAGAATTGATTGAAAATGTTTTAATATGGAGGTTGTCATGAATTACAATAATCTAAACTGCTCTATAAAAGTGAATTCTTTCATTGCTAATTATATGGTTGATAACAATTCGCAATCACATGGCAACATTGCACTGAGTCATTCATTTGACAAACAAAAGTTTCATGGATTTATTTTATTTTATTATTTGTTTTCTGCAAAGTCTAAATAGTAAGACATTTATTCAGTTTTATAGTTCAGCATTTGTAACCTTTTTTATTTGATTAAATTCTATAAAATGTTTTAATCAATACACTCTTCATGTACAGTTATTATTGACTATGACATTTCTCACTGAGGCCAGAGGATTGTTCTGAGCAGATTGATTTGAAACGCTCGCTCAGCTGTTCCTCTATCGTCCTACAGATAACCAGATTACCCGCAACGGGGAGCAGGGGATTATGGGAAATTGGGTCATCCCCGCTGTCACATCAGAGACATTTAATTATCCAGAAATATGTCTGTCAATCCTGGTGTCATTTCAATGTTTAGCGTCAAACTGGGATGAGAAAGATGAGGATTAGTATAAGTGGAATGATCCCTAAACAAATAGGTTTAAAGTGAAGCTGTTCGACTGTATTCCCTGCATAAATTGGCTATTTGCTTTGACAATTGCTAAAATTCGACCATTAAGTGAAGAATCTTATTTCTAGCCAAAGCAAAATTAAGGACCCTCAGCTGTCCAGCCAAGAGTCCTCAAACAGATAGAGGCTGAATATAAAACTATTTGAGCTGGCGTTTTAGAGAAAATAGTCCAAAAGGTGTAATGTTTTTAGTATTATAGAAGAATGGTCAATTTAGAGGTTCAAAGGTTAGTATTGTACATCTATTTCAATGGGTTCCAACTTCCGCTTATTGTACTTCTACTGCTCAAAATACTGAACTATCGATTGGCCAGCCTTGCCTCTCTGCAGATGTCATCTGTGTCTTAGCCTCTAGCATTTTCTTTCTAGTGATGAAGGGAAAGTTGAATGTTTCTCTGGGCATAACAAACAACATGTAGATGGACCAAAGAAAAACATTATAATGAGTGTTATGGCTGTTTATCTACCACAGAAAATACCAAATTATAAACTTTTTTTTGGGTTGGACTCAACTTCACTTTGGCAAATTATTATATGTAAAATTGTCTATATTGCCAAAAAACATTGGGAGACATAATTTAAAAACAGATTTTGTCTTGTAAAAATGATCAACAGGAATAAATGTTTCTTTATCTTTGCAGGATTTACCCTTGCACCCTCCTACACTGAATCCCTTGACCACATTCACCTGCAAGCGGCTATTGTGACCCCTCAACATGAACCTGGAGGTCCCTAAACTTGACATCAAGTCGGCAACACGTGTGACCGGGGGTCCCGCCACGCCTCGCAAAGGGCCCCCCAAATTCAAGCAGAGGCAAACACGTCAGTTCAAGAGCAAACCACCCAAGAAAGGCATCCAGGGGTAAGATCCACAACGATGCTGTCATTTTTATTTGTTGCTAAAGAAATAAAAGCAATGATATAAAGCACTTTTCAAATTCAAATTCAACTTCTTATAACGGTAGATTACAGATGCATTTCTCATTAAAGCTAGTTAACTTTCAAATCACAACATTGGAACTATGTAATCAAATCCAGCTAACTGTTTGGTTCTTTCACTAGTTTTCACATGCACATATTTCTGTCCCTTCTTTAGATCAGATTTTTACAACAGAAAACTGAAGAAGGGAGGACCACCCCAGATTAGCCAAACAGATCTCAGCTCAAAGAGTCAATTGGTAACTCAGAGGGCTCTTTCTTAGTGTGTGAAAAAGATTAAAAAAAAAAAAAAAAAAACCTTTCTGTTGCGACAAAGAAGCAATGCTATTTATGAAAAAAAAGAAAGTTTGGTACCCCAGCTTTAATTACACTCTTACACTCATATTAACAACTGTGAAATGTCGTGCAAAAGGACACAATCAATAATTTGCCCTCTGGTCTGAAATGGGAATAAATTCTATCTCCTGATATGGATCACCTAGTAATAAGCAAACATGAATCTGTAAATCATGGGTTTTATCTATAATGTGTAAAAATATGCTGCTTTTTTACATCATGTGTGGTTTTCTTTATCAGTGGATTCCATATTTTAGAGTTATAGGGTAAAATTGTGTATAATTATAATTGTAATGTGATATTTCTTCTCACACTATCTGTGAAACCCAACTTGGCTATTTTGCCTTTCCACACAGTGACGCATGTCGATAACTGTCTGTGTATCGTGTTTGTTTGCAGCTTTGGAGACGATATCCCGGGGATGGAGGGCTTAGGAACAGGTGAGCTTCTTTAGTTTAATACCAGTGACATTGTATTAAGATGTTTGGATCCGCTCACATCTCAAGGACAACTACTGCGTCATTCAGACAATGAGCAAAAGAAACACTCACTCACGGTTCAGAATATCATGAAACATAGTTCGACACAAAGATAGTAAAGATTTGATAGCGAAGATGGAAAACTATTTACTTTTTCATGTATGGATTGAACATGAGCTGGATATAATTAGGGGTTAAATGATTGTACAGATTGGCTTAAAATTCCAGATGAAAATGGGTGATATATCAACTATAGCATGTTTTAATGATTTAATACTGTAGGAAAGGGCAAATAACATAATTTATTTTGGATTCATTTTGAGCCTCAATCAAGATCTTGAGAATATTTACTTTGTCATTTCATGTTTTTGAATGTGAAATATTTTCTGAAGTAGAAAATACTATACGGTTAAACGTAACAAATTGAATAAGAGAAGAATTGAATGTGCCAACACTCCCATCTAGTGGTGGAAGTAAGAAATCTCCTAAACACATTCAGAAGCATATGTTTTGTTTACTTGCATAAAACAGCTCTGTTTGTAAATTTGATGTTGATTCTGAAAGTTTTTTACAGAAAGGGAACATAGATGCGTTTGAGGGGAACCATGTTGTGTTAAAATCTAAAATGCAACAGAAAATAAATGTTTAAGAGTTGAGTTGATTGAATCTTGATCACTTTCTTTGTGTTCCGCAGACATCACTGTCATCTGCCCATGGGAGGCCTTCAACCACCTGGAGCTGCACGAACTGGCACAATACGGCATCATCTAAACCTGCGGAAAGAACGCACTCCAACCAAAACCACAAACTATTATACACTGCATGGATAAAGATCAAACATGTCAGGAAAAAGAGAAATGTCCTCACTTGCTTCTGTCGTCGACTGATTTTTCTTCTTCTCAATTTACACTTGGAAATATTGAATACGGAAATAAGTATTTTTCTAACTTCTGCTTTAAAATTATTCCATAATTCGATCAATATTTATTTGGAAAGCACAAACAGCCTAAGCTTTCCAAAGTGCTGTACAGACAGAAGTAAAACATAAAAATACAACAAATAAATTATAAAAAACAGAAAATAAAAAATATAAAGAACATTTCCTTAGTGATTTTCCTTGAGCTTATGTTTGTAACATTCTTTGATGTCCAACTTGATCTTCTCTCGCTTCTTTGTTCCTTTTTCTCACAAATCAAAATTAATAAGTGATACATTTGAGTTTTATGTCCGTTTCATTTGAAACTTGGATTTTACACGAGTTGTGTAGAGAGTGGTGCATATTGTTTCTTTCCAACACAAATTGTTGACAATAACTGTACTTTGATTTCCTTTTTAGTTTAATTTTTCAAGGACAGTGAACAGTCACATTAAAAAGATGGCTGCACCAGATCTCCTACATTTCCATCTGTAGTCCTTGACAATACAATCATAACATACATATTAAAATACAGTTCAAAACTCATAGATGTGGTAGTCTATGTGTGTATGGGGCAATTGACACAGTCCCCTTTAAAACATTCACATGATTGGAACTGAATAGTCTTTTATGAATATTAGTTTGAAATTGTGATGATTTATTGTTGATGATATTTTATGCTTAATGTTGGTGTGATATTGGTTTTCGGGACACTTGTGTGCCCTGTTTTCGAAAGAATGTTGACTGTAATTGGCATTTACAAATATGAAAATGGAAGTGTAATGGAGGGTGAAATAAAGTATAAAAACAGCCAGTTTTCTGTGTATTCTTTGTCATAATACAGTTATGCACCAGTTCAAAAAGACTTAAACAAGTCAGAGCATTGTGTCAATAGTTTGCAGGCTACATATTTCTCCAATTGAGCATTATGTCAGAGCCACATTTGTTTTGGTTAAAACTCAGTAGCAAAGTCATAGATGTTGGCTGCTGAACGAACAGAATAAGATAATCTCACTATTACACTGTTTATACTGATTTTTTGCAACATCGCTTACACACTGTGTTGAGGAAACTACTTTGAAAATGTATCCATTATGTTTTGTTCTGTATTCTGTTACATTGTCAAATAAAAAAGCTCTTGAGGAATAATATGTTCTATTTGGCGGACCGTTTTAATTTAGCATGTTTAACCCGGATTGTTTTCGCAGTTGCACTAGTGGGACACTAATGCCTGGAACAACCGGTATCTGTAGTTGTGGGATGGAGTTTTATTTTGACACAGATACGGAAAATCTTATATAATTTTGCTCTTTTGTCCGCACATAAATTCACTTGAATCGGGAGCAACCGACTAAGAAACATGGCGGATAGTATCGTGAGTATAAGAGAGAAATGCACTGTTAGCCACAGTTAGCTCGCTCGTTAGCTCCTGTACATAGTGATGAGGCAGCAGAATTAGCACCTTGGCTAATGTTACTTAGCTCAATGAAAGAACCACTGTGGCCTGTTTTGGTGGCTAGTAAAGACGCTAGGATAAACTCTGTGGCTTTAGAAAGGATCAGACGAAACGGCACTAGCTTGAAGTCATAGGATGTTTATCTACAATATCAGTGAATATATTGAATTGGCTAACGCGGCTGTGTAACTATAGCCACTGACTGATTGTAATGCTACCCGGGTCTTAAATAAACAGTTATACTGTAAATCTATCCACTTAATCCGGATGACAGCTCCACATATGTTGTTATTGTAGTTCGTGTGCGTTGTAATGGTAATGGTTGATAATCATAATCCCTCAGATACGCTTTTAATTTAACTTTCTGCGTTGTCATTATAGTGTGATAGCCTTTTGACAGTGACAGAGTTTGGAAATAGAAATCTTGTGGATGGCTTTAATCGCTGTTGACCTTTGTTCTGTCCTGCTGCTGATGCCAAAAACCATGCAACATCCTAGTCCTGGGGCATTGTTAATATTCTATACTATTATTTTATTCACTTGACAAGATGTAGGCACTTGTAGAACAATAGATTGGAGTTTTATTTGTGGGGGAAGACATGCTTGAGGGAGTTTCAGAAAGATGGCAAATTGTAACCATTAAAAGTTAACCTCTTTGTCAATGGAGAATATGATGTTCTCAAAAGTTTAAAATTAAATATGTAATGTTATGAACATATAATCATTTCTGTCTTTAATCTTTGATTCAGACTCATAGATTGGTCCATATAAAACATTTAGTAACAGAAAGCGAAAGTATAGGCAAACAACAAACATGATACAAACATGTTTTATTAAGTATTATCAAAGTAATTCTATATTTTTTTCAATAATCAATTTTTTCATTGTCACAGTTTCTATTGATCTCAATTTGCAAGTTCAAACAAAATATTGAAATATCAAAATTACATGCTTAAATGAAAGGTAATAAACCATGGCAACGTAGATGTTTTGACCAATAGAAACAAAATATTTGAATGCTCGTCCTGACTTTGCAATGACATGTTTTATTTTCTTTTTTTGCAGATTGTCAGAGTTCAGTCTCCAGATGGGATGAAGAAAATTCCTTCAACCAGAAAAGAAACGGCAGCAGCTTTTCTTAAAAAGGTTTGTAAACTTTTAAGAACTCAATGCTATTTGAAACTGAATGGGTAATGGCAAGGTTTGGGAATTTGTTCAAATCGATGGCTAGAATTAGAAATAGTTTAGTCGCAAATGGATAGTTTATTTTATCTGGAACATTTAACCATAATTCATGATGTACTGCTACCACACCTTTCTTGTCTATGGGGACAATAAAATAAACCGTAAGCTCATAAAGTGTGAACAGTTGTGTAGAAAAGCTTTGCGATATATGGCTGCTGTTTCTTGCTCCATTGTCTGTGCTTTGGTTTCCATAATTGAAGAGGGATATTAAAAGCCGTACAGGACAGTTCTTCTTAAGCGTCTGGTTTAAAATAGCCTTGATGAAGTCGGCGCCACTCCACCTTTGTCGCAGCATGTTGTTAAATATTCATGTCTCTCTCTCTCTGCTGAGGAAGTAGATCAATGAGCCTGCAACATTTCTGTCCCTGCATTGGGTGCAATCCTAAACCAGTTCCACCGATAAAAACACCTGATTCTGCAGTTAGAGTAAAGGGATCATTCCAGCAGAAAAGACTGTTTTGTATTCTGTGCGCATCAACAATGTCCCGTGTCGTGTGACCCCTGGGTGGAGTCTGTTCTTCCATACAGTGTCTGTAAGTTTCAGAACTTGAGTTTCTGGGGCAATGACTCGGCTTACACTGAGGTACTAAATCTCGTTGGGACTTTCCGTGAGTCTCAGTGGGTCAGTGGGCTGTGTGTGGAAATGTCAAGATCTTGTGGTTAATCAGTAATTGTGAACATGGGAGATAATGGCCCTCGTTTTATTGAAGCTTCCAACAGTATAAGGTGAAAAGAAAGGTCTATCTTGAAAATGAAATGAAAATGTTGTTTACAAATGCGACCTGCTGAGTGTCCCTTTCACTTTTCTGCTGACCTAAAAAAATGACATATGAACATATGAACTCGCCAGGAAGAGTTACATGGAATTTATTACATTGTTCCGTTTTTTTGTGGTTGGAAAGTTGGGCACCGCAAATCAAAGCAATTTGTTTCTTCCTCTTTTTTTTTAAATTGAGGCTCAAATTGTTCTTGGGTTTTAAGGTATTTATTTGACCAACGTCCTCTCACAAGCCCCAAAGCATTGTACAGTGTCGGACAACGCTGTGCAATGTTGCCATAATGTTACGCAGCAAAAATACTTCAAATAAACTAAACATAGCTCAAAAACGTTCTACTTTCTCCAGAGGGAGCAAAGCCTCGTGTCGCAAACGTCATATGCAATCGTCTTTCAATTGTTGTGATGTAGTAAAAATGTAGTTTTCTATTCGACCTATTTTTGTATAGCCCTAAATCATTACAGCCGTCGTCCCAGAGGACTTTAAAAAGTTTTCAATTCCTCAACAAGTGATCAGAGAATCAAACGGTTAATAAATGTACATAAATGTCTCGGATCATCACTGTCCTTAGACCCTCCTCGCGTCTTTTTTCAGGTGGGCCAAGAGTTTGGGTTCAACTCCAATGGCTTCTCAGTTTATCAGAACCGCAACAAAACCGGAGAAATCCTGTCGCAGAACAAGGCCCTCAGCATTCTAAAGATCAAGTACGTCATCTCCAGAACTTTCTACTTTTCTGGACGCTTTACCAGTAGAAAAATGTTGGTTAAACGTTGATACTTTCCTTTTCAGACACGGAGACATGTTGTTCCTGTTCCCATCGGGGGCCAGTACGTCTCAAACTGAAATCATGGACACCGCGACGCCCCACTCGTCTTCATCCTTCCCCTCCTCTTCCTCCTCCTCCGCCTTCCCCTCCACCTCTTCCTCTTCTGCTTCTTCCTCCTCCTCCATCATCCCTCGCTCCTTCTCTTCAAATCACGTCCAGGAAGATGAAATCGACCAATTTCTGGCCAAACAAGACGGGAAAATCTACAGAAACAAAGACCCACAGCTGTAAGAGACATTTAGACACAAGAGGCATTTGATGTTGAACATGTTTAGTTATTTTTGATGCAAGTTTGTTTTTTGTGGTTCTAGATGTCACCACGGTGCTCTGGGGAAGTGTGTGCACTGCGTACCATTAGAGGTTAGTAGATCTCCAGGATCGGAGTTTTCTCTGACTGATGATGATCGCCTTTGATCGATTTTAATACAATGTTTTAATTTGATTGGGTGTAAAAAAAATGGGGGGTAGGCGCTAATGTAATAGTTAGCAATTTTGCCATTTTTTGAGGTTATTACATAATTGATTTATTTCAAGGTAGAGGGATTTTCTACTTCCGGGTGGATCATCAAGACTATTGGTCTTCCTAATTGTCAATCATTCTTTTGATACGTGCTCATCAAATAAGACCAGAGAGTTTTGTTAAGAAAGTGGAGAGGGTGGTTCGTTCCTAAAATTTGGGAAAATCCTCCTAAATGCCTTTTTAAGAGAATAATATAGATCATGATATCTGCAGCAAAAGTCTTGCCAATTTAAATATTTGGATATATATCCAAAAATATTTTGGATGAACTCACATAAAATCTTGTGCTTTTTTCCACATTTTCAGCCTTTCGACGAGGACTATCTGAACCACCTGGACCCTCCGGTGAAGCACATGTCGTTCCACGCTTATCTGCGCAAACTGACCGGAGGAGCCGACAAGTGAGAGCCGCCTCTGTCTCCTGTATCTTGTCTCCTCTCCTCCTTTCTCCTGTCTACTGTCCCCTTTCCCCTGTCTCTTGTCTCTCTTCTTCTCTCTCCTCTCTCTCTTCTTTCTAATGAAGGTATTTGAGCTTCATGTTTGTGTGACGTCGATGTTTTCTACAGAGGGAAGTTTGCGGCTCTCGAGAACATCAGCTGTAAGATAAAGTCGGGCTGCGAGGGACATCCGCCGTGGCCTGAAGGAATCTGTACAAAGTGTCAACCGAGCGCCATCACTCTCAACAGACAGGTACGGTCACACACCTGCCTCCGAACAGAGAGCTGAAGTTACCCAAAGTTTTTTGCCTTTTTGAGCAAGAAGTTGATTAGAGCTAACAGGCTGTATGGGTAGGAATCTGAAACTAAATTCAGGAATGGCATAAATTAAAGCAAAAATTTAAAAAAGCAACCATGACCTTTTTATGAAAATGTTGTCTTCCCCTGCTCTTCTGTGCTTTGTAGAAATACAGACACGTAGACAACATCATGTTTGAGAACCACACCATCGCTGACCGCTTCCTGGACTTCTGGAGGAAGACGGGCAGTCAGAGGATGGGTTATCTGTACGGACGATACACAGAGCACAAAGACATCCCTCTCGGCATCAGAGCGGAGGTGGCTGCTATCTACGAGCCGCCACAGGTACTGGGTTAAAGTCTATGAGGTCTTCCTGCACCATAGATTTGAGTGAGATTTCTAATTAGACATAAACTACCATTAAGTAATACTAGTAGCTGCTTTGGACGTTTGTCTTAAGAATTACACTAAAGGCATTGTTCAAAAATCTGAAACTAATATACAACATATCTCACTTTGCTGTAATGAGTCTGTCAAGACTTTATTAAATTGCTGCTGATAGTGTGCAGCTTGAAAAACCCCAAATACAACATCTCAGAAAATAATAATATTTTACAAATGGACTGTAAGCCATGGTCCTCTGAATTATGATTTAATGAGTCTATTTAATAGTAGACTCACATTGTAAACAACCAGAGATGTTAAATTACATCATTGTTACAGCTATTTTGATCCATGTATTGTTGCCATTACCTCTTCAGACATAAATAGTCGTGCTTGTTGGTACAATATCGATTCTCTTCTGTGTAGACGGCCACTCAAAACAGCCTCGAGCTGCTGGAAGATCCGAAAGCCGCTGCTGTGGATGAAATCGCAGCCAAACTGGGACTTCGCAAGGTCTGTCTGTGTTTACTGTGTGTGTGCCGCATGAACTGGGTCTTAATACATGCATTCATTTTGAGAACTTACTCACCAGAAAGTCCTTAGTATATTTTCGAAAGCCTCGTCACATTTCTGTAGTTTGATGCTACCTCGTTATTAGTAATTTGTCATTTGGGCAACTTCAGCTCTGTCTATTGTGAATTGATATCTACAAAAAAGTGATTTTAAAAAAAGTAAAGTCTCAAATATGGCTAAATGTATCTTAATATGAATACATATTGACATAAAACATGGTTTACCAATGGGACAGGTTAAATTATCTTGTTTTAAAAAGATACAAGAAATGTCTCCCGTGGAATGATAAAATATAGCAACAGTTCTTGAAAAAAAGACTACAGGCCTTGTCCCATTGACAAATCTTGTTTTAAGAATGTACTCAAATTAAGACAAAAACCCCTCGATTCAAGCAATTATTACCTCATATTTTGTCTTTTTTTTTTCGGTGTATAGACATGTTATACTTACATGTTAGCTTAGAGAAGCCAGAATCTAGTCAAAACAGTTGTGTTGTCAGCCCCTGGACAAGTCTGGTGAACTAAAGAGGCCTTCTTATTGAAAAGTCTTGGATATCTCCTGATGGTCTTCTTTGCAATGTTGAAAAAACAGGATGTAAAAGAATGAAGTGAACACTGCTATATCCAACATCTTTATCCATGTTATTTGAATATTTTAAATATTTGCTCTATTCGCTTTTTATATTCTCAATGTCACAAAACATTATTGGCAACTTCCTCTAAGCTACATAGAATAAATAGAACAATGGAACAACTCTCTCTTTAGTATTTCTCTTCAAATTTCTCATCATTTAAACTTCAGACAAAGCGATATCTTAACAGCATGTGAGCAGTTCCATTAGTCGTGAATTTGCTATGGTTTAAATTTCTTGAAGAATTTGTGGGATTCCTGATATTTCACAGAACAAATGGGGCTTAACGTTTCCCATATGTCTCAACAGACGCCAACACACCCTTTCCATATGTTTGCGAGTGCTACTTCAGTATCATAATCCTGCTTTTGTATTGATTGTTTTTTGCTGTATTTTTGTAGGTGGGGTGGATCTTCTCTGACCTGGTCTCTGAGGACACTAGAATAGGGACAGTGCGATATTCAAGAAACCAGGTAAAACTTTTTTCGCTTCACTGCAAAATACTGTTTTATTTGACATCTGTGTGAAATTTGAATGATTCACTGACATTTAAGAACCCATTTTACAAGTGAGAACGAAAAGTATTAACTGGGGACATTGTGTAAGAAAATATTATGATGGACGCAGGAGACATTTTTAGTAATTTAATTGAAATGTCTTGTCTCTCAACTATAACATGAGGCAATCTCGTAAAAATTCTATGGACACGGGAAATTATTTTAATCAAACATTTTGTATACCTGTATTATGACATCGTATATAGTTAGTTGCCACTGGAAAGACTAGGGCTGCATCCAAATTAATAAAAATAACCTCCTTCCCCTTGTCTTTAGTTATTGGTGAATTTAACATTTACCTCATTTATTATTATCATTGCGTGAAAACTAGTGATAGAACCAAACAATTTTGAGGGCGAGGAACTATTGTGTTGTTGATAAAAAGTTGGGTTTTGCCTTGCCACTAACACACTTAAAGCGGCAGGGTTTAAACATGTTTTATCCCATTTAAACGTTGCCTTTGTTCCTGGTTTGTTCAGGACTCGTACTATCTGAGCGCGGAGGAGTGCATCACCGCGGGACACTTCCAGAACCAGCAGTCGAACCCCTGCAGACTCTCCAGGGACGGCCACTTCGGATCCAAGTTCGTCACGGTCCTCGCTACAGGTGACGATTCCCTTAAAACCGTGAGACAGACTCTATCGCACCGAGGGTAAGAATAATGTATAATAGAGGTGTAATGGACAGAATAAAACTTGGAGAGACTTGAAAAAGCAGAAGTTCTTTGTGGAGTGGGCCAACATCTGGGCATATTATTTGTTTCCAATTCAGAGATTTCAGCTTCTTTTTGCAACTCAGATAAAATATTGTTTTGAACTGTTAGTAACTATAGCCACTATAAAACCCCTTTTTTCATCAAACGTGGGATGTCATGTTTATATATTTCCTGTTTTGTAGATACTTGGACATTGCATTTAGGGAACCAGAATTTAAAACCATAGATTTTTTTAAAAACATTTTTATATATTCCATCTAACTAGTCTCTACCATTTGTTCAATCACTTGCATGTATTTAATGCATCTATTCACATCTTCATCAGGTTTTTCAGATAGACCACTCTCACTCAGATAATCAGCTCTCAGCCCAAAGTGTCAAATAGTGACTCGCCAGGCTTTTTATAATATTTTCTAATAAGATGAAGAGAGCCTGTTGTGGTCTGGTTTGTTCACATTTTACTTTTACAAGACTCATTCTGTAGAGACAAACTACATAGATTATTATGAGAAAAAAGATAACTACCCCGACTTTAAACAAACTCACACTGATGTTTGTGTTTGCGTCTGTAGGAGGCCCAGATAACCAGGTGCACTTTGAGAGCTACCAGGTGTCGAACCAGTGCATGGCCCTGGTGCGGGACGAGTGTCTGCTGCCCTGCAAAGACGCTCCGGAGCTGGGATACGCCAAAGAGTCCAGTCCGGAGCAGTATGTGCCCGACGTCTTCTTCAAGGTCAGGATCCACTTCAACCAGCGTTTGTCCATGTTTATAACTTATATCTTATCCTCCTTTTGATGCAAACAGTATTTCCAAGCATAGAATATCTCCAGTCTTATTCCTGTAGAGCAAAAACTTTTTTTGCTCTATAGCAAAAAAAATTTGGCCAAAAACCCTGGGCTGTCTCTTCCTTACACACTGAGAGACATGGGCTGGTGTGTTGAAACGACTCGCCTTTCGACCCGCCTTTTTACCTAGTCTTTAGTCTTTCTGTTGATGCATATTAAGTGAAAACACTGCTCCCGGCCGAATACAGCAGCAATTTCTGAACAAAACCAAACTGTTATACAGTGCCTTGCGAAAGTATTCGGCCACCCTTGAACCTTTCAACATTTTGCCACATTTCGGGTATATATATAGTAGATATAAAAATATTTTTTTTTGTCAAGAATCAACAAGTGGGACACAATCATGAAGTGGAACGAAATTTATTGGATAATTTAAACTTTTTTAACCTCTTAACAACCGCCTCATTTTGGCTCGTGCACAATGGTTGGGCATACCCAAATGTCTTTGCTTATTTAAAAACACATCTTACATCTCACATGCTTGTGTGATGCATCATTTTAAAGCTAGAGCCTTCTAGTTTATGTAAAAAAACACTAAAATAATGTTTGTCATTCCTATTTTCCTCTGCATCCTTTGAAGTTAGGGAAAAAACCCCAATTTTTTTAGCCTTGCCTAACATTTTCAATGTCTAAAGGCCCTAAAAAAGGCATACTTCATTGTAAGTTCACAATATTCAAACCCTCTGTTCATTGTGTTGTTGACAACAACTGTCTAAAGTTGCAGACTTCTAAGTTTTATAGTTTTTATGCAGTTTCTCCTTTTCATCAAGTAGTGCACATTTGGCACAATTTGGCACAAGTGTGCCAAATTGTGCCAAATATCTTTACTTACATTTAATCATCATAAAAACAATATTTTTTATTATTGGTACTTATAAGTTACTAATCTATGTGTGTTTTTCTTTTTTAAATGTCAAAGTTATTTTTTTATGAGTGTATATTCATTGCAGATTCGAGAGCGTCTTTTATCTTCCAGTAAGCACAATGGTCCAGGCCCAAGATAAGACAGGACACCATTGTCCCACCCCTTGTTCGAAAGCTTTCCTCATTGGCTACAAGGACATGTCAATCGTAAATCCCGGAAGTAAACGTAAACAAGTTGGGACCCCACAAAAGATCAGTCACCAATGCGCAAACAGCAGCGCTAGCGTTATTTGCGGGACCTATTGCAGACCCAAAAATTGGTCTAGCTTTTCGGGAGTAGTCTCATTTGAAAGATAAGGAGCTAAGGAACACGTAGATACCAGATGTTCGGGTGAAAAACAAAGCTAAAAGTCCGTTACAAGTGAAAGAGTAACATCTGTGCTCTTTTTTTTCGTTTTTTTCGCTAAAGATAAATGCACATTTTTGGATTATTTCTGCAGAATGGATTTTACTTTGGGAAATACAAGTGGATATAATTTTCCTTTGGACTGTTCCAGAGAGAATGATGTATTGCAAGCTGGGAGGAGAGCTGATTTATTTGTACAGCACAAGCCCAAAGGTAAAGAACTATTTCCGAATTGATTTATTTTGTGCCCACATTATGTGTTATATCTTTTGAATGCAAAGTCTGATGTAGTTTACACTTGTATGTAAATGTAGATAAGAAAATAAGCTTTAAAATGATATACAGCTTTTGGGGTTTGGTGTTCAAAATACATCTGCTATTGCCAGCAGAACATTTAAAAACATAAAAACAACCCGCCGGCGGGTTGGTGGTTGCTAAGTTTAACAGATAAAAAATTGAAAAGTGGGGGGTGCAATATTATTCGGCCCCCTTGCGCTAATACTTTGTAGCGCCACCTTTTGCTGCAATTACAGCTGCAAGTCGCTTGGGGTATGTCTCTATCCGTTTTGCACATCGAGAGACTGGAATTCTTTCCCATTCTTCCTTGCAAAACAGCTCGAGCTCAGTGAGGTTGGATGGAGAGCGTTTGTGAACAGCAGTCTTCAGCTCTTTCCACAGATTCTCGATTGGATTCAGGTCTGTACTTTGACTTGGCCATTCTAACACCTGGATACGTCTATTTGTGAACCATTCCATTGTAGATTTGGCTTGATGTTTTGGATCATTGTCCTGTTGGAAGATAAATCTACGTCCCAGTCTCAGGTCTTTTGCAGACGCCAACAGGTTTTCTTCCAGAATGGTCCTGTATTTGGCTCCATCCATCTTCCCATCAATTTTAGCCATCTTCCCTGTCCCTGCTGAAGAAAAGCAGGTCCAAACCATGATGCTGCCACCACCATGTTTGACAGTGGGGATGGTGTGTTCAGGGTGATGAGCTGTGTTGCTTTTACGCCAAACATATCGTTTGGCATTGTGGCCAAAAAGTTCGATTTTGGTTTCATCTGACCAGAGCACCTTCTTCCACATGTTTGGTGTGTCTCCCAGGTGGCTTGTGGCAAACTTTAAACAAGACTTTTTATGGATATCTTTGAGAAATGGCTTTCTTCTTGCCACTCTTCCATAAAGGCCAGATTTGTGCAGTGCACGACTGATTGTTGTCCTATGGACAGACTCTCCCACCTCAGCTGTAGTTATCTGCAGTTCATCCAGAGTGATCATGGGCCTCTTGGCTGCATCTCTGATCAGTCTTCTCTTTGTTTGAGATGAAAGTTTGGAGGGACGGCCGGGTCTTGGTAGATTTGCAGTGGTCTGATACTCCTTTCATTTCAATATAATTGCTTGCGCAGTGCTCCTTGAGATGTTTAAAGCTTGGGAAATCTTTTTGTATCCAAATCCAGCTTTAAACTTTTCCACAACAGTATCTCGGACCTGCCTGGTGTGTTCCTTTGTCTTCATGGTTCTCTCTGCGCTTTAAACAGAACCCTGAGACTATCAAAGAGCAGGTGCATTTATACGGAGACTTGATTACACACAGGTGCATTCTATTTATCATCATCAGTCATTTAGGACAACATTGGATCATTCAAAGATCCTCACTGAACTTCTGGAGTGAGTTTGCTGCACTGAAAGTAAAGGGGCCGAATAATATTGCACGCCCCACTTTTCAGTTTTTTATTTGTTAAAAAAGTTTAAATTATCCAATAAATTTCGTTCCACTTCACGATTGTGTCCCACTTGTTGATTCATGACAATTTTTTTTAATTTTATATCTTTGTTTGAAGCCTGAAATGTGGCGAAATGTTGAAAGGTTCAAGGAGGCCGAATACTTTCGCAAGGCATTGTATGTCCGTTGCTTACATGTGGGTCAGGTGAAGAGGGTTTTAAAACTACACACAAGTCAAGAGGGACAATACTCTGCATAATGACGAAGCTGTCTTTATCAAAGTTTTGACTTTTGAAATTGCTGCTCTTTCCTATATAAAGTCCAAACATTTTTTACATTACTCCACGTTGATGATAAAGTTGCCATAGTTGCCATAGTCCATTATAAGAACATTACTATTCTTGTGAAATATGGACTTACAAAATAAGTCTGAAATACAGATCAACAATAATAGTGACAATGTGGACACGTTCCAGTCTTCCCTCTTGTGTAAAGCTGACACAAGTCTGAACAACTGTGCTCTCTTTCTCCACTGTAGTCCCGGGTCAAACACACAGGTCTGCAGTGTATAAAAGCTTACTGATTGAAATGTGTCTCTGTCCTTGTCGTTGACAGGACAAAGATAAGTTTGGGAATGACGTCACGTTTCTGGCTCGACCGCTTCCTGTGGAGTATCTCATTATAGACGTAAGTTCAATATCTGATTGCGAGTGGTCCTCCCTTTTTCACTTTTCTGTCTGAAAAACCTCATATAAAGAGGTCAAAAAACGCATAAATGTGAAACTTTAAAGCTGCATGTACTCCAGCTTATATGGATTGTATTACTTCATTCATTTGGTTGTGGTTTAAAAGTGAAGTACCCCAGCTTTTAAAGTCGTCAAAATCCAGACAATAGTTTTAAGTCCAGACTGCAGTGGGTCTCTTTGATGAGTAAACCATAACGAATGTAAAACTTATTTATTCTATAATCTATAACCGTATGTTTTTCCCTTTCTCTCAGATCACAACGACGTTCCCAAAAGACCCTCAGTACACGTTCTCCTCGACACAACGCTTCCCCATCGAGAACCGGGAAATGCTCGGAGAAACACAAGTGAGACTTTTACCGCCTAAATACGTAATTTAAACTTTTATACTAATTTCTCTCTTAAATCTTGTGTTTTTCAGGATTTCCACAGTTTAGCCACGTACTTGTCTCAGTGCAGCTCCACGGTTTTCCTGAACATCGTGTCGGACTTCCACCTGCTGCTCTTCCTGGTCACCAACGAAGTCATGCCTTTAGGAGTGAGGAGACCGTTACTTACACATGAGATTTAATTCTTATACATACGTCATCTTGTCGTGATTACCTCCGACATGCTCCGCTTGCTTTACTGAAATCCATTAGAATACATCCCATGTGTGTTTTATTACAGAGGATGTTTGTTCTGGATCGTAGCCAAAAACCTGTTCTTAATACTGTGTAATTTTGATTGGATGACACAATGTTGATAAGACAGATCAGATTCACATGTTGTAGTCATAATACTATACTTAGGGTTCTTTGCAGTGGGTATTGTTTAATTTGCATTTAATTGTTTTTTTCAGGACAGTATCGGCCTGCTCCTCGACGCGGTGAAAACGTCTAACGAAGACTTGGCTCAAACATGGAAGAAATCCGAGCAATGGGCGACAATCGAGCAACTCTGCAGTAAGTCACAGGAAGTAATCAATGTGTTTAGTCATTAGTGCATTGTCTGGTGCAAGTTTGGTGCTTTTTCACCCAAAATGAAGGGGTAGAGTTACCCAAAGTTCCTTCAAAAGTGCTTGTTAAAGTGAATGTTGCCACCAATTGTGAAGAAAAGAGTGAAACTTCTTGAGGGCATTGTTAAGTCCCGCCCATGCTCACCTCTGCAGCTTCTAGATTGGTTTTAATAATTAATATTCCCCCCACATCATCCAGCCTTAGATCACATGTTGTGCAAAACGTAGTTCATGTTTGACCTTTATTGTCTCAAATATACACCTTTTTTGAGCAATATTTGTGACTTCTCAAACTCTTCATAAATTATTGTTAGCTGGATTTGGACTCTCATAGATAACACAGTTGATGTAGCCAAGTGGTTAACAGTCCAGGATCAGTGTTACAAGGTGATCCTGGACTCGTATTCTTAACCTATACCCAATTCTTAAGCCTAAGCCTAACCTCAGTGAGCCCTGGCCCAAACCTTTACTCTCTCCTTAACCCTAAACCTAGCCTTAATCTTAACCCGATTGAACCTTAACCCTAACCCTACTTTACAAGTGTCGTTGGGCGGAGACTAGGTGAAGTGTATTTCTGTTCACTTTACAGAAGAGTTGAGGAGAAGCATTTGATGAAGACTTGTCAGTAATTAAAATCTACATCAAGGCTATGAGTAAATAGGGACATCACAACAGAAATGTTGTCACCTCAGTCTCGCGCAACGACAACAAAACCACCGTTGCGTTTGTCATTGGGTTGTGTTGTGTTTCCGTAGCCACTGTGGGTGGGCAGCCATCCAGTTCCCAGGGTTACGGCGCGATGGGCGGCCCCTCGGCACCGGTCTCGGACGCCTCCATGTGGTCGTGTCTGCACTGCACCTTCATGAACCAGCCGGGCACCGAGCACTGCGAGATGTGCAGCCTGCCGCGCAGCTAGACTCTCCCCACGACACGCCCCAAAACCCCAGCTCTTCCCTTCACTCTGACTCCAGCACAGGACGGGGCAGCTGAAACGCCACCAGTTCAGATTGTTTTCTTTCGCGGTCAATTCCAAACCCAGAGAAGCTGATTCTTTACAAGGTACAAACCTTTTCAGAAATAGGACTAGTGTTTTATTTTGTCAAGAGAAACGAGAAATGCTCTGCTAATGTGGATAGCTCCTGTTAGCTTATGGTCACTCATAGATGGACAGAACTTCCAACTCCTTTTGATGTACTCCAATATGAAATGGACAAATAGAAGACGTTTCAGGAAATAAAAGATTCTATATTCAGTCAATAAGTGAACTGCAGAGGAATAACAGTTTGAGAATATCTGGTTGATTTAATGGTTGAATTAATATTTAGGGTTTCTACTTTTTGGCGTTGTGCTAGACTTGACCAGGATACAAAATACGCCGCATATTTGACTTATATACTTAGCTATACATGTGTATTTATTAGTTTCCATTTTCTTGCTCTGGATCTCAATACAAGATTATTTCATCTCAAACTATAGCTGTCAATTCACACAATCCTTTTACATAGTTTAACAAAAATGAAACGTTTATTAATGAACTTTACCAAAACTCGTTGCTATGGCTTTTCAAATTGCTCTATTTGTATTTGCTAATATTGATGATCAGCCACAGATGAATAGAAAGCAAATGACAAACTGTAAATCAGACCATCCCGGACTTGAAAAACTGATCTCTGTAGTGAGAACCAAAAGAAAACGACTCACCCCTCACATCGCCACCAGCCCTGTATTCTCACTGGATGAAGAAAATTGAATAAATACATAAATAGCAAAATGAAACATTTGGAGAAATGAGCTCTCTCATGCAGAGGCCCCCTCCCCAGCCGCTTCTCATTATGACATCGTCCGAAAAATGTTTCCAGCGTTAATGACAGAAATGTTGAAAGAAAATTGTCCTTTCCGCTTGAAACGCAGTGAGTGGCTAACTATTGTTGAGTACAAAAAGCACTTTTTGGCTTAGTCGGTTCACTCTGATCAGAAATGGAACCCAAACTAAACATTAAAACAATTAACGAAAATGTCCTTGTTTTTAAATGATTACATTTTCGGTCAAACATAGAAATTGTTTTGCTATTGACAACAACCCAAGTTGGGAATGAAGTACAGCACAAAACGAAGAAGCTAGATACCGTCTAATAAGCTACTACTGTTTTTACACAAACAAAAAAATATGCAACCAAATTGGAAAAATCTACAGATACAGCAGGATTTTGTGACTATTCTCCCAAAATGCAACTTTTTTTTTTTTTTTAATAACATTGTAGCTATAGCAGAAGTCCATATGTAGCCTGGTCCTCTTTAGCCAAGAAGTCATATTGGACCTAATGTCGTTTGTAGGTGATTTTAGACAGACCTACTGGTGCTCCTTCCCTCCTCACTCTTTTTTTGTCCCCCCCTCTCAAATGCAAACCTGTTTTTTCCATCACTTCGTTGTTCAAAGCCGAGAGGTCAAATAGTAAGACGTCTGCTCTACATCTGTGTAAAGTATGGCTCTGATCAGGGGTTTAAAATCTACTGGAAAACATGAATGATTTTAGTTTTATACAGCTGTTGGGAGGGAGGCATAAGCAAAACAATTATCGGTATTTTGAGGCTTGATTCAATGCAATCACCAAAACATTTCATATATTTTAAGTCTTAAGCCTGAGGAACTTTAGTCTATTTGTGGTGAAAAAAATGAGAAAAAAATTGGCCTTCTTTCGAGATTACCCAAATCATAATCGATCCATTTTCTTTTTGCACTGTCATTATTTATAGCTACATAAAAAAAGGTTTTAATCAAGCCAGAAGAAAGCACTTATATCTATTACCTTTCACTTTCCCGACCCTCGAAACAGACTGCGTTTATTCTTGGACCAAACCACACATACGAATGATGTCAAACTGCGTGACGATCAAAACTGTCCAAGCCTTAACGATAAAACACAAACCGCAGAAACCAAAGCACTTAATCCTATCAACACAAAACCATTCTGCAAACAGTTCGTTACTTTTCACCTCAGTAAAGTTTGATTTAACAGTTTTATTGTTCAATGCTCATCAGCACTGTGTAGGTTTGAGTGCGAAAGGACAAAACCCGCTGGATTAGATAAATGAAAGATGGTTTTATAGCAGCCTGGATCATACCTGTCCGTACTGCTTCATGGACCCTCCTCCTGTAGAGCTACAAAGTGAAGTTCTGGGGTTTCCTTCAGATCCCTGGTTGAACAGCTGGACTCTGGGTTTTTGTGGCGTGTTTTTGGGAGAGTTGCGTCCTCTGCCGAATGATCTATTTATGAGGCGTGCGGTTCTTTCCATTGAAAAAGTGAGAATATATTTTAGTTGTAGCTGAATTTGGTTGTTTTTTTTTGCCCCAGTTTTTGGTGTGAATTGCGAGAGTTTCTCTGATGTCATGGACAGCTTTTCCTTTTGTAATGATCTGGACGTTTGCTGAGCAAACACTGCTCCTCCTCTTCAGCGACTGGAGCTCCACACGGGGGCGCTGTTCACATGGATTTAAACTAAATAAAATAATAATAAACTATTCCTACCACAAAGGGCTGTGGCTGCTTTATTTACACTTGCCTCTTTTAGACGCCAAAGCCAGTCCTGAATCAAGTACACTTTCTGTATAACAACTTGTCCTCTCAGCCATATTTTTCTATATTCCTTAGTGACTGTCCTCTATCTAAAAGTTTCAAGGCTACAACTTTTGGTCTGTCTCTCAGACTGTCTTGATTTGTTTGCTCTTTCGTCTTCCTTTCTCTACCAATGCTCTGTATATCTGAGTGACAAAGGCTTTTAACCAATCACAGTGAAGTGTGTATTGTAGAGTAATCTTTCAGTAATCAAATATTTGTACAGATCCAGTTGAGGAGGAAAAAGGCATGTATTGGCATCTGTAAACTGAACTATTAAACATTAGATTTATGACAGGGTCTTTGGGGCATGGACGGGTGTATTTCTCATGTGTTACTCTTTTGTAGCTCAAAGGAATGAGGTCAGTGCGTATTAGGCCTGGTTTGTATCACACTGGGAGCTCTGTTTATGATCAATACTTTACACGGACATACTGTAGATTTGAAGGTCACATGGGTTGGACAGGGCAACCCCAACGTCTTTAAATCATTAAAACAGTTATTTATTTTGATGGAGCCAAATTCAAGGCCTGAAAACCTTGACAAAAAGATGATATTTGGGAGACTAGCATCGACATCAACAAGATCCAATTGAAGTCATTCTTTAGGAAGGTTCGTCTTGTCAAGGTGCAGTAGAATCAAATAGTTTCCTGATTGTCAGTGTTTTAAAATAAATCTGGATCATACTTTTCTCCCATAAAATGCAGGTAATTTCTCCACACTCTTCACAGCTGACTGAAACGTATAACTAGAGAGGGAACTTACAAAACTCAATCTTGTGCTCTTGAATTCAGTCATTTATTCATATGGCCTTTTTGTTTTAATATATTGTGTCTTGTGTGTTACATTGTTCGTGAAATACAAGGTTTTAAGAATTCCAACATTTTCAATGCAGAATAGAAGCTTAAATTTACCTCTAGTGCTCTCATTTACTACAAAAATAGACTAATGTGAAAAAAAAGTGATTTATTAGTTTATTTTAATAGGACCAGTACTCTGCAAACATTACAATATATAATAAGTTAAAAATTACAATTTATAACCAGTCCTTAAAACATATACAAATAACATGATTATTATCTGTTCAGTACAGGTGAATTTTGCTCTCCATTTGGGTAAAACTGTCTCAAACTCCTGTCTTTAAAGTTCATGGTGTGTGAGTAAAAACACATGGGTTTGTCCATAAATCACTCCATGGATGTGGCAACAACGACAGTGAGAAGACCGACAGATGTTTCTCATTATGGCTTTGTTCAAAATCTCCTAATAATTAATTGCAAAGTTTGGCATATTTTGTTTTGTGGGAGGAGAAAGAATGAACCACCTCCCAACGCGGTCGGTTCTTTCTGAGTCCAGTGCAGAAGAAATACACAACGATGAGGATGATACGAGCTTCGATCCTGTTTTTATTCATGGTTTTTACTTCTGCTCAAAGAGAAAAGAAGTTCCACAAACCAGTGCTGGACACACGCAATGAAGGTCAGTCACATATATATATATATATATATGTTTTATTTTGTTTTTTTTCTCTAAACAAAGCCATAATAATAGTCTTATTTGTTTGATAGTCCCCTAAATAGATTACAATAATTCCAATGCATTTTGTTGTGTATACATAAGTATTTTAAATAATGTGTAAAATCTAAACAAGAATTCAATCCTGGTACCGATTCCTGGGTTTTATTGATACTGGATCTATTCAGAATTTTGAGGACTTTTCCCCCATTTCAAATGATTTTCAAACATTTGGCCATAAATGTATACCTTAAAATTGTAGTCATATTGTCGAGATTCTGTTATTGATTTATAAAAGTAGGTCTTCAGAATAATACCTTTAGTCAGACTGGATAATTAACAGCAATAGATTAAAGCTGCGGTACTGAACTTTCAAACCACAAAATATTTACCCGTGTCATTTTTTAATACTTTATTTTTGAGTTTTTGCCTTTAAATTTCGAAGGCTCAAAAATGTCAATTCAAAATCATAAGGCAACAATTATAATACAATGGAAAAGATTACATACACAAAAAATAATACAAAAATAAATGTAAAAATATTGAAAAGTTTTCACATTTATGTTTAATTGTTGCCTCAATCACATCTTTAGATCAGCTTTTTCAGTCAAAACATAAAAAATAAGACCACCCTCACTCAGCCAATCAGCTCAAAGTGACATATAGTGACTCACAGGGCTCTTTCTTACAAGTATACAAAAGATAATCTTGTTTTCTAATAAAATAAAGACAGCTGTTGTGGTTTGACTTCTACTGATTATAACATTTCCTTTTTCAAGACTCTGATGGGGCAAACAAAATGTATTATTCATGGAAAGAAAGTTACGTACCCCAGCTTTAACCCATTATATTTTCTATACTCCTTGTACATCTCTCCATCTTGGATTGTGTTTTTAGCAGCAGAGCGGGCGAGCAGAGGCTGTACCAACCTCACTGTGGTTCTGGACAACTGGAAATACGCCATCGTGACCCAAGTGAAAGATCTGCTCCTCAATGACCACCGCACTGTTCTGCCGGATTACGGACGGTGAGAGGACAAATTATAATCTGAATATACATTATTATACTGTGCATTGGTCCTAGATAATAGATAAGTAAGGAATGAATGAATGGTTTTGAATATTTAATCTCTGCTGCCTCTGAAAGTATGTCTTACTTGTATGATAATTTATAGATAATATATTAATAATAACGTTTTGGAAATATAAGGAGAATATGAATACCTGATTTGCATAATATCAAATATAGAAATGTGTTTTGAGATTAAAACAACTTGAAGCCTGAATTGCATAATCTTTTTCCAGAACATATTCCTTTGAGGTTTATAGAGTAACTGCATTCTGATGTATTCTTGGTACATGTATTTAGTCTTTGGTATTTAGCTAATTCTCAACACTGATAATAGTAACAAAATGTAACCCAATGGGGAGAGAGCTGACATTAATGGATTTTAATTGATTTTGTCCAATCAGGAAGCTCGGTTGGGGAGTGTGAGTGGGTCTTAAGTTTATGGGTCTTGCCAGTGATTACTTTAGAAAATTCTCTCCACAATTTGAAAAGTATATAAACCTTTGTTGGGCTATATTTAATGATACATAATCTGTATTTATATTTGTATAAAACATATGTTGTGTAGCATAGTGTTATCTTTTGGATTTTGAGTGCCTGTCCCCACTGGTGATGGCGCTCACAGATAAGTAATCTGAATCGTAATAAATAAATCTAATAATAATACTAATATACATTGTTCTGTCTCAGTATCCAGCCTCTTTCAGACGCTCTGGGAGACTTGTACAAAGAGTTCAACGCCCTCAAAGATCGTCTGTCTGATCTCACCTCAAAGTTTCATTCTGTGGAGGGTTTCGTGGACGAGTTGAGGAGTGGTCGCAAGCCTTCCACTTCCCCCAGAGGAGACCCACCAGCCCCGGGAGGCGAGGCTGGAGGAGAGGCCCAGTCCCCAGGCATCGACTCAGGCTTCAGACGAGGCCGGAGGACCAGGGTGGTGGTGCGCAGAGTCCAGAGACCAGTGAGCAGTGAACCAGGGAGAGTTTGATGGACAATATCATTATTTTGTTCATTTGATCTTTATACAAGACCTTGAAAACTATTTATTGGCATTTTATGGTTTAAAATGTGGTCCAATTTCTAATTATCTTCGTCGAAAATACATTGGATATGGATGTGTATTTGAATAGTCAGAGAGGAGCAACAGCTCCATCTAGTGGTAGAATGGGGCAACATATCGAGACATAGACAGTTGGAGGATTTCATACGTTATTACCACTTGAAAAGGAAACTATTTTTCACAAAATTCATTGGGACATTTTCTGGACATGTTTCTCAAAAATGTAAAACCATTTATGTTAACTGTAGATCTTAATTTTATGTTTTTACTTTTTTATTTATAACACAACCCCATCTTGGAACCAGTGTATTCTGTTGTGTCTTTCAGCAAGACATGGATAATTTTCAGTGACAATGGATAAGAATAAATAAAATTGAACAGTTTGAAATCTTCTCTTCTTCACACTCAAAGCACAATATACGTTGAGGAAAGATCATATTTATGTTAGTGTGGATTAAATATTTTGGTTAAAATAAAAAAGATGAGAGTCCTGAGCAAGCAGAAAGTTTTATGTAACCAATAATCATCTTGCAGAAATAGTAATGAAAAAGATCACATGGTCATTTTTTCCTAATTTCACAACTGAATTGAATTTTTTGTCTCAGATGTTGTCTGTAATTCTCCCCACTTTAGCGTTACACTTATCCGTCTCCATAGAAGCAGGAGACACACCAGTAGTTGGACTAGTCATTCGCATTTCCTTCACTCATGTCATTAACTGAATATACAACTGCAAAACTCAACCACAATCAGGTTAAAAGCAGTACAGTAAAAATAAATAGTTAATTTGCAAACACAAATAAGTCCAGTAGAAAAATATTTCAAAGGCTTACATTTTCTCTTCACCAATTGTTACAAATGCCAGATCTATTTTATTGCCATACAAAAAAACCTCAAACCTTCCAGAGCAAATTCTTTCAGATTTACTGCCAAAAACTATTCTTTGACAACATTTCAAAACAGAGGTTTTGCAAATTACCTGATATATACACATAGATTGAAGTTATTTTGAATAAATAATAGTCATGCACTGATCAGCAAATTTAAAAACACATCAAAAAAATCAATCAAAACTTCTGTGCTGTAAAACCGAAGTGTCACGTCTTTTTCAAGAGTCTTATTTCCATTTTGAGGTAAGTCTTGAGGTTTTCATCCTGGACGTTTTCCTCGATGGCGGTGAGGGCGCTGTCTCCTCCGTCGTGGTAGTACTTCAGGAGCTGCTCAGCGTGTTCGATCCACACGCAGTTATAACACCCGCTCATGCAGCAGTGGGTGGGGGCTGGGGGAGGGCCCTGGTCCACAGTCCAAGAGGAGGGGGCCTTTTGCGTTTCATTAGATTTGTCCTGAGGGAGGGATGGAGGAGAAGTTGGATTTATGGATTGAAAGTGGTGTGAAGATTGAGTGGACAGTGGTGATCCTGGATGTGTCTGCCACAGAGAAAGACTGCAAAACTAAAGAGGAGAAAGCATAATAACAGTATTATTTCAAACAATACAGGAAGCCCACATAATACAATAAAAACTGACATCTCAAGACAACGGCCTATAGATTTTTTCTTTCTGTTTTCATCACCCAAAAAAGATCAATGGATACTGACATGTACAGCAACTGATACATAAACTGTACTTGTGCACAACAGTAAATACATAAATGTTACATCCATGTCTGAGTGGAGTTTGCATGTTATCCCCGTGTCTGCGTAGGTTTCCTCCGGGTACTACGGTTTCACCTACCACTAAAAATATGTACAATAGGTCTGGCATGAGCCTCCTGCACTGGCCCCGCTCCCGCTCCCATCTCTGTAAGAGACAAATGCCCAAAAAATAACCATTGTAAACCGGTTTGTGACTGGTCTGTGAAAAGCGGTATATTTTAAATAAAGATTACTTACTTATGTCAATATAAGGCAAGGCAGGTTTAAATATATAGTGAGTAAGTAAGTAATCAAATCATAAATAATTACAGTACATTAAAAACAGTGGAGATAAAGAGGAGTTTCAGTTCATTTGCATAGCTACATATCTGTTTTAACCTGGGTTAGAACATTGTCAGAGTAGAAGCCCGTCCCACATTTGCAGGATGACTGTTGGAAGATTTTAGCTGCATCTATCTGAAATACTGCATCCCCAAGTTTAGTTCTGAGTCTGAGCACTAGCAGGAGGCCAGCCACTGTGCTTCTCAGAGTCTCAAGTTCATATAGCACTAACATGTCATTATGCTTTTTCCATATTTTCAGCATTACCCTTTTGCTTACATTACAGCTAAGAACATTTACAACACAAATACAGCGAAATACATACAGTCTGACCCTCACGGTAACGGAGTCCTCACCCTGTGTTGACTTTCACGGTCTTATTATAACCTATGTTGTCATTCTCACGACTCCTCTGACAGTCAAATGTTAGCTTGATGCTAACAACATAATACTAACCCTTTGTAAACATCCCGTTGGCCTCAGCCAGTTCCCACTGAAACACAACATCGTCAGGAACACTGGGTCCAACAAAACATCTGTTCAATCCCAAATAGAAACATTTCTTCTTCCAATTTGAACGTTAAAATTCCATTCTGATTTTCTCTCACGAGTGTGTGAAAGCTAACATTAGCCACGCCCCCTTTTGGTCGACGTTGTTTTTCCTCAATAAATGAATAAAGAGTAACAAATTAAATCAGTTTGAATTAACGCTGTGTATATTGTTGTTGTAATAATTGTGCTATTATTATTATTATTATTATTATTATTATCAATTAATATAATTGTTAATACAGATTTTTGTGTGGGACGGTTGACGTAAACGGTTAAAACAACAAAAGTGTTCTTTTTGATCACTGTTTTCTGGTGTTTTCTGGACAATGGCGTCTTTTAAGGACAGACTAAAGCAGCAGCTGAGCTCGTCTTTGTACCAGAGTATAGAGTGTGCGATGCAGGAGATGTTGGGGCAGGTGGAGAGCCTGGTGGAGAGGGCTGTGGAGAGGGCCCTGCTCCCAGAGGACCAGGGGACACTCCTGGACTGTCCCAGTCTCACTTCAGGTTTAAGGCTAAACACATATGGAGACATGCTTTACATCTGATGAACTATTGTCCTGCATAAACTAAGCTGCGTATAATTCATTTTGTTCATGGAATATTTAGCTGTAAAGTTTACACGGGAAAATGGCGGTGTTACTTTTTTATCAGACAGTAAATAATTGTACTGTAGTTACATTCATCCAATAAAATATATTCACTTTTAATTGGATATTCTTATCAACAATAATGCTATAGTGATTAATAGAACAGTAGTTTTATGAAATAACAAATGATGTTTCTGGTAGTAAAATGTTGTACAAATTATTTTCTGTTCTCTGTTGACAGCAGTCTCTCAGATCAACATCTCTGAAGCCCACCTCAGATCAAATGAAGTGCTTGTGGCTGGAACCAGTGGAAACACAGAGTTCTCAGGAACAGGTGTTATTCAAGAGCAGGACTTTGGCGACTGCTTTAATGTGAAAGTGGAAAACAATCAACAAGAACAAGACGAAACAAGAGCAACATCATCAAGAGGTTGGCAGAATAAAGATTCAGTTAAAAAAGAGGAGGTGACACAGTCTGAAGTGACGCCACACTGCAGTGATGCCTGTGGGACAGGTCTGTGTGTATTTTCTTATTATTACATTAGTCTGCGAGTGAAATGATAGTTCTACATAATATTTCTGTTTTCTCTCTCTGCAGCTGCCCCCGAGGTGAACATCTCTCAGCTCCAGCTCAGTTCAAATCAGAGTCTGTCTGTAGACGGACGACAGACAGACCCTTTTTTATGACAGTGACGACAGCAACGAGACGTGGGTGAGACATGGAGCAACACCATCAAGAGGTTGGAAGAAGAAAGATTCAGATCAGAAAGAAGTGACACAGTCTGGACAGCGGCTGCTCTGCTGTGATCTCTGTGGAAAAGGTTTTAGGTACAAGTCTGGACTGATAATGCATAAACGCACTCACACTGGGGAGAAACCGTATCATTGTGATGTTTGTGGAAAGTCATTCGCGTGTAGCAGTCATCTAAAGAGACATACACGTATTCACACTGGAGGGAAAACTTACTCATGTGACGTCTTTAGTAAATCTTTCAGTCGAAGAAAGAGTCTAAAACGACATGAATGTGCCCTAAAAGCAGAGGCCATGTCTTGTGCTGAATCTCCAGCAGGAGGCGCAACACAGAGCAGAGATCTGAGGACAGAAGAGACAGCAGGAGAGTTTTCTTGTATGTTTTGTGGGAGCCAGTTTAGACACAAGTCCAGCCTCCAGATTCACTTGAAACATCTGTGGGGACCAAAGCCACTGATCTGTGACGTGTGTGGTCAAGTCTTCTGCCAAAAACCTCTCCTCGTACAGCACCAGAGAATGCACTGCCGCAGACCAACAGAACTGACCTCACCCCAGTCTGCCATTTAGACTGTTTAGTTCATATTCTGCCAAAGACCACTTGAATGTTGTACTACTGTGTTTCAGTCAGCAGGTGGCGCCACTATCTATGTTTTATTTCTTTATCTTGATTTTGAGAACGATGTTGCAGTACAATAAAAGGTACAGTGTTTCTACTATTTTTGTTGTTGTTGAAATAATCAGACAATTGGTGAATATCTTATGTCTTGTATGTCTTGTTTTGTTTATTGTTATCAAACACCATATTTTTATTATCACTAATTGCCTGAATAATTACCTTAATAAACGGTTCTTGCAAAGAATTTTTACTGGGAGTCTCAAGCCATATGTCCCCACAGTACAATATCGTTCATTCATTTAATTTAGCAATATAAGAGAAATTCAACAGTCAAAACACATTAGATGTAAAACCTATAACATAAAAAAATATGATAAACATAAAAACAAGGGACACGTGTTGCATGATTTGAATACTTGTCAAAGTTACACTTGTTTTAGTTGGAGTTGCAAAATATAATGACTTAATCAAAGTACATTTAAAACACTCTTTTTCGAGTATAGCTAACATTAGCCACGCCCCCTTTTGGTCGACGTTGCTTTTCCTCAATAAATGAATAAATAGTAACAAATTAAAACGGTTTTAATTCACGCTGCGTTAATTGTTGTTGTAGTAATTGTGCTATTATTATTCTTATAATTATAATTAATAAACACAATTATAAATACAGTATTGTTTTGTGGGACGCTTGACGTAACATTTCGCGGTTAAAACAAGTGTTCTTTTTGATTACTGTCGATATATTTACTGGTGTTTTCTGGACAATGGCGTCTTTTAAGGACAGACTAAAGCAGCAGCTGAGCTCGTCTTTGTACCAGAGTATAAAGTGTGCGATGCAGGAGATGTTGGGGCAGGTGGAGAGCCTGGTGGAGAGGGCTGTGGAGAGGGCCCTGCTCCCAGAGGACCAGGGGACACTCCTGGACTGTCCCAGTCTCACTTCAGGTTTGAGGCTAAACACATATGGAGACATGCTTTACATCTGAACTATTGTCCTGCATAAACTTAGTTGCGTATAATTCATTTTGTTCATGGAATATTTAGCTTATACATACTCCCAGGTAAGAAATGCTCGAACAGTGCTCCTCAAGATGCTTGAGGAGATGATGCCTCAAGATACAAGCTGACAGAACAAGCTGCTATCAGCCACAGCTCACGCTTAACTCACAAACTTACAACACACACTGCCGTCCTGTCAACTCGTGGGGAAAACCCAAAACCATGGATCTATAATAATAACGGGAAAAACCCCCACCCCTGCAAAACTCTACCATAACCATAGCGCCTCCCTGTGGTAGTAAACAGACAACACAGAACTATTACAATATATTAGCTTGTATTTAGTTTATCGCAGGTAAATTCCGTTGTTACGTTTTTATCATAGACTGTAAATATTTATACTGTAGTGACATTCAGAATACGTTACATTCAAGAGTTATACAATAAAAGATATTCACTTTTTATTGGATATTCTTATCAACAATAATATGATAGTAATTCTAAGCATAGTAGTTTTATGAAATAACAAATTGTGTTTCTGGTAGTAAAAAGTTGTACATAATGTTTTCTGTTCTCTGTTGACAGCAGTATCTCAGATCAACATCTCCGAAGCCCACCTCAGATTAAATGAAGCACTTGTGGCTGGAACCAGTGGAAACACAGAGTTCTCAGGAACAGGTGTTTTTCAAGAGCAGGACTTTGGCGACTGCTTTAATGAGAAAGTGGAAAACAATCAACAAGAACTAGACGAACGACAGACAGACTCTTACAGTGACGACAGCAACGAGGCGTGGAGGGAAAAACATGGAGCAACATCATCAAGAGGTTGGAAGAAGAAAGATTCAGTTCAAAAAGAGGAGGTGACACAGTCTGAAGTGACGCCACACTGCAGTGATGTCTGTGGGACAGGTCTGTGTGTATTTTCTTATTATTACATTAGTCTGCGAGTGAAATGATAGTTCTACATAATATTTCTGTTTTTTCTCTCGGCAGCTGCCCCCGAGGTGAACATCTCTCAGCTCCAGCTCAGTTCAAATCAGAGTCTGTCTGTAGACGGACGACAGACAGACCCTTTTTTTGACAGTGACGACAGCAACGAGACGTGGGTGAGACATGGAGCAACACCATCAAGAGGTTGGAAGAAGAAAGATTCAGATCAGAAAGAAGTGACACAGTCTGGAGAGATTTTCAGAGTGGACCAGGGACCAGGACTGGACTTTCCGTGTCCTATTCCAGGTTTGAGCCATATTAAAGTATATATATTTTTACTTTTATAAGCTATATGTGGCAGATATAACCACAACATAAAAGATCCATTGTAACCTTGATGCAATTTTCTTTTTGTCTACTTTGAGCTGGACAGTTTTTTGGATTATTGTGATAATCTTTGTAAAAAGATTAGTAATGTTGATTCAAAGGATATTTTTTAAACATAGGACCAGTTACATTTAAAAAGTAGAACGGCGCCACATGGAAACAGCTCCTCTACACACTTTGTTTTCAGCCATGACAGAAAAAAAGAAATAAAAAGCTTCTAATTAAATATTTGGATTAACTCAATTCTTGATTTCATTATTAAATCGTAAAACATACATTTTCGTTAGATGTCGTTGATTTCTGTTGATATTTATTGTACAGTAATGATTTATCACAGCTCATCAATTTTTTTCTGTAACAAACGACTATTTCAATCATTGATTAATATTTGACTGCTGTTGATTGATTGTTGACTATATTATTATAGTTATCTATATATTATATTATCTGACTAACACGTGTTTACGCTGAGAGACAAGTGATTATTTACTCCAAACAGCAAGAACTACTGTATGTGTGCAGACAGATCATGTGGAATTGTTATGTTTTTAAGAATTCAACAATTACACTTGGTATCAATTTTTCATTCTAAACAACAATTTAAAGATTGGTTTATTGTGTAAGATCAGAATCAGAATCAGAATCATTTTTATTGCCACGTAAGTAACAAAAGTCACCACTTGGAAATTGCTTTGGCAGAGCTCATGCCACGGCGCCATCTCGCGGCGCCGTGCGACAAGCAGTAAACAGCAGAGAGCAGTACATACACGTTTTACAAGACAGTTGGGATAAAACCTCTCCATCTTCCCTCCCTCCCTCTCACTCCTTGCGGCTTACCCCCTCCCTCACCCTGCCCCCCCCTCTGATAGCCACATTGGCCGGCAGTCGGAGGTGCTCATCCCAAGAAAAAATTCCGTGTTTTATACAAAGCACACTGTGTCTATCCAATTGTCTGTGAAACTGTGTGTCATTGCTCTCTGCTGTTTCTTGTTTGCACACAGCGCCGCAAATGGCGAAGTGGCACGCTATCTGCCAAAAGAATTTCCAAGTGGTAACTTTTGTTTGTTACTTACGTGGCAATAAAAATGATTCTGATTCTGACCTCCGACCGCCCTGCCTAATGTGGGCTGTCAGAGGGGGCTGGATCAATGAAATGAAAGCAAATCAATTAGCAAACAAACAACTACAGTTACATCCCTAGTCTGTACATTGTTCTTTTGATTGATTTTCTTGTAATTACTTTTTGATTGTGTTTGCATGTTTACTATTCTTGATTCTATTTTTCACATGTGAAATGATTTTCTCTCTTGGCAGCTGCCCCCGAGGTGAACATCTCTCAGCTCCAGCTCAGTTCAAATCAGAGTCTGTCTGTAGACGGACGACAGACAGACCCTTTTTTATGACAGTGACGACAGCAACGAGACGTGGGTGAGACATGGAGCAACACCATCAAGAGGTTGGAAGAAGAAAGATTCAGATCAGAAAGAAGTGACACAGTCTGGACAGCGGCCACACTGCTGTGGTTTCTGTGGAAAAGGTTTTAGAGACAAGTATGGACTGACAATCCATGAACGTATTCACACTAGAGAAAAACCGTATCAATGTGATGTTTGTGGAAAGTCATTCGCGTGTAGCAGTCATCTAAAGAGACATATACATATTCACACTGGAGAAAAACCTTTTCAATGTGACTTTTGTGAAAAGTCATTTACCTCTTTAAGGGCCCTAAACATGCATAAACGCACTCACACTGCGGAGAAACCGTATCATTGTGATGTTTGTGAAAAGTCATTCACACAGAGCGGTAGTCTAAAGACACACAAACGTATTCACACTGGAGAGAAACCTTTCTCCTGTGACGTCTGTAGAAAATCCTTCATTCAAAAAATTTATCTAAAGCGACATAAATGTGCCCTAAAAGCAGAGGCCATGTCTTGTGCTGAATCTCCAGCAGGAGGCGCAACACAGAGCAGAGATATGGACAGAAGAGACAGCAGGAGAGTTTTCTTGTATGTTTTGTGGGAGCCAGTTTAGACACAAGTCCAGCCTCCAGATTCACTTGAAACATCTGTGGGGACCAAAGCCACTGATCTGTGACGTGTGTGGTCAAGTCTTCTGCCAAAAACCTCTCCTCGTACAGCACCAGAGAATGCACTGCCGCAGACCAACAGAACTGACCTCACCCCAGTCTGCCATTTAGACTGTTTAGTTCATATTCTGCCAAAGACCACTTGAATGTTGTACTACTGTGTTTCAGTCAGTAGGTGGCGCCATTATCTATATTTTATTTCTTTATCTTGATTTTGAGAACGATGTTGCAGTACAATAAAAGGTACAGTGTTTCTACTATTTTTTTTAAATAATCAGACAATTGGTGAATGTTTTATGTCTTGTGTTATTTATTGTTTTCAAACGCCATATTTTTATTATCAGTAATTACTTGACCTTAATAAATGTTTCTTACAAAGATTTCTTACTGGGAGTCTCAAGCCATTTGTCCCCACAATACATTATCGTTCATTCATTTAATTTAGCAATATAAAAGAAATTCAACAGTCAAAACACATCAAATCTAAAAGACAGAACCTATAACATAAAAATAGTATAATAAACATAAACAAGGGACAAGTGTTGCATGATTTGATCAAAGTTACACTTGTTTTAGTTGGAGTTGCAAAATATAACAACGTTATTAAAGTACTTTTTTTCCTGCTCCCTCAGCTTTCCGGCCTTGCAGTTTAGTGGATTTTCATGTGTGCTAATGAATGGGTTTTTTTTACAACGCGCTTCTTATGTGCCACGCGTATGCTCCAACACCATGTAACCGCAAGTATAACATGACAGATGCCGTTATTTGAAGTCAGAAGAAAAATGCTATGTTTTACAGTGTATGCACGGCTTTTGACAGCTGCAGCAGAGCTCAGATCTAACAACCAACAGGTTTTTTATTTCTGTGATCCCACTTTGGCAGTCGGGAGTTCAGTGGTTAGCAAAGTGTGTGGTAAGAAGTTTTAAAGACTTATAACATATAGCTTCTACTTCATGAATTTTGATTATTAACGCTTACAATTGATGAGGGGCCGTTGTATTGCACATTTACAACTTGAAGACTCCTAAATGCTGTACACTCTACAAAGAATGAATACAGTAATACACATACAAAATATAATATCACAGATGGGGGTGGACCCGGCATAAGAATCACCCAATGCTTTTGTATGTCGTCTTCTTTCTTCTCGAAAACGTCTTTACAGGATGTTTACATGTGTCTAAAAGTCGGCACTTGGCCCAACACATTTTCCTGACCTGCGGCCATTTGAAAGAGCCCCATAGATGCCAAAAGTGATGGCACATTACAATGGCGGAGATAGGCGTGACTACGTTCGTTAATATTTACGGTCTATGCTTGGTACTTGTTTATTTCCACGCCCCCTCGTTCACAGACCAGTGCGCGCCCCCTTTAGCTTCGCCCCTGGATGAGTTCCGTCTGATCCCATAAAGAAACACAGACCAGTGCATTCAAGCCGGAGGACATAGAAAGATTTAATTTGGACTACCCACGCGGTATTTCCCATAAACTAATTTTTAAAAGTCGAGGTCACTGATCAGTCGAGCGCTTTTAATCTTCTTTTGCGCAAGGATGCAAGCAGTTTGACCCGAGGCTGGTGTGAAAACAGAATCCAGGTAAGAACGCTTCATGTATTTTACGCATCTCTCTCCTTATGTCTAATCTACATACATTTAACACGTGCGTAAATATCTCTTTTATGTGTTATCCATGTTTATAAGTTATTACAGATCAAAACAATTCTTGAAAGTATACAATATTTCTACCATAATTTGCCGAGACGTAAAAAGTGCCTTCAATCAAACCAGCAAAAAGCAAATTGTGTATTTTTATAATTTATCTTCTTCTGTGGAAAGAACTAGTCGATGTAGTTTCTCTCTCTGTTTATCTACTGTATAACTATGTACGCATTGATCTGAAATCCATTGATAATATAGACAGGTGCATTTTAATATACGCAGCAAGTGGGGAGGAAAGGGGGAAAAAAATTCCCATCTAAAAAAAAAACGTAATTTAGAAAGAGAAAGAGTATGTATAATCCATTCATACTCAGTCCATATACATATTATATAGTGCTATTATCCTCGTTTAATTCAATGCTTTATTACCACGTGATGTATGCAAGTGGGATCGACCACACCCTAGACCAGTGTTCCCAAACCTTTTTAATCCATGGCACACCTTTTTCATTTCAAACAATCACTTATACAAAAAGTGAATTTCTACAGGCGTTATTAACAGTGTAAAGTCCTTCCCATCAAAACTTATTATATAGAAAATCAACAAGTGCAAATAAGTCTTTCTAATCTTCTCAAATTACTTTTTTATCACATTATTTTGACCAATGAGGTGATTGTGGATAAATATGAAAGGCAAACCAAACAACATCTCAAGACACTGGTTAAAAAACACTGCCTAGACAACTGTATCCTCACAACTGCCTAAATAAGCAGTTAATTTGCTGTGTGATCAGCAGAGACCAGTAAAATGTATCAAATTATATATAAGAGAAGAGAAAACCAGATGAGAATAATAAAAGAGTGAAATGACCACTGTAGACTTGGGTATTACCATAGAGCCTGTCATGAACTTGTGACTAATTGTTGCTGTAAACTGCATAGACTTGTATTTAACTTAAGTGACCCAACCCCAAATAGAGTGTTTATAAAACGAGTACTTTTCAAACTACACCCTAAGAAATAAAGCGCTGTTTTTCAAGTAAAACTGTTAAGAAAAGAAGTTAATTTAGATTTTATTTAGAGAGACTTAACTGTTGCAATCATTCTCTTGAGGAAATCCAATACGACAGAGTTATGTGGAAAATGTTGCCCAATGACTTTTAACAATGAAATCCTACAATTTTTTTATCCATCCATCCGTTCTCCCCGCTTTATCCATTGCCGGGTTGTGGGGGCAGCGATCTAAGCGGAGACACCCAGACTTCCCTATCCACACACTTTATATTTGTTCTTTCAATAAATACTTATTAAAGTTAGTTAATAGCTTATAGTTTATGCCATATTATCATGTAATTTATTTGGCGATTGATCAATACCATTCTAAAACTATTTATAAAAGGTGTTTTTTTGCCATGTTTATGTGATCTCTTGTTTAAACCAATCAAAATCAGAACCATCATTTTTTGTAAGTGAGTAACAGGAAGTCACAAAAAAGCGATGTAATAAATGTAATCCTGAGAGTTGCAGGTGATAGAAGTATGTTTGTTACTGTATAGCAATAGCCAGAGTATGTATATGTCCCTATGCAAAACCAGCATCCAGGCCCTCTCCTATTTGACTTTCCTCTGGTTAATGATTCACTGGACAAATATTGACTGTCTACAACACTGTTACTTTAAATCAATGAGGCATCGAAGAGGCTTTGTGGCTTTGAAACAGTTAAACTTGTGAATAAACATGGCTGCAGTCCCTCTCTTTTGTATTAAATTACTTTGAATGGACAAATCAATACTTTTTCATTGACTGGACGAGCTGTGTTACACCAGGTCTGAAGGAAAAATAAAGTACAGTTAGCGGAGAGGGCACTGCTCAAAATAACCAAGATGCAGCTTGAAAGTAAACTAGTTGTACTATAAAATCCTCCACCACAACCAAGTACATAAATGTGGCGGCCCAGGACCTTACCTTTTTGCAATGAAAACAAAAACAGCCTACTCTGAAATGTTGTTCCTAAGACTAAAAGCGACATAACACAGCAATAAACATAATAATAACTTATTCTTTATTAATTTATTAGATAGATACTTTATTGATCCCCGTAGGAGAAATTCAGGTGTCCAGTAGCAGCAGAAACACATCCATCCATACAAACCAAACAAATAAATACATCATTCTAAAAGTAGCAAACAATAGTAAATAAAAGGCTCAAAATAGAGATTTTTGTAGTGCCATACTTAATATTCACATATCTTTTGTTGTGTGCTCCAAGGTTCTTTTTGATTCTTTTCATGAAAATGCATACATTACATACATCAGACAATATTTCATTTTTTTTTTCATTCCTACTGTTCTGTAACTTGTCATGCAACACTCAAATTTCCCCACTGTGGGTCGAATAAAGGATCTCTTATACCTCTTATGATTGAACATAATGACACCTTACATTGTTTATGTTTTGATAATAATAATAATTCAAAGGGATTTTCCACCTGTGGAGAGTGATTTCCCGTTCTGCAGAGACAGAGCCTTCTCTGTGGCTGCGCCCAAAGCCTGGAACAACCTTTCATTAACCGTCAGGAGTCAGGAGAGCACGGTCACTGGGCACTTACACCTCTGCTGAAAACACATGTTTGAACTGCAGGGGCTTATTTTGGTTCCTCCTGCTTATGAGGTGTATTGGGTCCACTGCATGTTTGGTCAGCTAAAGTGCTATAATAATAATATTAATACATAAAAATTATGCAGCGCTTTTTTTAGACGGTTTACAAAAGACATAAAAATAAACATTGAAGAACAACATTACGGAAAGGCAAGCTGAAACAGGTGTGTTTTGAGAAGTTCTGTAGTGAGTCTCTGATGAGTTGTGAGAGTGAGTTCTAGAGATTGGGGGCAGCTGCTGCGAAGACTCAGTCCCCCAAGATTCAATGTTTAGTCCTGGGGGGAGATAGGAAGTTGGAGTCTGTGGATCTGAGGCGGCGGGTGGGACAGTGATGATGGAGGAGGTCAGTGAGGTAAGAGGGGGTCAGGTTATGGAGGGACTGTAGATGAGGGCGAGGACCTTGTATTGGATGCGGTATATGGGACATGGAGCCGGTGGAGTTGTTTGAGGACGGGGGTGATGTGGTCTCTGGAGCGGGTGTACTGCAGTGTACTGTTATTGTGTCGTCAAGCAAGTCACTTAGGGAGAGTTCACACTTCACTCCCTGAACCAATTAGGGCAAAGATGCTTCATCTGTGGAACCATCAAACAAGTTTTTCTCCATTTATACAACTGCCACTTATACTTTTGACATTCTATAATTGCATACCTCTGGTCACTTATCAATAATAAGATATTTATATATGCCTTTTTATCTATTTTTTCTACTTTTTTAGAACTTGTTTGCACTATGTGCCAAAGTAAATTCCTAGTTTGTCGAGTTTGGAGCGTCTTGTTACTATACAAAGCATTCTGATTCAGATTTGTTTTGTTTTTAGTTGTTCAAAAGTAGATCCAAAACCATTTCTTTAACTTTTGTTTTGGTTCAGGCCTTAAGCAAACAAGTGATGTCAGAGAGTTTACATATTTTTCATTATAGGCCTGCTTAAATATCGGTTTGAGCTGCCTTCATGCATGAGAAATCAACATCTATCATATACTCACTATTTTTGGGAAGAATTATTAATATACCTGATTGGTATATACCTGATATACCGCTGATTTGTAGAAAAACACATCTAGAGAATAAGCATTTCTCGCTCTTTGTGTCCGACTCTATTCACAATGACTTACATAACAGAAAAAATCTCTCTTCAACTGAATGGGTCGCTGGCATCTGCAGGACTCTCACTTAATAGTCAATAATGTCAGGTACCCGCAGTAATGAGTAAACTCCGAGTTAATATTTTTCAGTCTCCCCAACAAGAACATACAACTGGAAAGTATTTTAGATTTGGAGATACAGAATTGCCAGCAGCAGTAGTCATTTTAGTTCTGGGAAGCTCCACATGACTACTATGTTATGTATGATGGAAATGGTTGAATTGATTAACCACTTTTATACAAATAATTGACTCAGTAATATCATAACTTTTTGCCAAAACCAAAGGCCTTAAACGGAAACTTTTTAGTCCTCTCCTCTGACATTTATCTTGTTACCGCAGACGTGTGGCATTTGTAACATTGACGCCTTTTGTTTGACATCTCTGTTTAACATTGACACTCAACAAACACTTAAGTAGGATTATGGTCTTGATTTTGTTAAGGAAACTATTCATGTTATCCGGGATTGGAGAAATGTGTGTGTTATTATTATTATTATTAATATTATTTCATAACGTATAACTGAGATTCACTGCATCTCTCAATGAAAGCAAAATCATGTCTTTCCTTGATTCCCGTAGTGACATTTATAACAAAATTAGTCCCATTTGTCTAGAACTGCTCCAGAGTAGAATAACCTAGAGCCTTGTGAGTCACTAGAGAGAGCTGGATGAGGTTGGCCCTGTGCTTTTCACTTTTCTGTCTGAAAAAGCTGATTTAAAAATGTGAGGCAAAAAATATGTGCATGTAAAAACTAGCAAAACTGTTTTAAGAGTATAAAACTCGGTAGATTGGTTTTATTATGTAGTTACATGTTTGAGAAAGTTTGGAAACTTTCTGGAAGCTCTTTCTGCATACATTTAAGCCACAATTAAATTTTTTTTGTCTTTTCTTCTAGTTCTTTCTGCATCCATCCACCTCTCGCACCATGTCGACCAACTCCAGTGTCCCCCGTGGGTGCGTCGCCAGCGTGGACTCCCTCTACTACAGCCTGTGTGACCTGAGCGCCGTCTGGGGGGTGGTTCTAGAAGCTTTCGCCGCCGCCGGAATAGTTTTCTGTTTTGTTTTGTTCATTGCACTCCTCGCCAGCCTCCCCTTCACCAAAGACAAGAACCGACGAAGCTCCATCCCTCTCCACGCCTTCTTCCTCTTCGTCACATGTGGACTATTCTGCCTCACTTTTGCTTTCATCGTCGGGAAGGATTTCTCCACTTGCGCGTCAAGGAGGTTCCTATTCGGCGTTCTTTTCGCCGGGTGTTTTTCCTGTTTGCTAATGCACGCGGTGAGGTTGAACTTTCTCGTTCGGCGGGATTCTGGTCCGCCATCTTGGGCTCTGGGTCTGGGCATGCTCGGTCTCTGTCTCGTCGAAGCCATTATCAACACGGAATGGCTGATCATCACAATTGTTCGCGCGCCTTTGCCGCCGCTAAACGGAACCGAAATCGGGAGAGCGACCGCGACGCCGTGCAACATTGCGAACCAAGATTTCGTGATGGCTCTGATCTACGTCATGGTGCTGATTTCTGCGACCTTTGTGGCGAGTTTGGTGATAATGTGCGGTAAAAATAATCAATGGAAGATGGAGGGTGCCACGGTCCTTATTGCGAGCCTGTTTTCAATTTTTATTTGGATTGCTTGGATTGTTATGTATGTATTTGGGAATGAAAGGACCGGGGGGCCGACATGGGACGATCCAACCTTAGCTATAGCGCTAGTGGCCAACGCTTGGGTCTTCCTGGTTGTCCACACCATTCCTGAAGTCTGCTGTTTGGGGATTGAAGAGGACGAGGAGCCAGCGCTGGGGCAGGACCTGTATCCGAGTCGAGCGGTCGGCTTCGAGACCATCCTGAAGGATCAGAGCTCTCAGAATCTGTTCATGGAGAACAAGGCTTTCTCCATGGATGAACCCAGTCATGGTATGTGACCTGTGTGGTCTGTGTGTATGTGTGTGTGTGTGGGTGTGTGGGTGTGTGGGTGTGTGTGACTATGTGTGTGGCACTTTTGACACTTGGGCAGCTCACCCAGGCCTGGGAAAATACAGTTGAACTTGAAGTTAAACAAATCCTCAGAATATAATTTGATCAATAACCTAATACATTCTCTTGCTTCTGTCATTATCATGGCTACGCCTGTTACCATGGAGACTCTGTTGTGATTGAAGCTATGAAGCTCATTAGCGTCGTCATGCTAACAAAGATAGCAAAGAGAATTAATGACATAGATGAAATTTATGAGACCATATTTATACAGTATTTTAAGTCACATACACAACCACAGTTACAATGTATTTGCAAAAGATAAACCAGAACAAACACGTTTTACATACAATACAATACAATACAATTTATTCTTGTATAGCCCTAGGTCACAACAGAAGTCATCTCAGAGGACTTAACAAAACCATTGAAATCACCAACACAGGTCAGAGAATCAACAGCCAAGACACATGGAGAATATAAAGCACACACAGAAGAAAATGTCCATACATGTTGTAGAATGCTAAAGTGTCCTGATCATCACCAATCCTTTCTGTTGGACACTAACTGTCCAACAAGACCCTCCTGCATCGACAAGGAAAAACTCTTAAAAAACCCAGTGGGAAAAAGTGAGAAACCTTGGGGAGCACTAGGGAAACCCACAGGGAGGGAGACCCATATGAGAAAGGGATCCGCTCCTCCGGACGGACAGGCTAATGATCCAGGACCTAAGCTAGCTACAGGACGTGGACCAGTGGCCGCTGAACGTGGACAGGTCCGGTGCAGGACCGAAGCACTCCCAGGCGGGTCGGGCGGGGCAGTCCGCAGGTGCAGATGGAAGAGGCCAGGCTCAGAGATCCCGTCATCGTACCATGAAACAGACAATGGGACAACGGGTGAATAGCAATGAACAAACTACAGTCAGAATCCTAAAAGTGCTAAACAGATAAAGTAGATAAAGTAGGAAGGAGGAGAGGATAGTGCTCAAGTTACCATACTTCTCCCACTTCTCTCTGACTGACAGTCTGAGGAGTTTAACCTTCTCAGAGTCTGACCTTCCTAGCCATATACTAAACTAAAGAGGACTGTTTTAAACCTAGCCTTGAATAAAGAGATTCATGGATTGCACACCAGGTGTGCAAACCGATCCAAGCAAACCTAATTATATATTATATATCATATATCATATACATCATATATACCATACATACCATATATATCATAAATAATACACAACATAACATACAGCATAATATATAACATAATATATAACATAATACAGCATACATATATAATATATACACCATATATTATATATTACCTAATTATATGCTAAATTAAAGTAAAGTGCTTTAAGCCTGGCCTTGAATGTGGAGACCGTATCTGCTTCCTTAACATAAATGGGAAGCTGATTCCACAGTAAAGGAGCTTGGTAGCTAAATGCTCTGCCACCAACAGTGATTTTTGAGACCTTAGGGACCACCAGACGTCTGGCGTTTTGTGAGCGCAACGCTCGACTTGGTTGATACGACACTAACGTGTCTTGGAGATAAGAAGGAGCCAAGCCATTTATGGCTTTATATGTTAAGAGTAGGATTTTAAACTTTATTCTGTACTCCACAGGGAGCCAGTGGAGTGGTTTTAACACCGGAGTTATGTGCTCCCTCCTTTTGGTACCTGTTAAGATCCTAGCTGCTGTATTCTGAACGAGCTGGAAGCTCTTCAAAGAGGCTTTAGGGCACGCTGCCAATAAAGCGTTACAGTAGTCGAGCCTTGAGGTGACAAACGCGTGAATGAGTTTTTCCGCGTCACTTTTAGGAAGGAAATTCCTAATTTTAGCGATGTTCCGTAAGTGGAAGTACGCCGTTTTAGTTGCTTGGCTTATATAAGCCTTGAAGGAGAGCTCTTGGTCAAAAATGACTCCAAGATTCCTCACAGTGTCACTGGGTACAATACTGACACCATCGAGAGTAATTATCTGGTTAGCGAGGGAGTCACGCAGGCGCTTCGGACCGAGTAGGATCACTTCTGTCTTCTCCGGGTTGAGAAGTAGGAAGTTAAGAGTCATCTTTGTTTCTGGTGTAGACAGTATATGGATGAACATTGGTTAATCGATGATGGTTCTTCCCATCATCGATTACGCTGACGTCATTTATCAAAACACATTTCCCTCCCATCTCAAACCACTCAATACACTTTTTAACTGTCTCTAGATTCATCCTTAAATGTCCATATCACACACATCACTGCACTCTGTACGAGACCCTTCACTGGCTTCAGCCTCACGACAGACGTCACCTTCACTGGATGCACTTATTATTTAAATGTATTAATTTTAGTTGTCCACAATATTTAAAACAGTTTTTTGTCCCTGTCTCTACCCCTTTTTCACTCCGAAGCTCAGATTGTCTCACCCTTTTCTGTTCCAAGAGTTTGTAAAGAAGTTGATCGCAGGTCATTTCAGTACAAGGCTCCCTCAGACTGGAATAAACTCCCCACATCCATACGATCCATTCTGTCTTTTGGTTTATTTAAGTTTGAATTATTTAGGTTCCTTCAAACTCCTTGTTTATTTCACTAATGTTCTGTGTCATTATTGTTATAGTTTTACTTTGTCCTTTTATAAATGTTTAATTTTAGCAGAGGGGAGGAGTGGGGTGCGAAGGAGCATTTGTTTCATTTTTTTTTGTTAGTTTAATTAACTCTTCTCATATTTAATTCGCTGTAAATTTTCATTGTGTATGTGTGTTTGTATATGTTTGTATTTATGTTTAGGACCGCCTCGAAAATGAGATGATTCATCTCAAGGGGTTTTCCTTAATAAACTTAAACTTAAACTTAAACATATTTTCAGTATCATTAAAACATATTTAGAGTTTGGTGAGGGCTGAGAATCCAAAGACATATGCAAGGTATTCACTTTACAGGAGGGAAGTGGAAATATATGGAGGACTGTAATTAATTTTGGACTAAACTAATCAGACACAGGAAGCAAGACGACGCAGAAATCATTTATCATCACAGGTCTCCGTCTCAACATTGTAAACGAACGGAACGTGAAAGAGCAGAAAAATGTACAGGATATTAATGTGGAAAAAACAAAGTGAAGGCCAGAGTATTTGTATAGCACATTCATACACAGGGTAACTCAAAGTGCTTTACAAAACAAGACCATAAAGAATCAACAGATACAATGCTTCAGTTCTATGCAGCTAGAAAGAACTATTTTAATCTGGATTCAAACACAGAGAATCAAGCAGTTCGAACCCAGGAAATAATGACCCTAGAGCCATTGGACCCTAGGGAGGGGGATGAGAAATGTCCAGAAATGATGATTATTACATAAGAAATAATAAGAAAGGGACAATATATATAGAAAATTTACATAGAAGTTAAAACCAAATTATTTTGAGTTTCTGGAAGTTGATGATTTGCTTGAATCCTGGGAAATAAAGAGTCTAAACTATATTTGTAATAATCTGTATTGAAAATCTAAAACCATACTGTGGGATAATTCAGACAAACATAACCATGGAAACAAAGTACGACAAGTTACGGGTCAAGTTTGTTTTTTTTGACTATTTTTAGCCTAAAAGTTACATATTGTAGCTTTAAACATGCATCACCTCTCATAAGCTGTAGTGCCGATTCCTTTTAATGGAAAATACAAAAAAACTTGGACCATGCAACCCTTCATTCACCCGTAACCTCTCCAGTAAAGTGACCACAGTCTGGCTAAAGTGCTCCGGTCAAAGTGCTTTAATGAAACGACAGATTTCAAGTAACAGTTGGATCAATGTTTCTATTTGAGTAAAGTGAGCTTCTACAAATAACATCATTTAGAAGGATTGAACACAACATCATAATTCAGTGACTATAACTTGGGGAACAGATAGAAATACATGCACATAATAATAATAATATAGAATACATGTTGTTTATCGCCACAGAAAGAAAATATGAGCTGAGAGCTGATTGGCTGAGCAGGGCTGGTTATCTGGAATTGGCTTTTTCCTTCCAAACTATTCTGCATCTAAAAAAAAAAAAAAACCATCCACAGCACAGCACAGCCTTGATCTTTCAGTGGGGGCTTCAGGCAAAGTGGGGTTAAGTGTCTTGCTCAAGGACACAACAACAGCAGAAGGGAGTCAATGGAGAAGGTCTCGTGGTGGGATCGAACCCACAACCTTCAGGCAATCTAAAAATATGCAAAACTAATGACAAACCAAGTATATATAGCAGAATTATTTAAATATATGGTTCTTGCTTATTCCCTGCTTTTTGCACACATGTTCAAGGTTGCGAGTTCAAGGCTGTGATGGCCACTCCCACACCTGGACCTTTTGAAAGTGTGCTTCTGCTCATGGTCCATTTGAAACCTCCATCTTCAACCAAGCTCCAACTTTCCTCATTTGTATTGATTCTGTCCTTGTTCTTCTTCCAGTCTCCAAACCCATGTCTCCGTATAGCGGCTACACCGGACAGCTGCGCGCTTCTGTTTACCAGCCGACAGAACTGGCCCTCATCAGCAAATCCACAGCCAACGTGAGTCCAGTTTCATGTATTCAAAAACACAGATTTGAATATACAGTCTGTGAGGCAGGAACTGAAAACGAGGAGGTTACCAGGTTATATGCAAATGATTCAGCCGCAGAAAGAAATGCAAAGTGTGTGGAATTTTTCAGTGCGTGTGTGTATTCTTGGGTTTCATATGACGTCAGGGCAGTGGCGCGAATAACAAACGTAGGACAGGACGTGACGTACCCTGGCGGTGCAGTCTGCCGGGTTTATACACGGAGATATAGTAGAAGAAGAAGCGCTGTCAAAACGCCATCTTTTTGTGCGATGTACGCTTGAAGCAACCGCGCAAATAGAGAGAAAGACAAGAGTTTCTTCCGTGTTCCGACTGTGGTCTCATATAAGAATGAGGCGGGAGGTGGATCAAGGCTTTCCCAGATAAGCGCCCCCTGCAGGCCACCTGAATGAAACACAGCAATTTCTTCTGTTTTTCTTTCCAAAAATGCCTGAAATTAAGACTCTTTGGAGAAATATTTTTTAGTTCTCCCTTAGAATTGAGTGTCCCCCGGCCGACTAAGACTGTTACAACAACCGTACACCGCACAGGATGGGAGCCTTTTGACTCCAAAACAGACACGATTTACATGGTTTTTAATTGGGACAAAACTGAGTTGTCCCACCTCTGCTTATTCGCCCCCTACTGGCAGGTTTAATGAAACCAAAGAATATTAACATCAAAATAATTGCATATTTTTGTTGATTTCAAAGGAGAACGAAACTATTTACTTTGTCAATTCTTATTTTAGAGATAATGCCAAGGGTCAAATACACACCTGTATTATGAAACATCATCTATTCTCATGGGTTCATTTGATAAATGACCAAATGTTTTAATAAACTCTACACAGCGCCCTCCAGAAGTCGGTTATGATAATGTCATTCCCCGAGCCACAGCACCCTCTGCAGGCAGCAGTGGACAGAGCACTCCATCCACACGGGCGGACTCCAACGGCTCCAGCGTACGTCACAGAAAGAATGCAACATTTTTACTTTTTAAAACACTTTACCTCGTGTTTTTTCCTGTTTCTAGTCGAGTCAAGAAGTTCTCAAAATGCCGCCAATCCAGCACCAGGTCTGGGCCAGTCATAGTACATAGCTATAATACATGAACAACAATAAAGATAAAACCAGGAATAGAAATAGACCAATATATATAAATTATGTATATGCAATGTGGTTTAAATTGGCACTATTGTTATTATTGTACTAACGCCGCATTTTGAGAACCGCTCGTTTCTCTTAACTCTTCATTGATACATAGTGGACCAATTCACCACCAATAATAATAGTAGTTTACATAATTCATTCATACATTTCTCATTTATTGGTCCACTAATACCCAACAGGATCTTGCAGCTGTGTGGGTGTCCTTTGCTCCCTTTGCTAAATCAACAACTTTTTCTCCAGGTTTTTCCTATTAACTAACATTTACTTAACATTATATCTACTGGGTCGTTTGGGTCTTGGTTTCAATACTGTATATCTAATATTACTCACAGAACTTTTTATCCTCACTGAAAATATATAATTTGTTATTTCTTTCTCTCTCACAGGGAAATGGTCTCCACAGGACGACCCAGTGGTAAACTCCATCCTGTGTTTTACTTCTATATTTCACATTTTGGGACCAGACTTGTTGAAGATACTACTGAAAAGACTGTTATGAATGAAGGACTTTGAAGAAAAGCTGCTTGAGGATTTCACTGGACATGATTGATCACTGGTATAATTGGTGGGTTTTAGATTCTATCGCGTTAGCATGTCATACATCCAAATAGAGTCCAAGAACCAGTTTTCCCTCTTTGTGTCTTTGAACTTTCATAACATAACAGATAATGGAAATACCCTCCTCCTCATCCCCAACCCTAACCTTTAGCATAACCAAATTGCTACAAAATGTGAATATTCAAAATACCAATATTTTCCCTACTTCCCAGCCCTATCTAAAGTTGTCTAAAGTACTTTTCCCAAATAAAAATACATTCAGACAAGGCCTCCACAGATCAGAAAAGTCAGATCTGTGGAGCCCATTTCCCACAGAAAAAAAAAAACTTTTTAAAGAACTTTATTGGCAGTAAAATCAAAATATTTGTGTTTTTTAACCGCATTAAACTTGTAAGGACCAGTGGGGGCGGGTCCCGGCTCAAAAGTGGCCAAAATGACGTGCGCTGACATGCTGCAATACCACCCTGGGCCAATGGGGGTGGACCCAGAATAAGAATTAGCCAATGCTAACATATAGCATCTTCTTACCTCTCGAAAACGTCTTTACAGGATGGACCAAAAGTTGGCTCTTGGCCCAAAGCTCCGTTCCACATTTGTGTCAATGCTGAGGGGAGTGAATATTTTTGGACCAGTCTAGTTTAGTCGCTGTGAATTTTTCACTCGTATAGTCACTCGTAAAAAAACACGTCAGCCGGCGCGAGCTCCATTCATTAATTTTGGCCTATTAGTTTGAACGGCGTAGAAAGTCTATGGTAAGGACCCACAGTTTTTGTTTTTATTTATTAGTGATTTGATAAAATATACCAATCATTATACATAAAATACACCAGGCCTAGTATGCTTCTTTTTTTTCACAATGGTACTAATACAAGTCCACTGAATCTTGAAGAGCATGTAATATGAAGAGGATTTGACTGAAATAACTTTATTTGTACATTATTTTTCAAAGAGCTGCTTGAAATGGATGTCTTGTAAATATTTTGTAAATGCATGTATTTAAACACTGATGTCAAGGACTACTATGTACTAATCAAACACGGCTATAGAGACACGTTTAGTATTTAAGGTTTAGTATCTGGGTTGACTGCACATTTCAAATGAAAAAGGAATAAAAATAATAAAAAATATGAGATGCAAATATAAGTCAACAAATCTTTTTCGTATTTTTTCAATTTCCAGTTTAGTTTTTTGAGTGACTTGGATAAGAAAAGGGTGTTTCTACAGTTTTTCAGTTCAGGTTTTGGCTCATGGTCATAACAAAAGGACAATTTCAATGTTACTGTAATATTGTGTATCATCAAGTTTAATTATATAATAGAACTTTAGAGCTGGGACCTGCACAACAACACCATGGTTTCAGAAGTGAAATTAAACTTGTATTTCCTAGACAAGTGGATTCTAAACGCTTGCTTTTAGAAGTCAACAAAAAATCCTCATCATGTCAGCTAGGACTCCCAGAATTCTGAAATTACTCGATCTCGCAGAGCTGTCTATTCATTCATTTTCTACCCCTTTATACGTCAATTTCTGGGTCGGGAGGGGGGGAGCTGCCACACAAAGCTGTCTATTCCAACTAATGGAATTCTAGTTTCAGGTTTTCATTAGTATTAATTAGTATAAGTAATTCGACTTTTATCTTTAACACATGCTATAACTGGTAGTTATAAAGGTAATATAGCGAAGAATGATTCTGATTCTGAAACCAAAAACTAACTGCTACAAGTAAACAGTGTGTTGCTATGGTAACTTGCTAGCTAACTTGCTTCAAACTGAGATTGGATTGAGAACGAGTCAAAGATCGAGATAATTTAATCAACATAGAAATAATCTACAATTAGATATAGAAAAAGTCACCTAGGTTATGAAGACAAAAAATTTTTTATTACACACACAAAGCCGTCAAATTGACTGCTCAGGGACTTCTAGTAACCCTTTGAAATATCACATTGCCGAAATAGACTTATCTATTTGCAGCAGTCCTTCCAGTCTACCTTTGCGGCTCATGTTACACTGCAGTAATAAAAGGCCTAAGTCAAAGGGCCTATTGTGATTTATCCTGCTGTCCTGCACTGAAGCTGCCTGATAACCTCCAGCTGTCTCACACACTCGGATCACGACCAGACGCTATTTTAGGACCAGAACAGGTTTTAGTCACCGCAGGCTCTTTGCATCACACTGGCCTTATAATAATACCAGGCCACAGATAACACGGGCACCGACGCACCTGTGCTGTTGTGTTCTGGGACAAAAGAGAGAAGAGAATCAGCTGGAGAAAGACGTCACCGTTTAGACAAAGATGGCATTTCATTTATTTCAATTTTGTACAGGCCTAGATCATTAGAGAATCAAACACAAGAAATGCAATGGTAAAACAAACACATTTAGCTATTGGTCTATAAGGGGCGGATGACCAATGTTCATAAATGTGATAAATGTGCCTAAATGTAGAATGTAGGGTGTCCTGGATCATCACCACAGTCCTTGGACCCTCCGGCATCGGCAAAGAAAACCTCTAAAATGTACTCTTCTGGGGGTTAACTGTACAGTAAGTGATGGACAAAGACACACGCAGCACAATAGAATACATTGTAGTACAGACTATAACATAATTTATTTTAGTTTAAATATGAAAAAAACAAGACATTTCCTAATCGAAAATTCTTCCATTATTCTAAAGCAGTAGCAGCTTGTCCCCACTTACAAATAGACTATCTCTGAGATCAGTGGCCAAAACTACAGAATCTCAGCTTTACAAAGTCCAAAGATTTCACACTTTTTAAAACAATTGGAGAGAAAATAAGAGAAATACTATTTGGAATGATGAATCTATGGAGTTTCCAAACCCATTCTATAACGTAATTTCTAATTCTATTATTATTATTATCATTATATTATTATTATTATTATTAAAGTGTGTCTTGAATCAAAAACTCCATTAAAACCTTGTTGCTTTCCTCCACTGCTTGCTGGTGTTGTTGTCCATGTTCTAAATTACACTTTTAACTTCACACCTCTGAGCCACAGTTTCCATAAACAGGGGGTTTTTCACGAGCCGTTCCCAGCGGGTCTGCTCTGACGTATGGGTTGAAAAAGCGACAGTTTGTTTGTTTTAGTTTGTCATTAACAGCTTTATGTTGCGCTGCGGCTGAAGGCGGATTGGTCAGTGCTTTGGTCACGGGTGTAATGTGTGATCTGTGTGACCTCCAGAGAAACAGCAGAATCATTCACAGCAAAAATAACTTAAGGCACAAGAAAATGTCTGACTATAACATGGTTTAAAGTCATTTGGAGCATATTAAAATTAAAAAAATCATTATTTATGCCTTTTTTGCTTTTGTTAAAAACTAAAACTCTACAAAAAAATTTTAACGGTAATATGTTTTTCAATACTATTGGTTGAGAAGTTTAATTTATGTTTTGTGTAATAGTCGAAGATGTAGTAATAATATAAGTAGTAGTAGTAGTAGCAGCACCACTAGTAGTTGTCGAGTAGTAGTAATAGTAGTAATAGTAATAGTAACTGCTTTGTGACTCTGGTCTGTGAAAGGCGGTATATAAATAAAGCTTACTTACACTGCATGAAAAGTGTGATTTTCGTCTCTTTTCGGCCCTGTATATTACTGTGAAACTTCTGGGATTCGGCAGTTTGTTGTCCCCTCCTCCCTCCTCCACAGGAGGCTTTAACATGTAAATGGCAATGCTGTGAGCTATACAAATGCTAATCAGGGTTGAGGGGGAGCACACCGTAGACCCGGATTTTGTAAATGCTCAAAACACACACAATTGTGTCCCACTTGTTGTTGATTCATGACAACAAATTAAAATTTTATATCTTTATGTTTGAAGACTGAAATGTGGCAAAATGTTGAAAGGTTCAAGGGGGCCGAATACTTTCGCAAGGCATTGTATATCTGCAGGTAAGGGGGTTGCCTCAAAGTTGTGTTGGGGGTTGCCTCAAGTTCGCTTCATAAAACATTTTCAGGTCCAATTCCTACAAGCAACAATAGCTAAAACTGAAATTGTAGATAGAATGACAACATTGGGCGACAGTAGCTCAGTTGGTAGAGCATTGGCCTTAAGGCCAGAAGGTCGTGGGTTCAATTCCCACCTCTACACCTTCTCCACCGACTCCCACTGATGACTGCTGTCGTTGTGTCCTTGGGAGAGACACTTAACCCCACTTTGCCCAAAAAGCCCCCACTGAAAGATCAAGGCTATGCTCACACTCAGAGAGCAGCCGTCCTCCTGTGGACTCGCCACCTGCAGAGGGTCAGTGAGGGGCTGGTGCTATGAGACTTGGGTGGCAGCTCTGATTGCCACCCCCCTGACCCAGAAATGGATTAAAGGGTAGAAAATGGATGGATGGATGCATAATTCAATTCAGCACATGGACATTCATTAGCATCATATTCTTCCAACAAAAGTGCTAGGGTTTAATATTTTTCCCGAAAATGAGACGTATTAAATCCCGGGAAAAGACGACGCCTTTCCCGTGAAATCCCGGGAAATAGCTGTTGTTTGTAGTTGTTGTTTTTAGCCCAAGTAATGTATGATATCACTCAAATATATAATCCAACAAAAGCTGCCGTCTCCACTAGTGTTTCACCAAGCGACTTGCTAGCTTTGCTAAAGTAGCCATAGCGTTTTCAGACGTTTTGTTGATGGGCTTTCTTCAGGAATTTCACTAATATGAGATTCTAAATGTCTGCCCAATCCACTTGTCGACCAGTGACGTGCGGTGTGGTTTGGAGGCACTGACTTCAGCCCTGTCAGATGAACATATATCATATAAATCAACAGAACCTACAGAGCGGCTTATTCACAATTAGTTTTGCTACAGCAGAATGTTTTCCATGGCCCG